GTCAGCCATCACGCTATACCTCGGAAACAACATAACACAAACCTTCCAAGATAGCTCTATCGGTCGCAAGGAAACCATCCTTCATGGCCTGTTCAATATCGCCCTTGGCGAAAGCATCCTGTCGGGAGATGATCTTGTGCAAGTTCTCGCCGGTGAACAGCGCCACCTTGTCTCCACCGTGGCCATCGTACACACCAAAGAAGGCGAGGCGGTGTTCCGGATCCGTCGGTTTGTCATTGTTGCCGGTATAATTTGCCTGGAGGTCAAGGATTGTTGCGTGGGCATCCTCCATGCTGATTCGCCAGCCCTGCATGGCCGACACACCATACACACAGCAGTCATCCCCGCCTTCGGACGATGTCTATAACAAGCGAAAAGTAACACGTTAGTTACACTCGATCCTTTTTCACAAGATATGCAAAGATGCCTGGTAAGATTGCGACGCCATTTCGTCGCTGGTCGAACCACCCCCACTACCCAGCTGGACTACCCAAGACCCCGCATAGCAACCCGAGGAAGATTCCTCCGAGCGACAGGACGGATAATTCAACTGGAGGGCCTAGCTGGGAGATTCGATTCCACGACCCGTGATTTGGGACATGACAAGAGCCAGAAAAAAGGGGGCAGTTTAGAGATGGAAATAGAGCATCACAATGGCCAGTGTGGGGTGTAAATCAAGGAAGCGAAGTCTCAACTCACCTTTTCGACCACCGGCTCCGATAGGGTTTGACCCATATTGACAAAGGTTGAATAATTCGGGAGATTATGGGATCGAAGTCGGAACGAAGTGTGGGAAATGGAAGTGCTGGAGGTGCCTGGAGTGGAAAGGGTCAGATGAGGGCGCAGGGCTTTCAGCGCGTCTGGTTTCCCGCGATAAGTGGGGAACGACGGATGACGATAGATCTCTTGCCTTTGGACTTGAATGATTTGAGAGAGAGATAGTGATTGAATAGAAGATCGGAGAGAGACAATTCAAATTCAAGGAAGCAGAGAAAGTTCAAGTCCAGAGATCTCGCAGAGATTTCCTGGTATTGCGTTTACCGCTTTTGTTACGCTGTGCTCTATATAGTCACGTGAGGAGGATCAACTCGGAGTTTTCGATCCAGTTTGGGGGTGGAGAGAATATTTCGGGTAAAGAAGTCTATGGCTTACAGGGGAGCTCCTGAAATAAAGTATCTTGCATCCTAATATCATATCGAGGTTGAGCAGAAAGCAAATAGTGGCTGTGTACTTCCATAGTCACCATACAGTCACGCCATATCAGAATGTCTGACTCTTCAATTTGGAAGGCCCGACATTGTTCCATTCACATGAAATAACTTCTTCATCTCATGGATGATGGACTGGCTGTTCCTACTCCAGTGATATTCCTCAAAAAAATGCTACAAAGGCAAACCTCGGGAGATCCAAGCGGTGAATCCGAAAAGCCCTGCTCGCTACATGGATGCATGCATACGCCGAAACAACCTTGAAATCATGCAGGAAGATTATTATTCACTCCAAAACTAGATCAAACCCAACCAATCAACCATAGAAAAGCCAATGGATATCATGCAATGCCCGAGAACGCCAGAAACACAACAAACAGAGGAGAAAAGACAGAAAGAAGAAAAAAATAGAGACATAAGACGGGTAAAGGCGAAGAAACCAAAGATCAAACAAATGCCAGCTCTCCACTACTGGCTATAGGGAGACCCCGCTTATCGTCACTCTTCACCGGCTGTGGGGGCTCAAGAGGCGAGGACAACCACCATTGATGATTGGGGCTCTTGTGAGGGGCCTTGCGCGACAGGTGTTCATCCAGATCCGAGATCATAGACGAGCTTTGCGGCATTGCATTTTCATCATTCACTTTCTGAGGCTGGGAGTTGCCCTGCCGACCACTGCCCATACTATTCTCGCTCCAGAACCGCGGCAGCGGAGAGATAGCACCGCGATACTCTTGTGCAAGACTCAACTGGCTCTGGCCATATGCGCTGCCCTCAGCAAGAGGGAATAGACCGGCCTGATGGAGGTTTTGATATTGGGAGAACCGGTTGGTGATGGTGTTGTCATCGCCGTATTCTGAGGCCGAGATCGCATTCGACAAGGGTCTTTCTCGGATGGATTGGCGATATTCATCACTGAAGGTTGATTCAGAGACGGTATCGGCACGGCTGCGCATGCTACGGTTTCGGTCGAGCGCGCGCATGCCCAAGGAAGTGCGTCGGCTGATTTGCGCAGAGAAGAGAGGATTGGAGGAGTTGCGGTGCTTGGCTCGGCTGTGGACAAAAGCTTCCAGGGAGTCGGCCTCCGAGATGGTGGAGCCATCGGGCTCGACGGTGCGCAGTGTCATGCGCTTGTAGTTGTCGGGTATGCTGGATGCCATACTGTGACGCATGCGTGCTGCTGCTGGTGGACGTGGAAGCATCATTGCCATGTTGGCTATACTGGTCTCATCACTCATCATCGAGGCTCGCGCATTTTGCCATGATGTCTGTACCACACCGTGGCCCGGAGGTCCAAAGCCGCCGGCGCCATGGCCTGCTCCGCTGAATCGTACAGGCAGTCCAGAGGCAATAGAGGAGATTCCGCTCGAGCGCCTTGAGTATCTCTTAGACTTCGATGATTGGAGAGACTCTCGCCTCATGGCTCGTGGCTGGATTGTCTTCAATGGCTCTCGTCGGGAACGGGTGGTGGTCCTGCGACGGACGGGGCTATTCGTGTATGAGAGTCGATTGTTTTGCTTCTTAGACGGCGAAACAGTTTGAACTGGTTTGTTCTCCTCGGTCGAGTCTCGCAGTGGGACAAAGCCCCCACGAGTGGGAGACTTGCGAGCAGGAGAGCGAGGGGGAATAATGGGCTCAGGGATAGAAAAGCTGACTGGGTGCTCCCGTTTATCGAATGATGACACATTCCACGCGGGTCCAAGTTCAAGCTTGGGGATTGACGATGGGGAGATGGGACTCATCCACTCGTCGGAGTTGTCGTCACGATCGTGAGGAGGTCTTTCCGTCACGGATGGCTGGCAAATAGGGACATCTGGCCTGACAGGTCGTGGTGGAGCAGGTTTGCCATCGGAACCACCCTCTTCGATCGTGGGCGAGCTCTTGCGGCTACGCCAGCAGCAGAAGAGAATCAGCCCACTAAGAATTACCACGAATGGGACCACGATCGAGATCGCGATTATTCCCGCCTTCTTGTGGTTGGGAGTGTCAGAATGAGTGAACGGATCGGTGGGGTTTGAATGAGTATCCGAGGCTTTGAGAACATCGAGAATGAAGTCTCTTTTATCTTCAGTCGATCCTTGGTGTCCAGTAAGGGAAATGGTGAATTTCTTAGGGTCCATGTCATCCGGAACGTGTCCGTAGAGAGTCTTGTTGTCCGAGAAGTAGGTGAGCCATGTGAGATCGCTGTCCAAGTCGACCTCCAATTGCACAGAGTTATCGGTGACGATAGACTGATTGAACACGAACTTGAAATCCTGGCCAATGGCTGCCTCACAGCCATCCACAGTGTCGAGGAACAGCTTCAGAAAATCTAGCTGAAGCATCAAATGCGCCTCGTCTTGGAAAGAATCCGTAACGGCAATAGTGATATTCTGGTTCACGGCATTCTTGGGTGGTGTCCCGCTCAATGAGATACTGTCCTTATCTAGCTCCAACCAGTCCGGCAGTTGAGCATCAACCTTTGCCAGCTCCTTAGTAGAGATTGGCGAACCATCCATAGAGAGAAAGCTGGTGAACTTGGGGCTGTTGAACTCTTCTCCTCTCGTAAGATTGAAGGTTTGCACAGTCTCATTGAATGTCAGAATATGGGGACCTATCGAGAGTTCAAAGGTCACGTTGGCCGCACTGTACCCAGCTACATCCGATGCAATCAGCTGGAAAGTAAATGTTTGAGGCCCCGACCCCGGAAAAGCAGGGCTATTTCCAGCAAACTTCAGGGTTGCCGGGTCGAAACCGATCCAGGAAGGTAGCGGGGCGTTGTTGGGCGAGGTTCCGTAGTAGATCGTAGATGGATGTGTGTTGCCAAAGGTATCCTGATCGAACTGAATTGAGAATGGACGACCTGGATGGATGAACAACCTGGCAGGGTATGAGACCGGTCCCAATTTCTGCAGTTGAGGTACAAGCGGTTTGTTCACCGTCGGTCCCTGGTCTGCCGTTACAATCAAAGTAACGTCCATGCTATCTTTTTCCAATCCGTTCGATGCCACAAGCTTGAACTTGATGGCACCACTGTCGCCCGGGTGTGGCGTTCCGGAAAGAGTGAGACTGCTGCTGTCAACCTCGAGCCATGATGGTGCATTAGATAGCGAGTATTTAGTGTCCGCGTCGCTGTTAGAGAAAGTACTTTGGGCGAATTCAAATCGGAAAGGCTGTGAGATTCGAGCAACGGGTGGCAATTGCGCGTTGATAGGGTAGTTGGCAGACAGGTTTGCTGCACTAACTACTGACAGGAAAGCCAGTACAATGGTGAGAAAGATCGTCATGGTTGAGAAAACGCGAGTTCGCTGGAACTGTATGTAACTGGAAAAAAAACAGCTAGCTCATCGGCCACCGACAGCGCTTCCGACCTCACGGAGAAAAGAAAATAGTGAAAGTAGTCAAGAAGGAAAGAAAGAGAGATTCGGGACGAAGATGAAGAGTATCATGCATGATCATCCAGGAAAGGATCGCGGTCCCTCTCGCAGCAAAGGCACCAGGGACACATTCAGGGCGTACCCTTTCAAAAAAGCCATGCCTGGATATGTTAGATATCACGGAAGTATGTGGCAGAATGACAGTGGAGAATGGACGCAGACGCGATCGCTATAATCTCACGTTTCGAAGACGCCCGGTCCATGCAAGGGGTAGTCGCAGGTGGCTCCTGCGGCAGCCAAGGAGCGTAGGCGCGCCCAACCATCATGACTTATTGCCTCTCGGGCCTATTTGAAAGGGACCAATAAGGCAAGGAATATTTCCCGTGGGAGGAAAAAGGCCCGAAGGGTGCAGCATTGACGGCAGTGGCTCAAATCCTCAAGCTTCTAAATCTAGGACCATTTTGATACCTGTTCGTCCAGGGGCATAGTAATCAGGGATAACTTCACGCTCCTCGAATCCATTGCGGAGATACAAGGCGCGTGCGGGCTCCCTGGCCTGGTCCACCCAGAGTTGGATATACTGGCAGCCCTCCTTTTGCAGGCGTTGCTGAATGTAGGACAGTACCTCCTGGCCAACACCTTGACGGCGATTAGGCTCTGTCACACAGATTTTGTGCAAAAGCGCAACGCCCTTCTGTCGGACATAGACCGCATAGGCCACCAGATCAGATTGTGATCCCTTGGCTCGAGTCGCGTACAGTACTCTCGTATTGGGCTTTTTTCTCCACAGGTCTTCGCCAAATGGAAATGCCTCATTGGTGGGGAAGGTCTTTTTCTCGACGCGTGAAATCTGGGCAAGAATCTCCAGTGCCTCGTTCCTCTTCAAGGAATGAATGTCTGAGATGGTGAGGGGCATTCCTCCCACTCCAGTCTCGTATTGAGGTGCCATTCCAAATCGCGACGTTTGACTTGCTCCAGATATTTGACACTGTAACTGTGTCAGTTTATGCCGTGGAAGAGTAAGAAGTTCAAATGTATGGAGTAGTGAAAAGTGCTAGGTATGATCCCCACCGAGTTTCAGCCAATGAGAGTCGCCTCGATCTATAACCAGTTGACAATCTCTCAATTTCATCTACGCGTCTATGCACGTCATACAGTAAGCTGGTGAGTTCTTTCTTTTTTTCATTGGTAAGTCACATATTGAGTCACATCTTATTATCGGCCACCTGAACCTGAGCACATGTTGACGACTCCCAAGTTCAAATCACATGATATCCGTGATCGGTTCGCGTTCAATATTCTAATCCCCCCCCGGTTCATGGATGCATTTACAAGCAAAGATTTGGCTTTGATATCAGGGCGGAAAAAGGCCTGCACAAGCCCTTTGAATACCATCAGAAGGTTGAAAAATCCCCCACCCACAGCCTCAATGCGCTCCATGGCCTCCTGAAGAGCATCATAGTGCAGAAATTCAATTCTGTAATTCTCCAGGCCGCATCCGAAGACATACAGATGAGGAGGATCACTCCATATCTGATTCAGCAGATGTGGACAGCCTCTGAGGGAGTCGCCATGCGTGTATGGTGGTGTGTGAGTGATGAGAATGTCCACATTGTCAGGGATTCGGTCCCAAATGTTATCAGAGTCAGGATACTGGAAGACCGAGGAAGGAATGGTCATTGATGAGTATGGGCTTCCATAGATCCGGAGTCGGCGTCCATTCCAGCAAGTCACAACGGCATGCTGGTGTTGCAGATAGATGATATCGCCCCAGTACACACTCTCGAGACCTTCAATTCGCCAGCGACGAGTTCCCCTGTTCATGGTATCAAGACAACGGTCAGATCAACCCGCCACGGCATTTTTGATGGGGTGAGGCTGGGCTTGTAGCCAGTTCAGTGTGATCTGGAGCTCGGCGAGTGATCCGTTTGATGTCAAATCGCCGGCGTGGATCAGAATGTCGCCTATCGGTATCTTTGGTCGCTGCCTGTAGGTATTTGAGATACACACTATCGATACGGGGCTCTCATGTAGTAGAGGGAGGTTGATTGCTCGCCATGAATAGGGCATGCGGGCGAGGAAGAGACAAGGTCGGTCTCGGAACTGTTGCCAGGCTGATGGCGGTGCCGGTGGTGGGGTGATGTATGACGAGTTGTTGCCGAGCGCAGTCATTCTGAAAGACATGATAGATCTCAGCCCGATGGGGTGACAGATGATGGCGATGATGATTATGCGGAAAATTCGAGTGAGAGAAGAGTTGAAGTACGGTTTTTTTAGCTTGACTTGTTTTATTCATATTCTTTCTCTGAAGACATTTTCCTTGACAATTTAGTAGGGGTGGTCGTTCGCCTTGCGCTGATGTCGCTACATCCATGTTCCTCATGTTTGTGTATCAGCCCCCCCAGCCCTCCCGGGCAATAACCCTAACCACATAGAGTCACTCGATTATACGTGTTGACATTTTTTTATCTTTTTCATATAATTCTATTCACGTACGAAGTGAAAACGCTCAAATAATATTGGCAAGCATGGTCTCAACGTCAAATACCCCACGCATATCATAGAGGTTGCTTCGGTGTACCGGACAGAGTGTCTGGAAGAATCAGACAGAAGAGGAATGGGAGGTGAGACTCTTAGTATGATTCCAAAAATTGAATTGCTATTGTCATGGCTGCGAGAGGAAGAAATCTTGATTCATCAATAAACGAAAAAGCAGCGTATCGATACTCTGAGGGCTAGCACCTAATCAGCCTCCTAGCAAGTAATGGGAGATAGAATGATTCAACAGCTATAATTGGAACGATCTTCTGACCTTTCTTTTTTGGCAGATGATGGGGCTAAATGTCTCCGTCCGGATTTAAGTCGATCATCTGATGCGTCTGGCCCTACGGGGTAGAGCGATGTGGACTATCAAAGGGACCAGGGGATTGGCCAGGCACGAATTTCCGGAAGAGGAAGAATCAGGTTTCCATTCTTGTTATATTCGAAGACGCCGTAATAGCCCTGAATTTCATGGCTAGAGTTATAGTGACGACATATAGGTGAGAATTTGTTCGCTCGTTAATAATCGGCCTATTCTCGGCCAGTCTTCAGATATCGTTGTCCCATGCAAACCTCCTGGCATCGGCCGTAGATCAACCTCAAATTTGACACACACACATACCAGGTGTCTCTCATAGAGTTAGAGCCTATTGTAGATTAGTCTTAGGCGAGAGGCTTCTAAGAAGACTTTAATCGCAGATAGATTGACAGCACCGAGATCAAGTAAGATTTGTTTGGAAGGTGTCCGAGTGAATCTATTGAATAGAAGCTCGGATGGCGAGCTACATGATAAGGAACTCCAGTGAAGACAAGTCGCAGCTCTTGGCTACAATTAGCTTGGTTGTTTATGTCTTAAACCCTAGGCTGATGGATCTTTTGTTGAACAGAAAGATGGAGGGATTTATAGTGAGGTTGAGACAGTACTTGAGCAAAAATTGCATTTCCCATCACAACAAAGCAAGGCAATTTTCAATAAAAATATAAGAGGGAAAAAGAGAAAGTGAAAGAGAATGGCTTTTATAGCTGACCTGTACATGATATATGTATACACCCAAGCCTGCAAATAATCCCCACAGAGGTATATATTCATTAATCACATAACGCCGAACAAAGAAAATGACCCTGATAGTGGTTTAATTAACACTCCAATGCACCACTCGCTTAACTCGAATTGCCATAGGATCTAGATTCTCCTCATTGACCCTCTCTTTCGGATCTATCTCCACATGAGTCCTCACTGACGTCAGAGGATCTAGGTCTTCATCTGGGTGAAAGGGCGTAGGACTCGTTCTGCATTCCATATTGTATTTGTCGTTTTCCCGATCGTGGAGAGATATCCGCTGGATAAAACTAGACAGTCCACGCGACCCCCCGAAATGCTGGGTGCCCGGTAAATTGGGCATTTTCTTGACCATTGAGCGGACGAATGGCTGGAGGACGGGGAGACAGGCGCAGATAATTCCAATGCATGGCTCGACGGTTGACCATACCGATACACTGCCCAAAGCCCATGTGATATCGACGTTGCCTTTGAGGTAGGTTAGGTAGTGGATTCGAATGCCGCTTGCAACGCAGACACTAGATAGATTTATGTTAGCATTATTTGTGGGGGTAGAGGTTTTTTTCAAAAACATACAATCCGCCTAGAAGGAGCACAGCACACACGCCAACTTTTTGTGTCGTCCGCATCTGAAGATTCCAAACAATAGGCATCGGGACGAGCAGGATAAGAACGTCCGTCAAGACATTGGCAGCTGCGTTCCCAATATAGTAGTAGTAGAAATCATATCGATATGAGCCAGATGTAGGGTCGGTGATTTCGGTCCAGAAATATGAGATTGGATCACAGGCACATAGGGCTGCGATCATGCTTCCTAAACACCAGCCATAGGAGATAAACAGAGTGATCCAGATCATCCAATTCATACCGAAGATTCGGCGATAGAACATGAGGATGGAGAATTTGATTAGGGCGAGCTCGACGAGATAGACAATGAGGTAGGCGAAAAGGATCTATATATATTTAGTTAGATTTGATTCTGAGATATATAGGAAGGGTTCTTGTTGCCTTTTTCATTGTGACCATATTCGATAGTGTCACACACCAAACATGTAAACCGAACCCATAAGTACCACCTGATATACGGTTAATATCCCCTTTTATATATTCATATAAAGGTTGCTATTCATACCAATGATAGATGATGCAAGTAATGCAATCAATGGAACGGCAGTTATCCCAATCAGCCAATCATCAGCCTCCAACTTCGCTCCCTGCATATATAACCTCACAAAGAGACGGAAGATAATAGTGAGTACTGCGAGCGCACATACAGTCACCACAACTGCAGTGTCTTCCCTATTTCGGTTTTCGTTGAGATTGATGCCCTCCGGTGGGGGCCCAAAGACCGATGTCATGTTCATCGTTGTGAGGTACTGATTCCCTGGGATATAGAAAAAGGGAGATGTTAGGCATTGATTAAAAGCAAAGTCTTGAAAAAGACTCAAAAGACAGAAATCTCCAAAGGTATGGGTAGTCTTGTGATTTTGATTTCAAGCAAGCCAGATGAAGTTGATAAAAAGTGTTAGGGCAGCATCCTAAACGGGATAGTTTAAAAGTACAAGTCTCTTGTCAATGTCACCTCTCCCCGTTCCACTTTCTTCATTTGGATATCGTTTCTGCACAGATTGCACGTTGTCCCGCTTCGGGGGGCCGTGATTAGGGTTGGGGGCGAAATGGAAGAAAATCCACCTGTTACTGGTATAGATCGTTCATGGGGTCAAAATTGCCCTGTGTGATGTGCATTTATCCCAAAGGATTGAGAATCTGCTTGTGTTGCAATTCCTTGAGGATCAACAAGGTAGTTTGTACAGATGGATGACCTTTAATGTCCTCCAATATATCTATGCCGTACAAAAGTATTCCCACTATTGTAGAATGAGGTTTTTAATGCTATCTAGACGCAGAAGTGGCTGTACTAAGTCGGTTATATCTCGGTTATATCATCCTACAGGTCATGATCTATTCCCTCAATCTCCATAACAATCAAAACTAATGGAGAAAAGGATGGAAAAGATGGAAAAGATGGCAAATGTACGCGAAGTTGGCAATTTTCAACCAGTTCGGTCCATGAGTACAGATTAGTACATTGAAGATAAGCACTATATCTAAGAATATCCACTAATAAGAAATACCTGAAGCACATTCCTTTACAAGTAAGGTGACGTCAAATAATATCCCCCCAAAAGTCCGATAATATCAAACTGCTGTACATCTGATGATCTGGATGTTTGTATACGGAGTACTCCGATGTAGATGCCTCCCGAAAAAAAAAATCCCCCACAAAGATCAACCCAACTTCAACCACACAGAGTCAACATTGACACTCCAACGGCCCCCCCTTCCCAATTATCAAAAATGCCCCCCAAATCCCAAGACCAGGCCGATGACAAGCGCCAAGCGGCCAGAGAAGTCATCGATATTCTCCAGGAGATCTCCGACCTGCTGGTGCGTGCTTCCCCCAAACATGATTCACGATTGGGGATTCCCTCCATGTCGTCATTCTCCCTAAAGCCCCCTTAGCCCCCAAACTAACAGGAATAGAATACGAACCTCGATCGAACGGAGCTATCGCTTTGTGTGTCTCTTATTGAAAATGGAGTGAACCCCGATGCTTTGGCGGTACGCGGTTTCCCCCACCAAAATAGCACTCTGCGCCCGTCATTTAATGTTCAAAGATAGTAACTGACTCTGCGTTACAGACTGTCATTAAGGACCTGCGCAAGGAAACTGCTGCTTCAAAGCGAGTAGGCAATGTTCCTGCCGTGGAGTAATTCTTGGGTTTAAGAGTATGTTGCTACAGCGGTGCATTGGACGAGGTCTGTTGGTTCTGGTTTTGGCGTTGGGGCCGTGTATTTACTGTACAAGCCGGTCGGAGATATACCCTTTTTGTTTTGTTTTCCGGTACAAATACAGATTCAATTTGCCTTTGATGGAGATATTGGAAAGGTTGGGAAAATGTCTTGGGCTATCCCTACTAGGTATCGTAAACTCGGGGTGGATGGGTAGCGCATAGCAAGGTGAGGCATAACAAGGTGATGGAGTAGAACGATAGGGAAAATACCTAAATATGACCATGAAGGAACGGTCCAATGCGGAAAGACAAATAATTCGCGCAGATAACAGTGGGGGGGATATTCAAATTCCAATCATTCGCAATCATCTTGACTCAGTGGGCTTGATCGCCCCCTTGGTCTCCTGGTCCTTGGAGGAACTAACGGGTTCTGACACTGACTCGACAGTAGCATGCTTGAGTTGATCGCTCTCTGAGCCAGTAGTGTGCTCCTTAGTCTTAGTTTCCTTCTCGTCGTCGCTATCGCCCAGACTGAATGGGTCGTTCTCCGCGACGGGAGAAGGCGCGACGCTGGACAATGGTTGCCATTTGCTTGACTTGCTGCCCGTTGAGCTGAGACGTTTAGCCGGGGTGGAGGAGTCGTAAAGGTTGTCAATCTCAGTGGGCGGTCCATCCTGGAATGACACTCTGCGCCTGTCTGGCGAAGGAGACGCGGACTGTTTAAAGCCAGACTGGCCCGGGCGAGGGGGGCGTGGCGGGGGAGCTGTGGCACAGTCAGCAAAATTCAAGAATGATAAACTTGAGATTGTTGTTTACCTTCACCATCTCTCAACTCCAGAGCAGAGAAATCATCGCTGAGAAGTTGGGGGTCTGCGTCATAGCGCTCACGATCTCCGCTGCGACGGCCCATATCACCACTCCGTCGGGGCCGGGTATTGGCCAGAGTCTCTCTTTGATTCTGAATAGGCTCCTCGTCCAAATCCTCGCCGTCAATCCTCTTCTTCAGGTTTGTTACCCATGAGTTAACCTTACTCTGGGTCTCCAGGAAGCCCTTGCGGAGGTTCTCGCGGATCACAGGTAGATCATCTGTAAACAATTAGCACGAGCTCAATTCGCAAGCCACCATAGTCCATACCATCAAAGAAGCTGTATTCTCTTTCATCCGACTCCTCGCTGCCTCTAGGTCGCTGGTATCGGGGGTCGCGCTCCCAGTTCGAGGGCGGTGCGCGACGTCCTGTCGCATTGTAGTGCTCCGATAGTTGACGCGCATACATCTCATCGGCTTCCAATTGTCGCTGTGCAGCAGTGCTCTGCTGGGTTGGGCGCGACGGTTTGGGGGGGAGGCGTCATTTCCTCTTGAGCCTTGGGGTCGGTCATACCTGCGAGCAGAGGTCTGGTCAGCTTATGCTCATTTCATAAATTGTAGATTCCCCACGAACCCAGGAGGGCATTGAACGCCCGTTCGACATTCCAATTGCTTGCGGTCAAGACGGCTTTGACGACGCCAGGCTCGATACTTGGGAATGCTTCCCTGAGGGTGTTCTCTGATTGTTCTCTCGGGTTCAGGGGCCGGGGCGGCTTTGGCGGGGCTGCCTCGGCGGCGGCTGGCTGGGCGACTGGCTGAGCAGCCACAGGGGAAGAAGTAACAACTCCGGTCTCTTGGGGCTCATCGTCAAAGTCCATCGGACGCGCAGTAGTCGGCGACTCGGCTCGGGGGCTGTTAGGGGAGTTAAGGGCAGCCAAGGGCTTGGGAGTGTTCTGTGTATAAACGTGAGCCTCATGCGATAAGTGATATCCGGTTGGAAAGTGAACATACCATCTTGTCCTCCTCTGACATCTTGAGATATCTTCAGGATCTAAGAGAGTATAGAAAGGGACTGAGAATAAATCCACAAGAACAGTGTTGCCTGAGAATGTCTGAGAGCAGAACATATCGGGGAAGCTCCAAGTGACGTGGGGCGCACGTGATAGCGGGCGAGCTTTATACAGATCTGGATGTTTCTGCAACTCCGAGGATCTCCAAGTTGTCGGTCTACAAGCTTGAATTTTCAGAATGGCCCAATCCTAGGTTGGGTTCTCCAAACAACCCGGCTCAAATCTAGCAGAGTCGCTCGAAGCTAAACCTTGGTCTAAAATGGCGTCAGAACAGGAGCTTTCGACCTCTTTCATTCCAGCCCTGTATAAACCAGCTGCTTTACTGCCTATCGCACGCCACAAGAAGAGTCTGCTCTATCTAGTTGAAAAATATCCCGTCACTATCGTGGTGGGTCAAACAGGCAGCGGGAAAACAACTCAGCTTCCGCAGTATCTAGACCAGGCAGGATGGTGCGAGGATGGGAAGACCATTGCAGTTACACAGGTGAGCACTGATGCCATCATTCTTCAATTTGAGTAGCGACTAAATCTGTTAAAGCCCCGGCGTGTGGCTGCTACAACGGTTGCAACGCGAGTAGCCGAAGAGATGCGATGCAAAGTCGGTGAAGAAGTGGGCTACTCCATTCGATTCGAAGATTTGACGTCTCCTGCAACGAGGATCAAATTTATGACAGATGGAATGCTGCTCAGAGAAGCCCTAGTGGATCCTTTACTTTCACGGTATTCAGTGATCATGGTTGATGAAGCACATGAAAGATCTCTGAGTACGGATGTGCTCCTTGGGACTTTGAAGAAGATCCGCAAGAAGCGCCCTGAACTTCGCATTATCGTTAGTAGTGCAACTCTTCAAGCAGAGGATTTTCTTCGGTTTTTCGCCGGCGAGGAGTACAAGCCTGAGGCAGACCCGGCGGATCTGGGTGGAAGTGTTGGTCGGATCATCAGTCTGGAAGGACGAATGTATCCAGTCGACACGCTGTTCCTTGACTCTCCGGCAGAAGATTACATAGAGAGAGCAGTCAAGACTGTCTTTGATATCCATACCCAAGAAGCAGAAGGCGACATACTTCTCTTTTTGACCGGCCGAGAAGAGATCGATACTGCAATCCAGTTGATATCCGAACGAGCGGCAACTCTCCACCCGAAAGCGCCCTCTCTGCTTACATTGCCACTTTATGCCGGACTCACCACGGAACAGCAAATGTACGTCTTTGAGCCGACTCCGGAAAACACCCGAAAGGTCATTGTCTCCACGAACATTGCCGAAGCTTCGGTCACAATCGACGGGATTGTCTATGTGATTGATTCCGGTTTTGCCAAGCTTAGAGCATACAATCCCAATACCGGTATCGATACATTGACTGCAGTGCCAATATCAAAAGCATCTGCCACCCAGCGAGCTGGCCGCGCTGGAAGAACGAAGCCAGGGAAATGCTTCCGTCTGTACACGCAACAAGCGTTCGAGCAGATGCCGGAAGCAACCGTTCCTGAAATTCAACGGTCAAATCTCGCACCAGTTATCATGCAGCTCAAAGCACTGGGCATCGACAATATCGTGCGGTTCGACTTCTTGACACCTCCGCCGGCAGAACTTATCATCCGTGCCCTTGAGCTCCTGTCCTCTCTCGGTGCGATTGACGACTACGCCAAACTCACAAAACCTCTTGGAACGCGGATGGCAGAAATTGCTCTGGATCCTATGATGGCTAAGGTCCTTCTCACCGCGCCGTCCTTCAACTGTCTTAGTGAAATTCTCACAATTGCGGCTATGGTCAGCCTTCAGGGGACAGTGTGGGTTCAGCACTCTGGAGACAAAAGAACTGCCGAGAGCCACCGTCGAAAGTTCGCCGTTGAAGAGGGCGATCACTTGACATACCTGAATGTGTACCAAGCTTTTGTCACTAAGGGAAAGAAAGACTCAAAGTGGTGCCGCGACAACCTTTTGAATTACCGGGCATTGCTACGCGCAGTGAGTATCCGAGGCCAATTAAAACGGTATCTAGAACGCTTTGGTATACAAGTTGATGAGACACTTTCATCCCGTCATGGTCCGGCCGATTTGAGCCGCCAACCGGAGCAAATTCGGCGGTGTCTTACAACGGGCTATTTTTCTCACGCGGCGAAGATGCAACCGGATGGAACTTTCAAGACTGTCAGCGGTGGTCTAACTCTTCATGCTCACCCCACCTCGTTGATGTTTGTAAGTGCCCATGGATATGTGGGAACGTCCATACTTAGTTTACTGACTTGATAATAGAACCGAAAAGCCGACTGGGTCATATTCCATGAGATTATGCAAACGGGTGAAAAGACTTATATCCGCGATGTCACCAAGATCGAGAAAGGTTGGCTGCTGGAGTATGCTCCGGATTATTACCGAGTCAGGCAGTAATCACACTTGAAATTCAGGCAGAGCGGAGTATGTACAATAATACCCAGGCGTTTCAAGGAGGCTGTGGAATTGAGATATGGTATGAACTTGATAGATTTGTTAGAACGAGAGGCAATTGGGCAGTGAAGCTACTGTAGATACAGTGATATTCAGATGTATGTATATATTCAGATAATATTTATATTGTAAACGGCGGACCTCTATATCAGGTTAGTTTTGCCTTTTGGGTTTAGCGCCCCAATACGCTGTCACGTAACCTACCTTCAACGCCCTCCGATATAAAAGACCCGTCTTCTACTCTTCCTCCCTTTCTCTCACTTTTTCATTTTTCTGCCTCTCTATTTTACACTTATCGCCACCCCCTTTCTTTTACTCTAGCCCCCACTAACTACTATATATTTACTTTTAGCCCAATATACTACCCCTTTTATTTTTACCGGAGATACCACTTAATCCGATATCTAGCTTATAATACCTATTACCTAGAATCATAACCACTAGGATAATATAGTATCCTATCCTTTCGTGTCAATAATCCTACTCCTTCCCTAGGGTAGTGACTAAGCACTATACTACGAAGATATCTAGGTCTCCCTCTACTGAACTGGATGAAATTATGGCCTACGAGCCTGATATTCCGGGCTCAGTATTTTCAAAGCTCACCGGGCAGCAAGCGGGCGAGGTCCGGCGCATAGGCGATCATCTTCTTCTGCGCAACCTCGCTTGCTTTTTGGGGACCTATTCTAGAGCTTGGAAGGCCGTTGGTTTCTGGAGCGCCTCCTCCTGGACTACTACGCAACCCTCAAGTATTGCCTCACGACCAAATCGTGCCGGCCTCATGACCTATCTGGTGGGTTTACACAACGATAATGCCATACCTGATGTGAAGGTGCGAATCGCAAGGGTTTCTCTGTTCCTATTCTTCGAAAGAGAAATTGGATGTGAGCGCAGACGTGGTACTGAGGAAAGTGCTTTGAAACGCAACGCCGTCAGCAACCTGTGCAACTCGAGCGGCCTAGGGCCAGTGGAGAAAAGAAAGCTTCATAAGTCATTCTATAATGAAAGGAAGATTGGTGAGTATTGGTGGTGGTGCGTCCATTTCTTCGGCCCCAGCTTCCTTGTGCGCCGCAGCAAGGAAGCAGGCAAAAAGATGTCAGGATCACTCTCATCTCCGGCTTGGCGACCTTTCAGTGCTGAAGCTGTCACCAGGGAAGCTCTGGCCAACCTGGAGAAATGGGCGACAAACCCCGACAATCGTTTGCTAACTTTTTGACCTCTTGGAAATCCCATATGGTTCCCTTTCCCCAAGTGTTGTTCTGGCGTAGACTGGCATCACATAGGTGGTTATCAGGTAGCGGGGCTTTAGATAGACCTTGATATGAGCTATCTACCAACTTGGACATCTAAACAGTTCTGTCCCAAAGCCAAAACAAGGCAACTGTAGCTTTTAATTCAGAATATAGTAATCAACTCGAAGGCATAGGGCAGAAGCGCCACAATTTTACTGCCTATATGCGGTTGCTCTTCATGATTCCTTCAGTCTGGTGCAAGCTCCTTCCGGGCGTGCTAACGAGGACTATTGTTATCGAGAGCAGCGGCTGTGCATCTCTGTATCCGTTTATGTAGAGGCCCTTTCACCTTGGCGTTGGTTGGCGTAGACGTACATGATGTGAATGTGACCCGCTTATGGTGTTTCACTTGGTTATGCAGACAATATCGGTATCGAATTAGTTGTGCTTTTAAGGCCGCGTAGAAACGGCATGTCCCATTAAAATCGAGAGATGAAATACTACTGTAAAATTTATGACGAATTTTCCTCATGATTATCGAAAGGAAAATGGTGGAGGACCGCTATCTTCTCCATCTCAGTGCTTGAATGTTCCATCAACCCATCCTTGATACTTTGTATGATGGCCCTACACCGATTGAGCTCATCTTCATCTGACACCCAGCCAAGGGCATCTGTGCCTATTAGTTCCCTCATCTCGCCCAGCTCCTTCAATTTTTCTTGTTCTTGCCGATAATCCTCGGAACATTGCTGTATCTCTTCCTCAGAAAAGTGAACGGGGCACCCAATAGATGTCGCTGTTACTCCTTCATCCAGCGACATAGGCCAATTTTTGAGAACTTGTATCATGGTATACTTCAACGAGACAGAGTCTCCTTCCCAGGGAGCCAGTGCATAGTGAAAAAGCTTGGCTCGAAGCATATAGTTTTCGGCCCTGATTGCGTCAAAATGATCCGGAAGGGATTTCATGGTCAACGCAGCATAATAAAAGTGGACCAGCCGTCTCCGCATTGTATCTTGAATAGTTTCTTGTTCCTCATAGCTGAGTCTATCAAAATTTTCTGGTAACTTGACCTCTGGCTTAGATAATGTCTCAGACATTGGATCACCCCAGTTTTGAAAATGATCAGGGATTCCAGCGCATAGGCAGAGAGGCAGAATAACTGTATGTTGCCAGTCAATTATCCCTACCACGTCGTTGGAGGTATTTACCATAATGTTATTAGGTGAGAAGTCTGGATGGCGAAGTGTCGGGCGGGACATACGGTGGTCGGAGGGGACGTCGAGGTAAGGCGCTAACTTCAAATAATTGGTAAGGAGCTGTTGGTACGGAATAGGTGAGAGCTTTTGGAACTGGTGTATTTCTCGTAGGTATCTTTCGACATATAGGCGTGGTTTGCTAAATCGTTCACAGAACTCTAGCTCGCGCTTAGCGGGTGCTTCGAAGCATGTAGAAAAGGCATTCCCTGGTTCGAAGTTAATATTTATAAAGAAGAGGCATAGATAGCGACTCACATGGGCCGCGGTCAACCTCTAAAGAGGCTCTTTCCTGATACCACCATTCATATTGTGCAGTTGGGCCAACAACAATATCGTGTAAGACTGGGATAACGTGTTGTGAGCTATCAAGATCACGGCGGTGATAAAGACTTCCGCTTGCTGGGAAGTGGATACTCATAAACCGTCTCTCTACATCAACGATCTGTCTCATTATTTTAACACGAGTTTTGTTATCCATGGAGAACCACCGGTCGCTTAAGGGTGTTCCTTCGAGTCTTTCAAGTAGAATGTATTCGGTTCCAACGGGATTTGTCTTGTCTGGAGAATACGCAAGGACTTTAGGGACGGGGACCCCATGAGCAAGTAGAAGTGCGAGTGTGGCAGCTTCACTGGCCACTGCATAATGTGGAACAGTCGTCTTGTAAGGCAGTCTTGCAAGAATTGTATATCCGTCGTCGAAGGTGATTTGCAAGACACGGTTGAAGCCCCCCTCGGCGAGTTTCGTGATCGATGCTACACCATTGAGGTTGCGGCCGACAGAATGGCAGGCCGTCCTTGCAAGAGCATCTATGTCGAATTGGATGCGGCGTTCGGCGCGGCGGAGCTCTTCGTTAAATCTATCAGACACGGCCTGTTAGTTCATCGCAGAAGTCATCGCAAAAGTCAGCTTATTAAAATAGCGCGTTCAGGAGCGAACCGCCACGACTCACAAAAATCGCCCAGAAGTGTACTCGAACAGATCAGGATTACCACGCAAAGAAGACATCCTCCTGGGGATTGACTTTGAGGATCGACTGAAATATCTCAAAATGTGTCGCATCTTCTAGCAGATGGCTTCAAGGTAGCATCAAGCTGGTCTTATAACCTGGCACCTGCGTACTTCCAGGGTCAACTTGCCGAACTCTAGGCAGCTAGCAGCCGCATTACTCATCAACTGTTAACTATCATAATCCAGCCGAGTAGTGCACGGGCCCACCTAAAGACGAGAGCAGGGGCCCGCGAAATCGAAACGCACCCCTAGACTCTCAAGATCTGCCGCGGTCTTGGGGAAAGCGGTTTTGTGGGCAACACTTGGTTTCACTAGCTTTTTGTAGCCATTTGCATGTTTGAGGACGGCGTCCTTGACCTTGCTCCACTTGTTCGGCATGTGGACGATGGTGCTAGCTGCCGTACCTTTTTTTCCTTGCAAGATAGGATGAGTATTTACCTTGTGACTGAAGCCTTGTGTTGTTGTATACGATATTAAAGAGTTGAGCTTTGGTTTAGGACAGGAGAAGAACGGTGTGCCCCTTTATACTTATGTATATGGGAGGAGAAAAATGGCATCCTTTCACAGTGTGTTATTAGGCGCGTACAGAATAGAGCTGGTTGGGCCACTCCTAGAGCATGCTGAACTAGAGACTTGGATTCAGTGCGGGGATGCTCTATTCTTGGACTGCTGACAAGTCTAGTCAAATATGGCGTGTGGAGATAACCTAGACTTATCCAGTCATGCTACAGTATATGGCTGTGATCGTGCTCCATCGGGGCGGCTAAGTAGAGTGAGTCCTACCGTATTAGCTAGGGCCAATGGGTTTGCGAGATAGGCTTTTCTTTGCGACATTTATGGTGTAGCGTCGCACTAATATGCGAAAATTTGTATTGTTCTCTTTCGACGAGCGCCCCCTGTAAACATGGCGAAACGCTAAGCTTATAGTATAATCAAATTTTCCCTGAACATCACAAAGAATAAGCTGGTTTTACCAACCTCTATGACCCCTATTGTACTCTGTACACGAACGAAGGTAATCTGAAACCTTAGGCGCAACAGGACTAATTAACTAAAGTACAGTAAGAGCAAGCGCGCTAATTAATTGGGCGTCAGGCTCTCTTTAAGGCGTATTATTAGTGTATAGAAGTGATAACTATACATTAGCGAACAAGTGTCTCCCGGCCATTGTTTCTTAGCGCCTGGCCTAACTAGGATAGCATGTTTCGGGTACGGTTGTTGAGAAGGTCATCTGTTTGATGTATAGGATAAAGAATAATTTTACACTCTTCAAGCAATGTGGGATTCAAAGTCGGGGATCATGTCCCTTGCGGCTTCACTAGACCTGAGTGAAGATAAACAAATGATTGGGTGGGGGAAGAGTTCAGATTGCTATCGATTCAACACCACTACCTAAGCTCTTTGCGGCGTCCCTCACAAGGTTATATAGACAAAACTGACACAGAAGGCCAGCTTGAGCCCTTATCGGAGCCCTAGATATATCTGGGAGCCGCTGCAGGCTATCTTACTTTCCCTAACCTTGATGCCCACATCAGCGTTGTTATCAGATAATGAACTGCTAAACAGTTTCTTGTTCTGGTGAATGTAGAAGCCGTGGGGTATGGAACCTCGGCTACCCCAAGCTTTCAAGCCGAGTCCGACCCCATACTCTTCATTAAGTAGGCGGTGAAACATTAAGAAGCTAAAGGTCCGTTTGTTTCAAAGTGTGTCGGTGCTGTTGGCATATCCCCATGTCCAAGTGTGTGCGCCTGGACCGGAGTTCCCATAAGATCCGACTGATTTGGTAAAGCTACCTGGGTGACTGCTGGCTCGTAAGGCAGCTGTCTTACACCTTGCACCATTTCTGTTGAAGAAGCTTGCCCGTTGTTTATGCCGCTATGTAGCGAATCCACATTGGCAGCACCCTGTTGAGGAACAGGTGCTCCGGGAGTTCCTAGACGATGTTAGCTGGTATTAATAACAAAAAACTGTGCCAATACTGTATATGTATGGGACATACCGAAACTAGCCTGGCAAGATTGAGGAAGTCTCGATTGTAGCCAATTGTTTCCATCCCCCTTGGCCGTCTATCGTCCCTTGGTGCCTGGAAACTTGCCGCTGATAAGTGGGTCTCAATCACTTGATCCAAGGCGGCTTTCATCGGTCCCAAAACCTTGGCAATCTCGTCCTCTGCCAAAATGTGAAGGCCACGTCTCTCTGCTTCTTTTGGCAATCCTTGCTCACACAGGCCTTTTATCATGGCAATTCGGTTTGGATTTGTTGCTGACTTGGGCAGCTCCTTGGTCCACCTAAGGAATTGTAAGCAACAAAACCACCCGGTTTCCTACTATGCCACTTACAACGATTCGCCCCCATCTTCGGGGAGGATATACAGTGCTCCTAGCCCTCCAAGATCTCTCGCAATAAGATCATACCTCTCTCCTCGACCAACCCAGAGTTGTACTCGACTTTCAATGACAGGAAGTAAGTCTTTACTGCCCAAGCTTCTTATGGCATGGGCTATGAACAGTGAAATATCGTCGTATTGATATCGAGTACTTGGCTGTATAGCGTTTTTCAAACGGTAAAATGCCACATACAAAATCCTGAGTCGGATTTTATCCAACTCCTGTTGCTGTTCGCAATAGATGATGAAGTTGTAGAAGTATTCAAGGGAAGATGTTTGCAACGGAGGTTGGACATGGCAAGACAAAGGTGCAAGTTTAAGGTTGGCCGATGAACCAGTGTGGCCTTCTGCCCTTCCGGGTGAGTGCAAAGGGAAGAGCGATTCACGCTTATCTTGCAAGCCTTGGATGACTGGTGAAACCTGAAGTTGAACTGAGGAGCGTGCAATGGCCTTCTTAATAGCGGATTGACGAGAAGTGCGACGGATGGTTTGCGGTATATATTTGTATATGCTTTTCGATATCCTGATTGTCTCCTTCATGAATGAGACTCGATACGCGTAATTGATATTTCATCAGGGCTAACTCACTGTGTCTCGCCAGAACTGAGCCTCGTCTAATTGATGTTTTCCCTCTTTCTCAGCCTGATCGCAAGCTGTGAGGAGGTTGTTCGCCAATACTCTGCTTTCCACGATGCCCATGGTGATTGCTGGAGCGAGAAGTGGATTGAGAGAACGATGTTGAGGTCGAGTGGAGTGAAGGAAGAGCAAGTCGTTGGCTGCTTCTGGACAGGTTATATATTTGTTCACCCGTCAAGCCGAGACCAGGACCTTCACTGCCACCAGTATAAGACAGTCCGTTACCTAACGCGGCAGCCTAACAATAATTCCTTTTAGTAGATTATTGAGGCCTGTTCAAGGTCTTATGACCGCCACGGAGAGCTCCAACCACGCCGCGCGAACGCATGCGGGGCTATCCATCGTGCAGCTTTTGCCCGCTGCACGCAAGGGACTAGCCGGAGGAGAGCCGACGAGCGTTACCCAATTCTGAATAGGTCTTCTGCGCAGCAAACCTATTCAGAATTGGGTAACGCTCGTGCATCGCGCTAAGCCCAACCTACCAAGCCCTAGACAGAACTCACCGTCACCTCGATGACCCTTGAGGAAAACGAAAATCTCGTATTATTGATTTGCCGGGAATACATATTGATCTGAATAACGGGCTACTTAACACATGTCAAGGAATACTTTAGGTCTCGGTGATTCCACTTGTCGCAGGCTGTCCCTGGCGACCTTATATTTCGGCCATTCTTCTTCTGATCCTTTTCTTGGTCTCGTTGCCCTTTTCGGTAGCTTGATTAATCCAGGCAAAATTCCAATCACAGCCCCTTATTCCGATCTTAGTTCAAAACCAGTAAGAGTGTAAGGTGTTATCAGCACAGCGCCCTGGCCCATTATACTTCTATGTCGGTCCTGCGGTATCTTAATCACGGCTTTCTTTCTTCGACTGACTCAAGACGAAAGGAGAAATGATTAGCCCTGAATCTTGTGAAGTAAACTGTACAGATCTGTATATCAATGTTCTAAGCGCACTTTCAGGTAGCTTTGCTCTTCGCAAGATCTTCTCAACTTCTCAACTTCCCCCAAATAATTGTGTTATGAATTGGCTACCCGTTTTCACTTTCCCCGCCCCGCTTGCCAATTGCTTACAGTCAATGGGTCTTTATACCAATGATGATGATTCTCCTAGCGATGATGATTCTTTTTGCTACGAAGAAGAGAGGCAAATTCATGATTGGGATTTGACTCGAGGAAATCCTGGCATCATAGCTTGGAATACGTATCCTACAAAGATGGTCTATAAACCTGACCCTGTCTACCTCAAAAGCGATGCAAAACACCCAAGGATTGAAGCAGATTCGGTTTATTCTTATGATAAACCTAGTTTAGGTCAGTATGTGACGGACTGGAATGGACTGTCTTGCTTCTAACTACTGATAGCTACAGAATCACTGGCCCCGCAGAGCAGAAGCCAGAGCAAGTTTTTATACCCAGGGAATGGTATAGATAGTAATATAATTGAGCTTCTATCTATACCCCTCGGGTGGAAGTGCTATTCGAAGCCCAGTACCAACCTATCTGGCGAGATACCACCCAGCAGCAATCGAATAACCCTGACGTGTGTAAGTCACTGTCTATCTGGCTTCCCCTTTCCCGATATCTAACAATCTTTCGCTAGCCTAGAAATTGGATCTAATTGGAGAAAATTCGGTTCTTTGGGCTTGCTTTGAAGTTATCCTCTGCAATATTGTGCCGTATTAGTACCGTATTATGAAAGCTCCTTGAGAAAGTATAAGTATTCAGAGACTTACAATTCACTATTAAGAGAACACGATTAGAAATAGTAGGCTTGTGTGACTATCAGGATCTAATAGAAATAAATGGCGATCGGTAAGCCGAAAATATTAAAGCCTACACGAAAATAGTTTCGTTGAGGGAGAGAAAAAAACAAAGCTTTGAGATATCACAAAGAGGAAATGCCCGTTTTGTAATTTAGATATTGATATCAAATTGGTTCCCTACAGCAAGTCGAAGTGTTCCTGTGTATATTGACCCACTTTGCTGTGCCAATCTTAGAGTTGATAATGTAGATGTTTATATATGGCCTTGGACGATGCGGGCTCTATCCTATATCGCTTATATTGCTTTGAGACAAGATAAGGCCTTGACTTAGAGCCTGCCGCCTTAAGAGATGAGATACTAATGTAATATGGCTTACCAGCTATCTGATCAGGTCATAGACCGATCAGTAAGATTGACTATCGAAGTGTTACTGGAATTAAGAAAAGATCTCTCAAGACTTACCTAGGAGTCTCTCGGTGAAGATGCAAAAGTTATTTTCCACTGGTACCTGGAATTACAGAGCCAGTTACAACCACCGCCGAAGCGTACGGCAGACCTTTAACTTGGACGGTCAACCGCTGTAAGATGATTGTAGCTTAATTCCGATTAATTCAGTCGAAATGAACTAGCGCTAAGATGTGTCTAGTCATGAACTCCGTGAAGTATGGGTTGCGTTGTATAGCGACATTATTCACCAGAAAAGTGGAAACAGTCTTCAACTATTGTAAGATCGAATGGTTGTCGAAAATATTCAAATGTCTGCAATTATTGGTCGTGTATATCTTGTGGGAGAAATGAGGTGCGCATAAAACCATCTCTATTCGTGGTTAGAATTAATTAAGAACCATACATAGTCACACTTCGACCCTAGCGAGACTATTAGATTATGTGTGAGTTCTCTAAGAAGTTAATTGTCTTATGATAGGAAGCTAAAATTACCAAAGGGGTTTCTCGAGAAGAAGAGCCTATACTAAAGATAGCTTATCTTCAATTGAAGATATTGGAAACTGGAGTGCTATCCCTGATGATATCAGGAGGATCTCGGGTTGATCACAACGCCGTTTTCGACGTTCCGCAAGAACCGTTCGCTATACTTCGGGTCGACTAGGACATGGCTTTGCATCCATTTAAGTTATCCAGGGAAAGCCAATACCAGCGGTGGACCCGTCGATAAAGATCGCTCGATCATGACATAGACTCCTGGAAAGTCCGAAATGACCCGCCGGTGGTAGTTTTGTTCTTCTGGTCATGGACGTTAAGGCTACGCTCATATCAGAAGACCCATGGATATTGCCGGTCGTGCTAGATCGACATAAAGACGCATGGTCCTAATTAGAACGAAATTAGCCATCAAAAGATATGCGATTGCGTGATATGGGAGACATTTTTCCGACGCCATAGTGCCTGGCTGAGACAAATGAAAAAAGGAAATCTATATAGAATCCACGGATTCAGCTGACTGTGCTTAGCTGGATTTATCAGAAAAAATGGATTGCAAAATCCTCTTAGGCAGTACCTATCTCCATCTCCAGAGGGTCAATCAAACAAAAAAGAAGATTTGGATGCGTAAGAAACTGGGTTAATAGGGCAATTGGAATAGCGAATTATAAGTACTAATTCACGAAGTCTCCTGGCTTTCAATTCTCGCTACCTGAATATTTTCCTCAACATAGACCAGACGAGCTGCCACATTTTTCCACATAAGGATCCCCTTTGTGATGGTTGTAGCCAGTCACAGCGGAATTTTGATAGAATGGCAGTGCCTCAACCAATCCCGAAGGACGCTTCTCCAGCCATGTCCTACAAAGACTGGCTCAGCAATTTCACTTCCGACATCTGTGGCGATTTGGCAACTGTCTGGATTAGACTTTTCGATTCAGGTTTGAACTTCTCTGGCGGGAGGCCAGTTTGGTGGCCGCAGGGTATACCTTGGATGAAGCCTCGGCGCATGTTGAAAAAGGGTATGATAATTGATGCTCACTGGATCTTAAAAGCTGACAAAACGAAGACAAAGTTACACTTCTCTACGATTTGCTACGTGGTCAGTTGCTTGAACGATGTACGAGAATCGACTTAGAGATAGCGGCACGGAGTATCTCTCGTCTGCAGACTTCGTCGGGGTACCAAAGGACCCTTGCCAAAATCCTCGATGCTTCCTAAATGAACAGAAATACTGTAAAGTGCCTTGATATAGGACGTTTGAGAGTCGCGAGAGTTGTAAGAATTATTCTGGTCCTTTTACGAAGTGTTTAAGAACATGCCATGGTCTAGTATCATGTCCATTCTCATCGTCTTTCCGCTGGCTTACTCGCACCCAACTCTACTAGCAACATCAATTAGGCAAATCGTGGATGTGAACTCGAGTTCACTTAGGGTTTATGCAGACTTGAATTCCGATTTTTGGGTCGAATGGCAGTCATTTTTACCATAAGGAGGGCCGCTGTAAGTGATTAACAGAGTTGACACGAAAGAATCTAACATAGACCAGGTATGCTACAGCCATGACCCGTTGTGCACTCCAGGAAGGATTACTCATTTCTCTAGAAGGGCCGACACTGCTATAGTTCTCGGTGGCCTAGGAATTGCAGAGGGATGTAAGAATGGGTAACCTAAAGCTTCTTATCGTATATGGGTATGTTTTCCGAGGTCTCTATGTGTCTGATAACTGACGGAGAATTCTGAAAGCATGCCGCCACCCGGCTAATCAGTGCCTACTCTTACGTGTTTGTAGGTGTGCCAAGCCACCATATGGAGTGAAGTGCGCGGTCAAAATACGAAGGCGAGCCTCTCGCCATAATATTCTGCATATGGTGCCTAGTATGTCTAGATGCTTACATTTCATAGCCGGTCTTTCTCGGCCACTTCCTTGGAACGGAATGATATTTATAATGTATTTAAACTAGATACCCCTTCCACGAGTAGAATAGCTTATTGCCTTCCTCGTTATATATCTATAAATTGACATTGAAGGCCAAGAATCCGTATAGGCTAACCCAGCTATTATTCTATCCCTAAACCTATTTAAATCCCTACTCGATCTAATAATACGAAGTGCTTCGCTTAAATTCTCCTTCCCGAAGAGGTCGTAGTTCAAGAATTAGACCTTATAGACTATGTTTCATCCAAGGCAGATCGCCCGGCCCCTACAGCAAACAATACGCCAAGCCACGACCATCCCGAGTTAGGGTAAGCAGAGTACTCCATAGTCCAGTTCATAGGCTTCTACCTAGTAGCTAGTTTCGCAGCTCATGAAAATGGCCCCCGCGAGCACGTTACATCCATGCCCTCGTTTGCGCTAATTCTGTTGATACAATACAGTCGGGCTGTCCGTGACCCGACGATCACCATAGCCACTCTACAGTCTCCACTCTATATAATAGGGGCCATTTTGAGAGCGACGATACGAGGTACAATGAAGTGTAGTATACCAACCGGCAAAGGTATAAATACCCTCATCAGAGACTCCAGAACGCTCCTCATCTTCTCAGATCATTCAGTCAGAGCAGTCCAACACAGCCCTTTTTCAAATACCTCAACCTCAACCTCAACTTCGATCTTCCACAAAGCGCAAGACATACTGAAAATGCGCTGGCAACTCCCAACAACTCTTCTACTCTCCGCCCTCAGCGCGACCCCCGCCCTGGCCGGACAGAAAGTGGTCGGCGTTTGGAGCAGCTCAACCTTCAGTACCAGTGGCAAAACAGGCACACACGACTTCTCCGCCGGCTTCGCGCTGGTTAACCAGGACGGCGAGAGCATCTACAGCGAAGAATACCCGGACGGGTACACCCCGTGTACCCATGTGGGTCAGGAATTCCAGCTCGAAAAAGGATGTTTCGGCGGGGCATGGTACTCGTTCCGGTGCCAGGCGACCCAAACCGGCATCCCGCAGCAGTGTGAGGTGAGGGGACCGGAGGGGAACACTGTCGGGACCGGTAAGGGTGAAGATCAAACGGATTTCTTCGGGGTGGGAATTGCGAAGTCTGGCGCTTGCAGAGTGAAGTTCGAGTTGGTGGATGGGATTGCCTGTGGCGCGGACGCAGCGGGTTTTTCAGCGCATCATAGCGAGTTCTAGGTGTACCGGTGAGATTCTGCAGCCACTGCTCTGAGGTTTACCCACTAGACCAAAAGGTCATAACCAAGTCAATTCATGGAATTGACTTCGTTGCAGTGGTATATATATTGTGGTTCTCCATACATAAGGATCACACACCTTATGGGATCACAAGAGCTTCCCTTTCTTCTTCTTCTTCCTCTATAGTTGATATTTGATAAATATACTCGCTTCCAATCCTCTAATTCCACTAGAAGTTTGATAAGCCGATCTAGCATGTGAACGGCGGACCTGTGAAATACTATATGCAGTTAGTTTTGCTTCTGGGTTCAGCCCCCCATACGCCGTCACCTCAGCCATGGCTCTTCCGTAGTGCCACCGCTGCTACTACCACCTCTACTACCACTGCCTCCTCCTCCTCCTCCGCCACCATTTGGACACTAATGATGAATGAGGCAAGGATACATTTCCCTTCGGCAGACTCCGCATTTCGATTGAAATGGGCACTAGAAAGTGTCTACGGCCCGTAGGAAATCTGCAATTTGACGCCCATCGCCCACCTTTCTACAAAATCAATGCAAATATTACTCTATTAGGCTATTTTATGTACACAACATGCTCTTGGCACTATCCATTTTCCCAAGAGTGCCCCGTATATGTCTTGGCAACACTTCAGGTGTCTCCACTTTAACGAGCATTGTGGCAGTCTAGGCCGGAAGGTCTTTTGTCTGATTTCACCGATAGAATAAAGGAATTTATCCTTTTGAGAGTTCGAGCTACCCGGTCATAGTAGCCGCTTCAATAGCCTCACTATACCAGTGTTGATACACGCTAGACACACCGATATCAAGAGGCTGTAATATATGGCTAGGATGCGAGAGTAAGAAGAATAAGACGATATGACCCTTCTCAAAAAATTGGATAAGTTGACGCGTTATGGTTCTAAAATGATCACATAAAAGCAGCCTTTTTGTATCTATTATACGACTAATTATCCACCTATAAAATAGCTGAATCCATTGGTATATTTTAATATTATTGACATAGCTAGTATCTAATATAGATACATAATTCTAGATTCACGATTTAGAATAGATCGATTGAAGAGCTTCTTCACTAGATATCTTGTGACAGTAAATGAGTCTTGTCTGACACCTAGTTAGAAGCTACTTTCGCCGAAATTGTAAATATCTTGTTAACATATTCCATACTCCTCGATCTTTTGTTGGTATTGAAAACCACCTTTTTACCAGAGTTTCTTCAAAAGCGGAAGTTCTCCTAATATTAAGGGCTCCTCTTCTTCGCATATAGTACTTATGACTACCTTTGAAAAAGGTTATAGCGAGTGGTCGCCGATTGATAGAGGTGGGATTCAAGGATTCTAGTGATTACCCCCGAGGATTGAATGAGCGGCAAATTAGAATTTGACGGCGATTTATTGATGCTCCGAACAAATCACAGTAATCAGTATATTCATATCAAGCTCCTTCTTGCGAAGAGGTAAGCTTTCGACCATTGGGTCATCTTTGAAAAAGAGATTTTCCGCCGTACAATCGCCGGCAGAGTCGATGCATAGGAACCGCGAATACTCGCGCAGTTTTCAAGATATCATGCTTAAACTGCTCAGATAGAGAGTCTAGAGCCCGTTGTATCTGTGTCTAGATTTCTTTACTGGCCTTAGGCATTTTTGGTGGTATGTTTGGTGAAAAAAAGGGAAAATGTCAAAATGAAAAAGATTTTTGCAAATGGGTGGCGGACCCTCGCTTGCGAGGGTCTGTAATTATTGTGAAAAAAAAAATTGTAAGGGCCGATTAGTTTTTTAGTATGAATTTATGGGAGTTGTAGACAAATAACATTGTTTCACTAGCATCTTCACATATCCACGTCAATTTCTCTTGTATACATGAACTTCGAGCCACTCCTCAATATCTTCGTCCTCGGCTTCCTCTAGTAGTCTCCAGATCCGCCGACGATTTCGCAGGCGGAGGGAAGCATGCTCTAAAGGTTGCCCCGGTTCGAACACCTCCACTTGTGCAAGGGTGCGAACAAGGCCCTCCCAATCCCAGACTTCTTCTGCTTCAAATATCGGAACGTCCACCGCATCGGATGTCACAGGGCAGCTCTGTAGGGCGGAGATGTCCAAGTCCCAAAGCCATGGTAAAATTTGCCGATTGAAAAGCAAGTCACGCCACAGCCTTGACGGTAAGGAATAAGTGCATGTCTGCTCCGGGTTGATTAACGGGTGTAAATTTTTATAAATCATGTCTTGGAGCTCAGTGGGTAGTGCCTCTAGTTTACGAAATATACTAGATTGTCCTTGCAAGGATGGTGCAAGAGGTCGCAGATATGAAAGGATCTCCTGGGTGAGTCCTGGTATGGGATATGGTGCCATTTCGTATTCCTAATGACAGGTTGTTAGTGATGAGATGGAAGCACCATAGCTTATACTTGTGCAGAACTCACATAGGCCTTCTGCTCCCCAAAAGCCCATGCGACGTTGTGAAAGAGGTTGATGTCCCTAAAATAATAGTAATGTGGCTCAACTACACGTCGGGGGTGGAACGAGCCGTTGCGTCCAAGGGGATAATCGGAATACACCCTAGTTAATCGTTGCTCGAACACTTCATAGAACTGGCTGAGCGTGGTCGGGCGCTTTGGGCCAGCCGATACTCCATCTTTCAGCAGAGTCTGGCGATAATCTACCAGACGTCGTATCATGTCAAGGCATTCCGAATGTACCGTTACATACGGGTACTCCGTATAGAGATCGTGGACTAATTTCGACGTGTGGTCCCCATAATTCACTGGTTCGAATCTTAATAACCGCTCCCCATAATGCACACCGTCGATCTCGATCTCTAAGGAATCAGAAAATCTCTTCGGCAGATCATAGTTTTTGTACAAGAATGAGAGTTGGCAAAGTTACCCACCATCTATCCCGAGTACTTCTAGCGGTAGATCGTGATTTGGCAGGCTCGCAATATCCCAATCTTTCTCGTAGTGATAATTCTCAGCTCGGATGGCCTGCGGTACAAACCACTTGTACCTCTCAAGATTCTTGTCTCGCACTTCTGCTTCCACAACCTTGATCTTTTATAAGCGGACTACTGATTGAGGGGCACTAAACCAGAGCTCACAAAGCTTGGGGCACCACAGACAACACAGCATATATCTTCCGCGTCATAGCCCTTATCAAATCGCTCGAAGTCGAAGAGATCGATCTCGGTCGGACGCTCGCTGGGGTGGAAATCCATGGTAGGTGAGATGGAATTTTACTCTGATTCGGATTTCGATCCAGGAACACTTCAGAAGGCAAGATAATATGGATAGTAAATGACTCAGACAAGGTTACATCTTTTAGCGCCTTGGAATATACTAAACAACCTACCTATGGGAGCACGTTCAATATACTCTATCTATTGGTTGGTTTCAGCCCGTTGCCAAGCTGAATTAAATCAGTGTTGACATTCGCCGGAAGGATCTTTGGCTGGCGTGCTCGTACTATGTATTCAGGGTTACAAGATAGGTAACAAATGCCGTCCCCCAAAATAGCAATTTACCACTTAGTACAGCGACTGGAATCTTAGTTGTAAAGTGATATAAGCAAAGAATGACTCCAAGCTATATAGGTAGTCTCTTGTGATATATATATAAAGAGTTCATATAAAGAAAGTACGGAGTACATATAGCATCACCTCAATTCGCCGTAAAGCGACGTCACGGGAGTGGAGAGCTTCCCCAAACATTTTGCAACTTCAAATCTCCAAGTCTTGACCGTATCATTCACACCTTGTCCCACTATCTAAGCTACATATCTTGCAATGTCAGGGCATCACCATGATCATGATGGCCACTGCCACGGCGAAGATCACGACCATACCAACGATATCACTCCAGCCCTCCAATCCCTCCTCTATTCTCAGATCAACTTCGACCTGATTACAACCCTAAATGGTACGCATGAGTCCCGTTAGAAAAGTACTGATGAGACGTTCTAATTTGCGATTGGCAGAAACTACCCCAAACTCTGGCGCATCCATCGTTCAGAAAACCTGGGCCGAGCGACTAAACGACCAGCCTGAGCTCGAGAGTGATGCCGATGAGCAACTGCTCATGACCATTCCGTGAGTCTACTTCTTCTTCTTCTTCAAATGTCCTACAATTTGTTGTTCATCTCGCAACGCGTCATGAAAATCCCAAACAAATTTCCAATCTGACCCCTCACCGTTATCGCCCCAAACTAATGCGAGATCAGTTTCAACGGCCAAGTCAACGTCCATTCCCTCCTGCTGTACACAGCACCCACAAACTCCGCCCCAAAAACAGTAAAGCTGTTCAAGAACCGCGATGATATGGATTTCTCAACCGCGTCGGAGTTGCAACCGACTCAAATCATCGAGGTCCCGCAGCCTGTACCTGGCGCCGATGTATTTGAGTTGCCGTTAAATCGCGCCCATTGGAACGCGACTACCTTTATCACGCTTTTCTTTGAAGATAATTGGAGTGATGGTGAGGAAGATGTCACGAAGGTTGGGTATGTAGGCTTCAAGGGGCAGTTTATGAAGTTGACTCGGGAACCGATTAATTTCCTTTACGAGGCTGCCGCAAACCCTCAGGATCATGTCTCTATCCCTGGTGTCAGTGGTGTTGGCAGCATTATGCCTGGCCAGTAGATGGAATATGTTTTGGGTGTCATGATGATTAACGACAGTTCTATTCCTACTATGTATTTTTACCTGGATTCTAATGATTCCTTTTTCTTTCTGGTACAGTGAGCTTCTACACTGGCTATCATATGTAAAACCTCGCATGTTATAGTCTATCGAGTATGCATTCAATTTTCACAAACAATAGAATCAATCGCCAACGCCATGGACGCATGAAATTTACCAGTAATGTAGGTAAGAAAAACAATACAAGCCCCAACGCCACAAAATGCTTTGGATCAATATAATGCAATGCTTGGTACTGTGCAACGAGGATCCAACGTATCCTCCTACTAAGCAGGCAACGCCGTCCGAGTCTCAGCCTTAGCCTTGGCTCTTTGAGTCGACTCCGGCACCGGCTCTTCAACAGGCAAATCAGCAGTAGGCGGGCTCGGCAGTACAACAGAATCAGGCAGGATTTCAGGACCAGCAAGTTCTCGCTGCAGAGCCTCCAGCTCATCCTCGACCTCGTCCTCATCTTGATTCGTCAAATGACCAGCCAGCATTTGACTCACCTCCTATAACAGATTGTCAGCAAAACCGACCCCTAATCATACCAATCATCCGGCATAAGAGCAATTAACAAAAACGAGAGACATACCTCCTGATAAGCTCTCGCCTCCTCGGTCTCCCCCATCAATCTCTCGACACCCTCAATACCGCCCATCTCCTTGTTGATAGTCTGCAGCACCTTCGTTCCCTGCTGCAACCCAAACAACACGTCCTTTTGTACAAGCGCAAACTCCACCTGCCCAGTTAACTGTTCTAACTGCGCAAGTTGGCCATCTGTCTTGGCAAGTAGTGACTCCTGGTACTTCTTGCGTCGGAGGGCGAGCAGTGCTCGCCGCCGATCATCGCGCGCAAGACATTCCCTGGCGATTTCCGTTTCGCGGTCTGTGAGGACGGTTATTCGTCGCTGATATTGATGCAGTTTGTCGCGTTGGTTTTTAAGGTCGAGAATTGCCCTGAAGACACGACGGAGCGTTGGTTAGCTGGAATCATACAAGCTATTGCGCTTGAATGGGCATGTTGGGCGGGGAGGGGGTCTCGTGAGAACAATAGTATTCTCATACAGGCACTATTGAGGATGGTTCGTGGATACTGTAGACAGTAGGAAGTCTGAACTCACCGATCCTGGGCAGAGATCTTCTGTGAACTACTCGAGTTCCCCATGTTGTTGAAGAGGGAGAATATCCTCCATGTTGTAGATGGCCTAGACATGGATGACGTTATGTAATGGGCCCGTAATTACGTGTAATTTTCAGCCGATCTTTCAAATGTTTCCATCTCCGAAATTTCGGGCCCGCGGTCTTTTTTTTTTAGGAACAACAATAATTCAATCATGCCTCCAAGGAAGGGTGGCAGGCCGACCCTCAGTCAGGGCCTGGACCGTGAGGTATGTATTCAGACTCAAGTCCAGTTGGCTTTCGCTCATCAAAACAGGTCTACCAGGTCGTGCGCAAGATCATTGACGACCAGCCCGAGACTGGTCGCATTCGACTATCGGTCCCGACGATTTATGACACAATTAAGAAATCCAATTCGAGCCTGAACCGGAAACCAAAGAGACTCATTGAGGACAGTCTGGAGCGGGTGTTGGAGGTTGTCAAGGCTGATATGGGTGAAGATGATGAGGATTCCATGGAGGGAGACTTTGAGGGACTCGAGGAGCCTCCCGCAGCGGTACGTTATACACTGCGCATATCATGCTTGAATGGGACGGAAGTGCTGATTGGAATTGTCATAACAGGAACCCAATGGAATGAACCAGAGCGTCATCGGCTCCTGGGCAGTAGCAAAGGCCAAAAAGACCGCCGAATCCACCGCCAGCCCGGCACCCACATCCTCAAAGAGAAGAACACATGGCGGAGAATCTGTGTCCAAGCGACGCAAGGCCGAGCCTGCGGATCGCTCACCACCAACACATGTCAGTCTCGCCGATTTGGGTGGACTGGATGATGTTGTCCAGGAACTTGGGGATTTGGTTATTCTACCCATGACCCGGCCGCAGGTCTTTCTATCCTCAAACGTGCAGCCGCCGCGTGGAGTATTGCTACATGGCCCGCCAGGTTGTGGTAAGACGCTGATTGCGAATGCTTTTGCAGCAGAGCTGGGTGTGCCATTCATTTCAATCTCTGCGCCTTCGGTCGTGTCAGGAATGTCGGGTGAATCCGAGAAAGCTTTGCGCGAGTACTTCGAAGAAGCCAAGCGCCTTGCGCCCTGTCTCATTTTCATCGATGAGATCGATGCGATTACACCAAAGCGCGAGAGTGCCCAGAGAGAGATGGAGAAGCGAATTGTCGCCCAGCTTCTGACCTGCATGGACGATATCGCCCTTGAAAAGACAGATGGAAAACCCGTTATCGTACTTGCAGCAACCAACCGCCCAGACAGTCTCGATGCCGCTCTGCGCCGTGGTGGCCGTTTCGATAAGGAAATCAACATGACCGTGCCCTCGGAGCCAGTCAGAGAACAGATTTTACACGCACTAACACGTAAGATGCGCCTGGCCGATGATATCGACCTCAAGACGCTAGCTAAACGTACCCCCGGCTTCGTGGGCGCCGATCTTAACGACCTCGTCTCGACCGCCGGCTCGGCCGCCATCAAGCGGTACCTCGCGATCCTCAAGTCGAACAGCGGCGAAGAAATGGAGATGGAAATCGAAGGCGAAGAAGATATCAGCCCACGAGTTCGTGACCTCCGTCGCCTCATCGTTCACGCCAAAGAAACACCCCTTGGCGATGAAGCAGAAGTCGTGCTCGTCTCCAACGCAGACTTCTTCACAGCCCTCCCCAAGATCCAGCCCTCCTCCAAGCGCGAGGGCTTCGCCACAATCCCTGACACAACATGGGCTGATATTGGTGCCCTTGGCGGTATCCGCGAGGAGCTTGTCACTGCCATCGTCGAACCAATCAAGAACCCCGATATTTACGCCAACGTCGGTATCACCGCACCAACTGGTGTCCTCCTCTGGGGCCCGCCCGGTTGCGGTAAAACCCTCCTCGCAAAGGCCGTTGCCAACGAGTCCCGCGCAAACTTCATCAGCGTCAAGGGCCCAGAATTACTCAACAAGTTTGTTGGTGAATCTGAGCGCGCAGTTCGCCAGGTCTTTGTCCGTGCTCGCTCCTCCGTGCCCTGTGTCATCTTCTTCGATGAACTCGACGCCCTCGTGCCCCGTCGTGATGATACGCTCTCCGAGGCCTCTGCCCGTGTTGTCAACACCCTCCTCACGGAACTTGATGGTCTCGGTAGTAGCCGTCAAGGTATCTATGTTATCGCTGCTACTAATCGGCCTGATATCATTGACCCTGCTATGCTGCGTCCTGGTCGTCTTGAGACCCTGCTCTTTGTGAACTTGCCCACGCCCCTCGAGCGTGTCGATATCTTGCAGACTCTTCTCCGGAAGTTGTCCATTGAGTTTGATGATGAGTTGCGCAAACTCGCTGAAGAGTGTGAGGGCTTCAGTGGTGCTGATTTGGGCAGTTTGTTGCGTCGTGCTGGTTACTCTGCTATCAAGCGTCGTGATACTATCAAGTTGGTTGACTTTGTTGCTGCGAAGGCGTTCATTCGGCCCAGTGTCACGGATTTGAGAAAGTATGAGAAGCTACGCAGGGACTGGAGTGGTGGCGTTGTCTAAGTTGGCTGGTTTGCATATGCACTTCTCTTGGGATATACATATTTAGATCTAGATTTTTTTTTTTCTCCCATTTTTTCTTGGTTGGGATCGTGGACATAGATACCTTGAACATTGGCTATTTGATCGAACATTCAATTCATTCATACTTCCCTTGGACTACTACTAATAGCGATAGATCCCAAATTCTATGTTGATATGATACGAGGTAGAAAACGTTAAAGGGAACAACTTTTTTGTAATATACCTATACAAAAGAAAGATTATGCACAAAAATAAATGGAGATAAAACGCCCAGAAAAATGTTTGACATCATGCAACAGCATCTCAAGATTACATCCACAAGCGACAGGTTCCATCGGCACCGGCACTGACAGCCCACGCTTCGCGGGGGTGCCAGTCGATATCCAAGACACCCAGCTCGCCAGTAATCTTGTGGCCCTTGAGAACCTTGAGCGGCACAATGGTAGCATTGCTAAGCATGTCTCCAGTGACGCTGCCATGGAAGATCTGCAAGGATCCATCGTCGGAAGCATCTGCGAAGAGGGGGTAGCGGCCACTGGGGTGGAACTTGACGGCGCGGATAGCCTTGCGGTGGTAGCGGAGGGTCTTGTAGGGTCGCTGGGAGAGGTCAAGATCGTGCCAGAGCAGACGACGATCGTACGAGCCGACGATAATGTTGTCACCGCCGGATGCGCTGGAAGAGGTCGGGTGGATGTCGAAGGACGAGATCCAGCGCGCACCAGGCTGCAAGATCTTGACGAGAAGCTGGCGGGAGAGATCATAGGCGCGGATCGAGCGCTGATTGGCGACGAAGAGGATAGGTTTCGACGGGTGGAAGTGGGCAGTCTGGGGGGGACCACCGCCCTTGAGGCGACGCTTGAAGGGGAATTGCGTCAGGTGTTTGCTGACTGTGTGGATGGAGATTGCGACGGAGGCGGGTGTCGAGGCGCCCGAGCAGACTGTCACGAAGTAGTCGCCGCGGCGGTGCCACGAGATTGTCTTGGGCACGTAACGGAGGGGAATGACGACGCACACACCGGCGTCCACAAGAGCCGACTCGGGACGGATCCAGGTCGGGGCTGTGTTCTTCTTGCCTTCCTCTGAGGCACTGGGGGCCGGCCGAGAGGCGGCGAAACCCCAGCCTGCGTCGAGGAGATCTAAACTGGCCTTCTCAATTTCGGGGTTGACGATAGGGGGCACGGCAAGGAAGATATCGTCTCCTGCGGTGGCAGCGAGGACGACGGCGTCCTTGCCCGGACGCCAGCGGACAGTGTTGACCGCCTCATCATCGCTGAGCTTCACGCTCCACAGTTGGCGACCTGTGAGGAGTTCCCAGACACGGACGGTACCATCATCGCCACCAGTGGCCAGCCAGACTCCAGTTGGGTCCACGTTCACAGAGCGCACACGGCCCTTATGTCCGCGGAAGACTGTGGCACAGGCAGTGGGGAAAGGCTTGAGCTCCTCGGGGCTGGGAAGCTTGGGCAAGAGACTCTCGGGGTCGATGTTCAGCTTGCTACGACGCACACGCGGAGCGAGGTAGAGATCCAAGCAACGCTCGAATTTCTCCTGGACGAAGTTGTCGTATCCAGGAACTCTGCGTAGGGAGCCAAAGTCGTTGGGCAGGAAATCCTTCTCGCGATCTTCGGGATCTGTCTGCTCCCATTCCTTGCGTTCCTTGTTATCGGGCAGGTACTCAGCAGGCGGGTGGTAACTCTCCTCGTAACCAGGAGGTGGGAGTTTAGGCGCCGGGATGTGCATAATGTGGTCAGGGCGCTCAACCTCGTCAGCCCACAGGTCGTAGTTGATGAGTTCCTCATCCTTCTCTTCCCTCTCTTCTGGCGCCTTGTAAGGAAGAATGCGGCCCTCGCGGATGGCCTTCACAAGCTTCATCACACGCTTCTGCTCGTGCTTGGATGGCACGAAACGGCGCTTGGGCTCGGGAGCAGCGCTCAATGGCATGATCTCCTTTTGACTGCTAAACCATTCCACCAAAGGCTCATATGGGTCGTAGCCCTCGGAAGGAACCTCATTCATCTGCACCTTGCGGAGCAATTCCAATTCCTCCTGGCTGAGCTCCAGAGGCTTGCCGGTCTGAGGGTCAGTCATACCGGTCCAGCCCTTGGGGATTTCAATGCTGTCTAACAATGCATCCAGGGCCTCGCCCTTGGCAGGACGCATAATTTTCTTTCCATTGATGTCGTAACCAATATGGGGGTATTCGTCGTAGAACTTCAGCGGAATGTCGCCAATGGTGTTGGCATTTTCATCAACTTCGGATAGTTCAGAGTTATCGTCCGGGTGAATTTCATCCCAGAGGTAGCGGTCGTTTCCGTTGGCGTCCTTCACGATGCGGAAGTTAGGTTCACCGGCAGCTGGCTTAATTTCTTCTGTATCAGAGGGAATTTCATCGCTATCCAATTCCTCTTCATCATCTTCCGAGTCGCTGAAGTCGTTGACCAGCTCAACTTCCGAGTCACTGTCATCGTCCTCGCTGCCCGAAAGATCGTTGGCGGTGTCCGACAAGGATCCATCAAGGTTACCTTTGCTCAATTCGTCGCCGGAAAAGACACCAGCTTCCTCCTCCACATCACGAGTGACAGCCTTGCGCTTCTTTGAAGCCGCCTTGGGGTTCATGGTGCTGTTTAGCGGGTGTTGTCTTACTGCAGTAGATCCATGGATTTTTTTTTTGGATAATTTCTCGCAGGCATTCACCGCTCACCGCCCACATGACCGCCCCCGGCTTATCGGGCCTATCTATGACAGGCCAACCATTTTGGAATGTTTTCTATCTATTGAAGGGCTTTTTTAATCGAGAATATCATCAAGCTATGCCGCTCCCACCTGAGTATGAGGGAGTGCCTCCTGTGCCTGTAAATGAATCCCCAGAGGCAAAAAGACATGCAGCATGCGACGAGTGTAGTATGTCCCACAGACCGATGTCACACAACTCTCACTGACTAGTCGACTGTTCAATAGGAAAGCGGAAGCTCAAATGCTCCGGAGAGCCGACAGGATGTTCGCGATGTACCAAACAGTCACTCTCTTGCAACTATTCCATACAAAAACAGATGGGCCGACCGCCTAAGAAACGGACACGGACAGATGATGAGGGGGTCGACTTCCCACCGATATCTGGGGCTGAAATTTGGCCAAGTCCAGAGGACTCGCAACAATCTTCATCAGGAATGAGTCCAAGCATAAGCAATTTCCCAGATGCTGATCATCTTTGTCCACAATTCTTCTGGCGGCCTGGTACCAACACGAATTCACCACAGTCCCAGCCTGCAGATCTATTGTCAGGCTATGATGACCATAACCATACCTGGAAGCCAGACCTTTTGAAACCACCAAACCTTCCTGTCTTCCCGTCATCTTCTCCCTGGCCAGATTTCTCAACTGTCTCTGAAGCCACGGCTATGCCAATGCCAATGCCACTGTCGTTGCCATTTCCTATCCCTACACTTTTTCCACCCTCGCCCTCCCTCCCGCTCTCACCTGCCGCCTCCGTTTCCTCCGACTCCGCAACACCTGGGTGTACGTGTCTGTCATATCTCTACCTAAGCCTCAGCCATATGACATCACTATCATCTTTCCCCGTCAACTCACACACTCTATGCTCGCTATATATCGCTGCACGGACAGCGCGAGACGTGATCCGCTGCCAAGTGTGTCCTAAGGCCTTCTCAACGGGGTTTCAAAATATCATGTTCCTAGGGACTCTATTAACAGTTGTCGCGGACTCGTGGCTGCGCGTCTCGCAAGCCGACGCTACTGAACTGGGGATGCAGTCTGCGCCTCCACACTTCTTGTCTGAGGCGCATCAAAGCCCTGACCCTACCCAAGTTTGGAAATCATGGCTTCGACAGGTGGTTCGCCGCGCTGTCATTGGTGGTCCCATCGGGCCAGGTGCTATGATCCCTTGTTCTGAGCAGCCAGACCTACTGTCTATGATTGGCGAACTCGAAGATCGGCAACGCCGCTGGCATGAACCTGGGCAACATCCACTTGGAAAAAACCAACCTGGACAGTGGAACACAGTGTCCTCCTTCTCGGAACCATATCAGTCACAGGATCAGGATGGGCCCGGTGAGAATAAATTTTTATGCCTTCGTTTGATTAAAAGTTCTAGGGAAGTGATCGCTAAATTCAACTTCGATCCTTCGGAATATCCCGAGGGCGTTGAGCCGATCAGTGCAGGCAACAACACACATATGGGTGCACATCATGCATGAATAAATTTGCTTAATTATAGGTTGGGATCGGTTATCTGGTTTTTGCACTCTGGATATGTCTGAGACTATGTGGAGTTATTGTTGTATACCATTTGGCATGAGATACCATACAAATCTACATTACTTCGCTGGCACGAAGCTAGATATGTCATTGACCATTTCATTAATTTTTGTTGTACAAGCATCAAGTCAGAGTGAAATGAGCCCCATTGTCCCTCGAATGCCTGTCCGTGTAAATGACGCCGGACCATGTGGATATGTAACAAGAAAACTGCATTGAAGAGCGTAAGAAAAAAGAAAGAACACGCGAGAGAAGTGGAGTGACACAAGCTCATTCGTCATCCTCGTCGTCGACCACGTAGCGGTTCTTCTTTCGGGCAGGAGGCGTACCAGCCCTGGCTTGGGGCTCAGGCTTGCTACGGGAAGCTTTCGCAGGTGCAGCCTCCACGTCGTCTTCACCTTCAGCGTCCATGTCATCGTCCTCTAGCTCCTCTTCCTCATCTTCGGCTTCTTCCTCAAGCTCCTCGTCGCTGCCAACCAAGAATCCATCGTCCTCATCGTACTCGTCTTCTCTGTTACGAGCACCACGAGAGTAGTCCTCTTCGTCGTCAGTGTAAATTTCACCGCGACGGTTTTGGCGGCGAGGCTTGGCACGCGGACGAGTTGTAAGCAAACTGCTATCTTCAAGACCACCGACACTAAGACCGGTAGGACGGCTGGCGCCATGGCGGCGACCGCGGTCGGCCTCGCGATCAGCAAGCTGCTGGCGACGACGCTCGGCCTTGATAGCTTCCTTTTCCATCATTTCAGCGCGTCTAGCAGCCAACTCGGGATCCTCTGTTAGTTCATAGCGCGGCGCAGTGCCAGCTGCGGTCTGCTTGCTACCACGAGCAGCAGCCGCCAGCTGTTCTTGCAACCGCTGAACGGCATCGTCCGTCTCCAAGGTGGTCGGGAGAATAGTCAGACCTTGGGTGACATGTGAGCTCAATCGGAATACTTGAGCTGTTTCCAGTCCAGCTGCGAGATACACGTGGGAGTCCAGCTTGTGGTCATAGTCGCCGGACTTGGTGAGAGGTGCGAGGGGTTTGGATGCGATGCGGTATTGCTCAAGGGGTGCGGATGCGAGTTGGAGAGTGATAGAGCCATCCTCCCATTTGATCATGCGGGCATTGGACTGCAAGAGGGACCCATCTGCGGGATCCTTACGCCAGCATAGGGAGGTAGCAGCGGTCTGGTAAGGTGGTGGGACGTAAGTTTCAGGGTTGAATTCCTCTCCCTCGATTGAGAGGAAATCCGGCACACGCATGGTGTAAACCTGTTACTAGAAGTTAGATCAACCTCAAAGGTTTTGGAGTAGAAGCTCCCACCTCTCCATCGTTGGTTAACGGCATTGGCGCCCGAGCAAGGTCCTGCTCAATGATATTGACTTCCTGCTCCTCCTGAGCCACATCGTCCATTCGGTCTTCGCGCCGATCATAGCGGTGCTCATCGTCACCTGAGTCAAGTTGCTCATCATCTAGGTTGCGGTGGGGTCTAGCAATATATTAGCATTTAGCTCTTGTCGTTTTGGTGCGGTTTGCATACTCAATGTCATCGAGTCCACCCTCTCCATCCGACCCGAAAAGATCATCGCCTTCATCCATTTGGTCGGCGCCAGAATCATTGGCATTGCTGTGCGCAGGACTCTCATTGCCATTGCTAGGGCGTCGGACGCCCTCCTCATCGGAGGACATGGTGTATGGAATTTATTGTTGTTGCAGGTTCGGTAGATATGTGATGATGTGAGTGGCAATAAAGAAGGGATTGAAGGCGTTCTTAATATTATATCGGCAGTGAGCGATGCGATATATCGTCAGTAATGTATTGACAATTGTTCTATCGGCTCGTTCACGAGCTCCCATAATTCAATTGACGCGCGGGGATATATATTCTCCGACTCCGGACCCAAACAGGACTAGCGTCTCGATGGCCCAGACCAAAAGGGGATCCTCAACGTGTGGGCATCTCACCGTCTCGTCCCTCATCCCCGTTATTTTCTTAATTTGAAGCATCGCAGATCAATTTCAAGATGGCGACCTTCTTCCAGAGCGTGTAAGTGATGTTGTACCATTGTGGACATGTTGCAATCGGCAGTTCAATCTCTCTACTACATTTACCCCCTCATACTGCACGAAGAACCCCCCGGCGCCACAAATACAAAGGAGCATTCCATGTCTGAAAGTCTAATATATGCCCTGGCCTCCTTTTTATTGTTCACATCTACCCTTGCTTCTTCTATATATTTTCTCTTTCTTCTTCAACAGCTATACCTCGCTACGATCGTCCGCTAACTCTATTTTTGAATACAGTCGCCAAGGATTTGGCCGGGGAGGAAACAATAAGAGCAACAATCCCCCTAAAAGCCCAGCACAATCCTCGACCCCTCAGCACCAAGCCACTATGTCGAATTCGCCCTCGATTTCCAGCAGTCTGTCAGTGGAGACTCAAGCGAACGACCCCGAGGGGCCCAAGTACTTCTTCCAGGAGAAGTATGCCCCGCTGAATGTGAGGGGCAACTTTTTGACGCTCTGTGCTTGCCCGAAGAATGTGGAACTGGGCGAGTGGCTAGCTCACCAGAGTAAGCAACGCGGAAGCTTATCTCAAGACCGGGAGGCTAATATGTTTCCACTTCAGTTGTTGAACAATATCGTCTACTCCACGGCATGCTCCAGGTGATCCAGGAGGTGAACAGTGTGACCGGGCTTCCTATTTGCAATGAAAACACTTGTCCAACAATGTCCGCTGGACGGTATGTGGTTATGGCGGGGTAAACTATGAACTGAGCTAACGATTCCGAAAGGCTGACCTATACCTGGCTTGTTGACGGCCGCGCCGCCAAAATCTCCGCCCCAAAGTTTATCAACCGCGTCGAGAAATGGATTGTCAGCAAAATTCACGACCCTGTTATGTTCCCCACTGAAAAGGTCAACGGCACTCCCGAGACATCGGCCATCAAAGAGGCTAACGGCGCATCCACAACTCCCTCCGACCCTGCCAACCCAGATGAATGGATCGGCAAGTCTAGTGGCTTCCCGCCAACCTTTTATAAGGACTGTCAAGGTATCATGAAGCAGATGTTCCGCTGCTACGCTCATCTGTACCATGCTCATTGGCTTAACCCCTTTTGGCACATTAACAAGCATGATGTCCTGAACATGTGCTTCGTTCACTTTGTGACGGTCTCCAAGTACTACGGGCTTGTGTCCGATAAGGAGATGGAGCCCATGCAGCCTTTGATTGAGTTGTTCATCAAGCAACAGCGGGTTCCCCCAGAGGCGCTTAATGGCGGCCACTGGGCCCAGCAGGCCGCCACTTGAGCTCCACGGGTCTGGAGCTGCACCTTCTTGTTTTTACATTGATGACCATGACATGTCCGCTAACCTGGCGTTGGGCCGCGCTGTCTTACTTTGCTCATATTCTGCTTTCTCCTTCTTCCATCTAAAAAAAATGGGCGAATTTGTGATGATATGACACAGAGCCGGAGCTTTGATTAAGCATTTAGCATGCGCTGTGAACTATTTTACTTGATGATCTTGCATATTCTCATCCAGCATCGGCTGGTCATTGCATGTTTTTTATCTACTCATTGCAATACATTCATCTGATCGTTATTCCATAACACATAAGACTTGGGGTTGTAAATGATCCAATAGATACATTTCGTTTTGGGCCCTGGGACTTGAGCGTATCTAGCGCTGCAAAATATTTGGGCAGTCCCTCAGGCTTGGGGATAGTCATTGACTGGGAAGACCATCGCTATGGTTCGGGCGTATGTTGTATACATCGTACCGCGAAGTATGGATGCTGTGAAACATAGCCAATTGACAAAAGTCGATCTTCGACCCACAAGCAAATGCAGCAAAGCGCCCGCAAATAGCAGTGGCTGAGAGCCACGCACGCACTGGTGATGATGCGTTTGAAGATTTGAGCAGTCCAAGCTAGCTTAAAGAAGCCAGCCGCGCTTAGAGGACCCACAGAATTGGTCACAGATAGACCCCATCCCCATCATCCCGATCATTGGACTCCCGTCCTGCACCCGTCTCAGCCCCAGGCCCAGGCCCAGGCTCAGATCCAGTCCCATTCTCGGTCTCAGCTACATGTCCATTTGTCACCGGAACATCTGTCAATGCGTCCTGTCCCTTGTCGATCTTAAGCTCATCAAGCTCAATCCAAGGCTGTCCACGATTCTCGACCTCGGTCTTCAGTAACGAGATCCGCTCATTCATGGACACTGCCACACCCTCGTTTTCGGTGACATAACCTTCTATCTCCTTCTTGTCTTCTTCTGAGTCGTTGCTTTCTGCTAAGAATGCACGGAGCTCGGCGTTCGAGCGGTGCAGGTGTGCGATGGAGTTTGTGAGCTCGGAGACTTTGCTGTAGAGGACTGCGAGAGGGAGCTCTTTGATTGCTTCGGCAAAGGCTCCTGGGGTTATAGGGAGGGATTCAGTGGACATTTCGATGTTTGTCTTGTGATGGGTTGAAGGCAAAGAGTTGGGAATGATGCGGGCTGATCTGTTTAGATTGTTATCACCTTATCATCACGTGGGATCCATATATAGATCAGCTGGAGATATATCAGATGGGAAATGTGCTTGTAGATGTTGAGATTGGGTTGGAATTTTTTGGGGGGATTGTAGGATGAATATAAAATTCGATTAGATGTATCAAGCTAATACTATACCTAGAGAACAAAGCACATTCCAACAATTCCCCTCCATCTTCTTGCTTCGTACATGCAATCGCGGTCTCGGAACAACTCTGCAGCCGGCTACCAAAAAGATCCCCGAACAATCAACCACCACCCCATATTTCGTGGTGCTCTCCGAACTCTCGCTCGCCAGCCACAGGATATGAGCAATGCGGTCTGGGCCGTATGGCGGGCTCCCTGCCCAGGGCTCCGCACCTCCGTGCTGCCAGTAACATTCCGGCCTACCAGTCGCGATCTCCGCATTACCCCATGGCGCATGTATGGCACATCGCGCCAATCCACGTTACCAATCCCGAGCCTTCTGTCCCAGATATTCCCTCGTTCGTCTCGACCTACTCCTACCCCGATATCCTCACAACGATTCAACCCGGTCTCTACACCCCGCCGCTTAAAACGTACATCCGCCGCATCTCCAAAGCCAAAGCCTAAATCGGATCCCTCGGAGATCCCCCTCGCCAAAAGCCCTTCTCCGATGCCGAGATCAAAGCCATCTTTGGTCCCGTCAAGTTCAACGCAAAGCTGGGAAACCGTATTCTGGCCGTCCTGCACGGCCACCGTTTGACCGGCACACTCGATGCGGACTTACCAATTGACATTGCCCGCGCTATCACCAAGCAGCAGTTTGATACGGCTCTGGAATGGCTCCGCGATGAATACCCTATCGACGAGGATGCTGCTATCTTCGCCCGCATTGAGCGTGAGGAGCGTGCAGAGGAAGAGAAGCTCGTACGCCGCGCTGAGAAGCTGGGTTTGTATAAGCCGCAAAGTGGTTCCTATGACGCTGAGCTTGGAGAGGAGGGCTCTCCTTACGGTAAGAGTGTTCTAAAGGAAGCTCGCGAGATGAATGAGAAGCGTTTGTTGGCCGAACAGGAACGGAAAAGGCAGGAGTGGCTAGATGGCGAGAAAGAAGAACAGGAACGGTTGAAGCGGGAGTTTGGGAAGAACACTTCCCTGCAGCAGTACCAAGAGGCTGCACTCACTGAGGGTATGTTGACTACAATTCAAGTTTGGGTGCTTGAAATTGGTATTGACATTTTTAGCTCGTCCTCGTGCGGATCCTATCGAGAGGCCGTATCTCGCTTGGGTCCAGAAGCATCATATTGCTGCTACCAACGAGAGTCCTGAGTCTATGAACATCACCAATGTAAGAAAGGCCCGCTTTGTTGAATTGTTTGGTTGTTAACCATGTTTGAACTTGCAGTCTCAACGTCTGCTTGCTCCGCTTCTGTTCTCAATCGTGGTTCTCGCCTTATGCTATACCTATGCTCAAAAATACGAGTTCCCGGCACGAAAGGACCGTTTGATGCCGGATGTACCCCCTGCTGTTGCTACTGTGGGCACCATTGTGGCGGCTAATGTAGCAGTCACTTTGCTATGGAAATTCGTACCCCCCGCGTGGAGACTGCTCAACCGGTACTTCGTCATCGTTCCCTTTTATCCCAGCTCACTGGGTATGATTGGAAGCACATTCAGTCATCAGACATGGAGACATCTTGGAACTAATATGATGGTCCTGGGGCTTATGGGAACCAGAGGTATGCATTGTGGCTAGTAGAAGCACGAGGAAATAAATCTTCTAACCTTCTTTACAGTTCACGATGAAATTGGCCGTGGAAACTTTTTGGCCATCTACTTCGCTTCCGGTGTCATGGGATCTGTCTTCTCATTGACACGCAGCGTCATCTTTGGCCGCCTGGGCATGACCTCCCTTGGAGCCAGTGCCGCAACCAGCGGTATCGTCGCTGCATGGTGCATGTCTCACTTCAAGTTTGTCCCCCACCATCCCTCCGGCTGTTATCCACGTAGTACCTATACTGACCCTTCCTAGTGACAAACTCACTGTGTGGATTCTTCCCCCGGGGCTCCAAGAAAAGGTTTGGACCTACGGCTGGGTTTTCCTTACCTGTTTAGTCGGCACCGAGATCTTCAGCTTGCTCGCTCCCGCATTCTTATTCCGCGCTTGGCCCCTCTCCCGGCTGACCAAGATGGACCACGCTGCCCATCTAGGTGGGTATGTGGCGGGTGCTGGATGTGGATATACTCTCATGCAGAAAAGGAGAGAGCGCGAGAGAAAGGCGAGACAGTCGCGGTGGATTTAAAGTCTCGTCAATAGAGACTTGATAATCTATCTTTGATTTCCAATTGTATCATACTGGCGTTACTGCAGCAAATTCTAGACTTTCATACTACTCATTTACTTGGGTTACCATGTTTTCTCTCTCATTTTTTATTCAAAATAATTGATCTATCAATCTAACAAAACGTTCTAGGGAAGAAAATCAAATATCCCAATCATCACAAACACCGCTTCACCCTAATCCTGTAGCTCAGTAGTCGTACACCACGGATTCGCAACCGCATACTCCGGCTTACCCCAGTGCAGAGGCTCAATCAAGAGCTGATCCTCACGCTCTGGGGGTCCCTCGCAGAACATGAAAAGCATGCCTTTGTCAATAGTAATACTGCCCATGATGATGTATTCCGCATACCATAGTGCAACGGACTGAATCTGAAGCATCAACAAATCAAGACCTTGCCGGGGGTGTCTAGCTGGATCGGAAAGGATATGCACCTGATCCCCAGGCCGTGCATTGCACTATTGCCCCAGTTAACAAGGCCAGCTTCGATGCTCTCCCATATATGCATGATAATGTCCTTGTCATTGGTTGCAAGGTCCATAGTATCAGGGAGAGCTATAGTACCCCAAATCCAACCTGGCTGGCTGTCGTGGGGGTCCCTGAAATGGAACCGGGTACCATGCTCGAGCTGGTTCGACTGAAACACACTGGCCTGGTAATAGGGCATGATGACGGGTGAAGTGAATGGATGTTCCTGTCGAAATGTGGTATACTGAGTATGCTATGTAGTTTGCTGTTTGTCTTGTTTTAGAGAGAATGATTTTCTGAATGATACTCCTGGTGGTGAGGTAGACTCGAGACGAGGACGTCGAGTCTTTTTATACTGAGGAACAAGCCAGCTATGTTGGTTATTGGGAGCAATGAGAAAATGAAGCTCTTTCATCGCTATAATGCCTTTTTCTGTTCTTTGAGAAAGTATACTACTCTCTCTATACTCTTTGTTGGACCCAATATCCTATATTAATCTTGTTTAGATCTTCTCTTTGTCTTTATTGCCTCGTCCAATATTGGACTTACTTCCATCAAAGCAGGCTTTACTCTTTTATCATCACAACGACTTTCAGCAAGGAAATGATGAAACAGAGGCAGTTCCAAGGCAGTCAGCAGCCATCTCAATATTGCTGGGACACTGTATAGTCTTACATTAGAATTTTGGCCTTTGAATGACTTTGATATCGTTAAAAGCATCCTCCATTGAATTTTCTCTATCTTTGAGGCCATGCATTCGATATTTTCTCTCTTCCTGGCAGCTATTAAGTGGCATATCTATTATACATTTCCTACTCTTACGAAGACATTTCTCTAAGTACCGTATTTGAAGTAACAAAAAGAAGTGCATTGATTATTCGAACATCCAAGCTTAAAACACACGAGTCTTGAGGGTTTAGCCTTCGCATAATACGCAAAGAACAAGCTAAATACGCCAGGGGTCCATCAGAACCTCTCCCACATCCAACATGTCTTCCAGACGCGGCCATTCAAAACGAATCCCACCAAATATCACCTTCTGATCCAGAATAACCTTCCTAGCCAACATCTGATCCCTCCAATACTCTGCAAGATTTTGAGCAAGAAGAAGATCTGGGTGCGTAGGATCAGCCCTATATGACTTGGGCAGGGGGGTATCCGGGTCGCGCTTGATAGGAATCGAGAGACACTTGTACCCTAAATTATGCTTTGCGTGAATATCTACAGTAAAGCGGCCTTTTGCAATCATGTTCTTCACAATCAGCATGACATCTGCATCTCTAAGGCCACGGTGATCTTCTTCTTCTGCAAAATGCACGGTGATCCAGTAGTAGTCGCTTCGGTAAGCGGATGGCTCGGCGAAATATTGGCCACTGGTGCTTTTGTACACACTTGGATGGAACTTGATAGCCAACATGGTCAGCAGGTTTTCACAGGGCTGGGGGGCTCACCGTTACTCTGAGGGGATATGCCCTCGGTGGACTGTCTTAGTTTTGATCGAAGAATAGTTTTCTCTGGGAAATGACACTTAAGAGCGAGGACACCGAGGGTTTATAAAGTTACAACTAAGATTTCTATATCTAGACTATTGTATGGAGAATAACAAAGACCTTTCATGTCTAGAATAGCTTCCCTTATTCCAATGGCTTTGATTTTGAATGTGATAGTCTTTATACCATGTATTGTTCTATATATAATATATCTGTGATGCCACACTTCAGGAAAATATTTACTTGTCTAGATCTAGGACAACTCAGTTGGGCTACAAAGAAACCATTTAGATCAAGATCCTCAGAAGGACGAGAAGATGATGGATCTTATTGCTCAAGGGTTTTTAATTCTCGACAACAGACCTATGTCTGGTGAGAACTACGCAGTATTAGAGATCATACTACTCAATAGAACTTCATTGTCACAAATAGGACAAATAAAAACTTATATCTACATATCGAGTATTCTTACTTAGAATCCATCCAAGTCTATATCCAAGTCTAATCAGGCATCTATATGTGAATGTAGCAAAGCTTATGGAGGATGAGGGAAACTAGAAAGTTTGCCGTTCAAGTCTTGGAATAATGAGAAGGGAGAGTATACCCTACAATGTCGATTGAAGCTATCTCATACTTTTCTCATGTCTTTAAAAGCTCTCTAAAAATGAACTTGCAGGGGAGTGGTGGCTAAGTCTTTTAAATGACGTCCTGGCTCTTAAGTATACCGTATATAGATCTATATAGAACCATCTCAGTATGACTATTTTGGGATACCTACGAGATTTGTTGCTATAGTATCTCCGAGAAATCTAGAATCATGTATTCATTTTTTTTTGTAATTTTTATGCAAAGTGTACTATAAAAATTGACGCGAAAACCACTTCTATCTCGACATCATCGATAACCATTGGACACCATATTAGAACTCGGTTTCCTCTCCATGATGCGGATCCATACATCCAATAGAAAAAACACGCTCTTTGTCAAGAGAATAATTACCAGCACGAAGCTGTATCAGCCAGTACTCCGCGAAGACCGCAGCTTGGGCCATGACTTCATGCATCACTTCCACCGGAGTATACGAGGCCGGAGGATCATCTATCGGGAACGAGATACAGTCGTACCTGATCACGTGCTGTGCTACTCGATGGATGGAGGCCCGGTAATTCTGGATCTCGTCAATCACATACTCTAAGATCATTTCTTCAGTATGGGTGCGATAAAGGCTGGAGGGGAGTTCTACAGTTACCCAGGAAATGTTGTCGTCTGTAGGCTCATTTTCGAATTCTCCTGTTTCGCATGACCTAAAGAGAGATTGCCGGTTGGGGATGTTGGTTTCTGGAAAGCTCATATTGCCGATAATCGATAGCTTGAGAGGTTGTCTGTAAATGATTGGTAGAGGATGGTGAGATTGAATCACTTGGTGAGACCGAGGCCTTTTATATGGGAAAAACCGAGTACCATGAGAAGAAGAAATGAATGCCTTTGATCAGTATGATTTCCCTTGTCTAGTGTTGAATAAAGACTTTGATGGTCATCCATTCACTAATCATAAACAAAGAACTTGTTCGAAAATAATGTTGAAGTTGCAAGCAACAGCTTCTTCCAGTCATAGCGAAGAATGTACCGTATTGATATGAAAAGAAAGAAATCATGCAAGTAATCTTACAGTGTCCTCGCAGTACTCTCTGAAGAAGCAAAGGCCTTTTTCTGTAAATAGGTCCCATAAATTCACTCAAAGAACATGTCAGGGGACGCTCTTACATAGACTGAGAAGTGACTTATTGTATTTGCAGGGGGCAGGAGGAGGACTGAATCTTAGTGAGAACTAGTCTGAACAATACACTCTGTATCCTTTCGATTGGAGTTGTTCTCCTCGAATTGAGACCCCAGCAAAGACTCCATCTAGTGTTCTAGAAGGTGTAACGCCCGTCAACGTATAACAAAAGTCACAAGAGCGTTAGATAGAGTCTGGAGCCGTTGGAGCCGGAGAGGAAGACAAGAAACAGTGGGATGTATAAAAGGTTAGTTGCTTAGAAATTAGTACATAGGAATTATGAATGAGTTATTACACTTGCTGAGCACGCTTTCTATCATATGCAGGTTACCCAGCCCACTAGAATAGTGATTTCTGATTGGCAATATATGTGGCTATAGCCTCGCAATTGATCCAATACACCACAAAATGAATAGGTAGTCGATCGAGGAATCAAAAGGGACAAACAGCGACATAAAACAATCCTCGGAAAAAGCCCCTAAACCAACCAAGCAATCATTCCAACCACTCGCACTCGTATCCTCGGGTATACTCATCCGGGTCCCAAGCGAGAGGTCTGGTGTCCATCTCTTCAACCTTCAGCTTTACACATTCATCTATGTACTCCGTTTCTTTAGGTGTCAAAAGATGAAGCCTTTCCTTCCAAGCATTGTCAGGGTCAAAGCTTTGAGTCGGCCCAAAGAACCGCCGGTCGATCTTCTGCCAATAGATCGAGTCAAATGCAAAGTTATTCCGTGCGACGTACATGATCCAGAAGTTCCCGTTCTTCCAACTGTCTCGCATTGGGCCAGAGAGACGCTGGGTCTCTAAAAGTTGACCGGCGCTGATTGCCTCATTCTCACAATCATTCATAGCTTGGAGAAATATTTCAAGTCGGTCATCGTATTTTATACACCAATCGTCGAGGCCCGTGGGCCAATATTCTGGTTTCTCGAGAAGAAGCCACCAAGGCGGTGCATATGAAAATTCGACAGGGGCGGTATATGTGAACTCCCAGTCTACCACTCCGGCAATATTCTCAGCTTCATCGACGAGGACATTCTCTGGTCGAAAGTCATCACACCAGATTGGAAACGGGCCATTCTCATGGCATAGCCATTTATCTCTCAATTTTCGGTCTCTGATAAGTTTTCGGAAGAGAAAACGTGCCACAAATTTCCGCCGGCAGTCATCCTCAGAGTCGACAGAATCATTCCTTTGATTTGTAAGGTGTGAGAGGTGTAGTTCCGCAAGAGCCTCAAAGTATGACGATGCTTTAGAGTACGTGCTATTCGGTATTTTTGATCGAGGTAGTGTTCCCAGTTGCACGACTTCATTCATGGAATATGATAAGGGCCGATCCAACACCTTCCACGTCATATCTTTTGGGTCACGCCCAATAGACCCTATCTTACTGAGTGTAAGACTAGACAGCGATAGGGCGATTTTGGCCAATTTTCTGTAGAGGTCCCCCAGTCTGACCATGCTGAGGTTGAGATTCAGAACTGGGCGAACGGTTGGATCTGAGTCCGGATTCTCAAGGAGCCTGCAAATACTCTGTTTGTGCTCGATAAATTCCATGATAATGAAAGGACCTAGTTTTGCGGGACTCTCTTTCTTCTGTCCCCAGCGAGATATCGAAGGCACCGGAATGGGAATTTTGTGTGATTGGGTTTGCTCCGAAATGAACTGCATGATCATGACTTCGTTGCGGACTTTCTCTTCGGGAAGCATGATAATACCAGGAAATGGGAACCTGATAATAGCGGTGGTATCATCGGTAAATACTATCCGAAAGCAGACGTTGAAGCCACCTAACGCGAATATATCGAAATCGCACCATTCCCGAGGATAGAAGCGGGTTGCAAGAAAGCGACCAACTGCATTGAAAGGGTCGTCTTCCTCAAGATACTTATACCAGCGTTTGTAGATAATTGTCCCTCTTTCCCAGGCTCGGTCGTCGTAAGCAAGACGTGGTTTCATGGTTATAGAATGTCTGAATGGAGAAATTTGTGGAAGAGATGAAGAGTTAGTAAAATTGTCTTGGAATGGATGAGATACATAGGGGGTTGGATATAGCCCTAAGCACGTGCATGGTTCTGTAAGCGCCAATAAGCTGGAGGATCAAAGCGCCGTTCAAAAGAAGGTATATCACTACGGCATGAAGCACACAATTATCACCTGGCAATTTTGCCTATGAGAGGTCAAAATTGAGGCAGACCACTCGGTTACTAACTTGTCGTTTTTCTTGATTTATCACTTCCAACTTTTGCATTACATAGTGTGACATTCTCGTCTAAGGGTTCCTCTACCTTATATACAATGCCTTCAATATTTGGCCACAAGCTAAATTCCCATGTGGGTACCTTATACTTGGATTCTTACTTATAATCACTTGAGCGCTTGAAAACATCTTGATTTCTACACGTACCTTGACATAGCTCTCATATTCCATCAGAGAAACTTCTATCAACTGTACCATCTTCCTCTTCTCTCTCTCTAGGTTGCGACGGCACAATATCCCCTGGGACGCTTAAAGATCACCTCCCGATTCAGAGTAACCATCCCAGTACGAATCACCTCGAGCCACTTTCCCGCATCGACCTCGGCGCGAATCCACATTGCATCTGTGACAGCATCAACCGGGACTGGAATCGAGATGCAGATAACTCCCAGGTTATGCTGTGCCACATCGCTGACAACGGCTTGTCGGTTTCGAATAATCTGATAAGCATGGTTCATGATAGCTTCATCGGTATGGGTATCATCCATTTCTGCAGGAATGATCACGGTGATCCAGTGAGCTTCCTCGTTGTCCGGGTCCTCCAAAAACTCAGGTGGGCCTACATTGAGCCAGGTCTCATTGTCAACCCCCCTCGTATCTTCAGAGGGCACGATAAACACACTGTCTTGTCCCATATTTGCTGAGATGGGCTAGTCAATTGAATGGGACTCGAGGGATCTGGTGGGACTTGACCTTTGTTAATGAAGCTATCTTGGATAGAGACTGGGAAGGAACTGTGAAGGAATGCTTTTTATACTGCGAACATTCAGATATAATTGGGTGGAAACAAAGTCTCTTTACTCCCAGAATGGCCTTGTCCTATTTTTGGCCGATTTTACACGACCCCGGGCCGTCCCTATGTCTAAATGAGAACCTTGAGTCCTTGACAAAAGCTTCAAGGCTGCCCCATGTGCTTTGTTCTGATATAAGTGATAGTATGTCAATCAGGCTGATATGGGAGACTCTATGTAGATCTCTATCCTATATCGAATCAATTCTTTGTACGCTTGATCCCCATGTTTCATCATCTACTTCCCTTTGATACTCGGCCATAAAGAACCAACAATGCCATTATATGAGTTCTGACCCCAATAGTATAGAGTGACAAAAGGGAATCTTTCAAATAAGAACCTTGTCGGCCAATGGCCTTTGTGCTCTTTGTGCCCTTGTTCTTGTCAAATCTCGAAGGAGATTGCCTTCGAGGGCAAACAAAACATATTTAGAATGGTCTTTGTATTCTTTTTTATCTTCCTTTGCTATCGAGAGAACCTAGTTATTCCGGCAGAGTATTTTCATCCAAAGTACAAAAGGCAACCTTCTCCCCACGACTTGGGATCAATTTGATACAGCCATCTCAACCTAGCAAACAAACGCAATCTCCAATTGACTATCTAGCCCGGTGCACAGATTCATTCGTCGGCTGGGACTAGCCATCACTCTACATTGTAAGCTGTTCCACCTATTGTGAGCTCCCCTATGGCTTATACTAACTTTATTCAGAACGTTTCGGCGTATCTTGACTTGATTTTGTTTCTCGCGTGCTTTGGGTTCGTCCTGTGCTTTGGATCCATAACCTTTGTGATTGTGCATTGCATCGTGCAGATTCTTCAAGCAGCTCTCGCTTTCTACCTATTCGACATCCTCTATTACTTTCTCTACGCAGAAGAAAGCACGGAGTTCTTCCTCGAGCTCATCTCCACAATCCTCACCTCACGCCTCGAGATCAAAAGCTTCATCCTGCTCCTGTGCATACTTTTCAGCATCCATTATTCTATCAGGGAGATTGCCTCAATCCTTCGTGAAAAGGTCTTTGGGCCAAATACGACCATCATTGTGAATTGTCCTAAGCACCGTGAGTCGCGAATCAATTCTTTCGTTCGCTGCTATGACCGAAGAAGAAACCCTACTCTTACAACCACAAACAATTAATACTCAAACTCTAATAGCCATGCAGAGCCCCCAGTTATCCCAGATTGCCAACGACATGGCCCGCATTCATCCCACAAGATGGGGGAAGTATATTAAGTGTACTAGCCCTAACCCTCCCAAGGATCCCGAGCCTGCAATTATCGAGCCCTCGAACTCCAAACCTACAATCCCCAGTGACCCATCTTTTGCATCTCACGGGAACCGCTACATGCGCCATCCTTGGGGCGTAATCGACTACCACATCTATCTTACACACGTCGAAAGCTGCCGCGACAAGCTTCGTCGCGAGAGAGAGTGCTACATCTTAGAGAACACTGGGTTTAAGCAAATCGCCTTACACAAAGAGCTAGCTAGTGACAGTGTTCTAGCTCACACAACCCCAACAGTAGTCTTCGTCAGCCTCCCCGTCCCCGACGCACGGAACGAATCCAGCATTGCCAGCTTGGTGCTTGGCTTCGATCTAAAGTCCCTCCGCTTGCAGGGTTATTACTTCGAGCCCAAGTCCCCAATTAAGAATTACAATGACCTTTGGAAGGCCTGGTCCCAGGGTGAGGGCCAGCTCGTTATTGATGTTCCCGTTAGCCGTTTCCTGGCAATCCTTCGCCATACTATGCAGCATCAGGTTGAGATCCTAGAGATCGGCCTCCTACACCACTACGGCCTCACTGCGCGTGGATTCCAAGCTGGCTTGGATATGGTTATTACTGTGCAGTTCTTGCAGTTTCTGGATGACTTCGCTGAGCTCGTCTCTGAGGAGCCCGATGAGATTCGGAAGGTTTATACGCCTTTCCAGGACGATTTGCGGGAGTTGCTTGCGGCTGGCTCGCGGGACTCTTGGTTTGCTCTTCGTGATGGACACAGTATTGAGCAATATCGCCAGAAGCAGTTGAAGAAGGTTGTTGCTTCCGGTTTGTTCTATGGACAGAAGATGCTTGTGCTTCGGGACGAGGCTGAGGCCACAGAAAAGAGTAAGGTGTCTCGTCCAGTCAAGATTATTTCAGGCCATTCGGGTCGGTGGTTGTGGTCGAAGGTGCACGTCCACATTTTGGTGAGTGTCATAGCTGTTCTTTGCCTCTGCTCTGTCATGGATCGGGAAAGGGTTCTTTGTGTAGGAGTATTTTAATCGGCTGGTTCCTCAATACATGTTTTCTCCTATTTTCAAATCAATTGTTCAAGATGATTGTTGTGCAGTGTACTCCGTACCTAGTACATAAACACCAAGTAGGGCATATGTGGATCAATAAATAACAAAGTTTGATAAGGGCCCACTATGCCCACGTCGAACGGAATCTGATATGTATACTCCGTACTCCGTTCTCCGTACATAAGTCAAGCTCCATCCCGCAAGTACATGATAAATCCTCTTCATTAGACCCGATATGCATGTATAACTGCCCAAAACAGTGAAAATCAACAAAATCCACCGATTCAACCGGCTCAACCCGAAGCTAAACATGCACCGCCACCTTCTAGGATCCCAATCGGGAATAGTTCAAATAAATTATGTGGCGCTACGTGGCTCAAGCGGGTCATGGCTGAAATTATGTCATCGCTCATTGGTCATCCATCGCCCCCAAAGTTCTTGGCAAGTCTTGGCAGCGTCAGAGCTGTTCGTCTGAGCTGAGCTGCCTCCTTAATTGCCAAGGCAGCGGGCCAAGGTACAGATCTGCAACTCCCAATCTCGCTTCATTTCTTGTTTTTTCCCATTTCAGCCCTGTAGCCCTATCGCATTCGAGCCCGCCTAGTTCTTTCTCTTTTCTATTCAATTGTGTACTCATAAACCCGTGCGACTCGAGTCCACGGCTCTGATTTTTCTTCAAAATACCCCCCTGTGATATCCCTGAATTGCATCAATTGTCCTTATTATGGCCGAGTACAGTGCGCAACCCGTCAACGGTATGTTGAGACCACCCAATCCTGGATCTGAGAATTGCGCGAATCGGACTAAACAAACATGTTTGTAACTATAGGGTTGCCTCAGAATGGAGAGACGAGACAGCAGGTCACCCGCGGATCGAACGATCGCTTTGAGCTCATCTCCGGCCCACTGATCAACCTCAAGAACATGCACTACCAAGCTTCGACCACCTGGCACGGGAGTGTCCTGATTGTCACAAAGCCAACCCAGGAACAGCCCCAGTTGCGCCTGCGCCAGGTAGGCGCCGTGGATAGCGGAATCCAGAATGACGACGGCAGCCCCCAAACAAGCCAACAAATTGACGGCCTTAAGCTCTACGAGGACCCCCTCAAAGCGTTCTGGCGATTCTCGCTCACTGTGCCAGTCGCAGCATTCGAGGCACGCTGGGCGTACGACATCCCCGGTTTGTACAACGAGTCTGGGGCCCAGGTCCAGGCGCCGTGGGAATTTGTCGTTCCGGCAGAAGAGCAGTCCATGCGCATTATGTTCCACTCGTGCAATGGCTTTTCTGTCGGCACGGACATGAACGCCTGGGTGGGGCCAAACCTGTGGAACGATGTGATGCGCGTACATGGCGAGAAGCCATTCCATGTTATGGTTGGTGGCGGTGACCAGATCTACAACGACGGTATTCGTGTGGATGGCCCCCTCAAGCCTTGGACTGCCATTGGGAACCCGCACAAAAGACGCAACCATGACTTTGATAATAAGATGCGCGCTGATTGCGATGACTACTACTATGCCAACTATGTCCGCTGGTACAACACCGAGCCATTCCGCACTGCCAATGGCCGCATCCCCCAGGTCAATATCTGGGATGATCATGATATCATCGATGGATTCGGCTCGTACACAGATCACTTCATGAAGTGTGCTGTCTTCCGTGGTATCGGCGGTGTCGCTTTCAAATATTACTGCCTCTTCCAGCACCACATGGCTCCTCCTAAGTCGACTTACACTACCGATTCCCCACAGACTATGCACGCCATCAATGGAACTTCTGGGGTTGACCCACGTCAAGTGGAGAACACCTACGTTCTGGAGAACCAGCTCGAGGACGACAGCTGGATCATCGGCAAACGGCCCGGTCCATACGTGGAAGAGCGCAGCCGAAGTCTCTACATGCGCTTCGGTAAGCGCATTGCATTTATGGGTCTGGACGCGCGCACAGAGCGCACCCGTCACCAGGTCAACTACCAGGAAACGTATGATATGATCTTCGAACGGTTACAGGACGAAATCGTGTCCGCCAACGGCGACATCAAGCACCTGGTGGTGTTGCTAGGTGTACCAATTGCATACCCCCGTCTCGCATGGCTCGAGAACATTCTCACCTCTCCCCTGATCGCGCCCATCAGACTATTGAACAAGCGCTTCGGCGTGGCAGGCGGCCTTTTCAACGAATTCGACGGCCAAGTCGATCTTCTCGACGACCTGGACGACCACTACACCGCACGCCAGCACAAGCGCGAGCGCAGGATGCTGATCCACCGCCTGCAAGAGTTGGCCCGCAGCCACAGCGTGCGCGTCACCATCCTCGGCGGCGACGTTCACCTTGCCGCGATCGGTCGCTTCTACTCCAACCCCAAACTTAATCTCGCCGGCGAAAATGACCACCGCTTCATCGTCAACGTCGTCAGCAGCGCTATCACAAACAAACCCCCTCCCAAGGCCGTTGCCGATCTCCTCGCCCGCCGAAACAAAATCCACCACCTCGACCGCGACTGCGACGAGACCCTCATGCCTTTCTTTGACAAGCAACCTGGTGGCAAGGAGAAGAGCGGGGCCTTCAATAAGGTCACCATGCCATCTCGCAATTATGCCATCCTCACCGAAGTCGTTGCCCCGGGGCCCGGTAACACCGGTGTTCTCGAAACCAATTCGGTGAAACTGGAACATCTTCCTAAGGACGGTCACGCACCACTGCATAAGGGCGAAGTCGATGCTGGAACTACACACAGCGCCGCTGATGGAATCACATGTGCGAGTGGTATGTTTGGCGGTCTTGACGTCTCTGTCCGTGTCGAGATCGACCCCCAGGATCGTAGCGCCGCTACCGAGGGATACGGATTTAGTATCCCGCCCCTTTTGGCTACCGAGGGGCCCCCTTCCACTGGTCACCGACTGAGTCTGCACTCGCGCAGATCGCACCAGGGCCGACCATCTACGGCGCAGTAATTTTCTTTTCTTTTTTTCTTGGGGCTTTTCCCGTATACCATACATATTTTACTGTTCATAATGTTTGATGTTTGAGAAGTCAGGGGGTTCCTTTATTGGCCTATCTGTTTTATGATACCTTGGTTTATTTTGATTTCTTGTCTGGAATGAATTATTGTCCATGTCCAGCTGAAGTCCAGATCAAAGGACTACTTTCCCTCTGGATATTGTTGCTTTTTAGGGTTAGACCTGTCAAGATTTCTCTTATCTTGTTTTCGTACTTTTTTTTCTGTTTTGGTATATGTTGTTCCTGTGTATATAAATGATACCAATCAGTACAGGATATCCCTTTAGTCTTCGGCTTTACCCTTGAAGCTGGATACTTTTGCCTTTCGTTGCGGATTGTGACTTTTCCCCTTTTCTTCCCCTTTCAGATTGCCTTGTTCACATATCTACGTACTTTGGTGGCGTAGACATGCGATGTTATTTGCTGCACCTCTCGCATCTTGGGTCACACATTGATTCGGCACTGCATACGGAGTATAAGCCGTGCATATCCTTGCTATTTCCTCTTATCTTCATATGAGATAGCTTGGAGGGCTTATTCATTAACCTATCTTCATACCTCCCTGAGAACAGGTTTCTTCTCCTTATCGACCTGGTACTATCACTATGACTCTCAAAAAAGAAATCACCCCTTCACGTCAAGATCATGAAGAGGGTACAATCGAGGATCTCGAACTAGACCGTCTAGGCTACAAACAAGAACTACGCCGTAATCGTTCAGTCCTAACCCTCCTCTTCCAAACCCTCGCCATAGCAGCAATCCCTTATGGTGAAGGCTCACCCCTTCTCTCCGCCATCTACGGCGGTGGTCCCCTCTCAATCTTCGTAGGCTGGATAGTTGTCTGCCTTCTTGATCAATGCATCGCCTTTTCCCTCGCAGAGCTCGCCTCCCGATACCCAACCTCCGCAGGCCCCTACTACTGGACCTTCCAAATCTCCCGCGGAAAGAAAACAACCATCTCCTTCATCAATGCCTGGATCTGGCTCATCGGAAACTGGACAATCACCCTCTCTGTGAACTTCGGCTTCGCCTCATTGATCTCAGCAACTATCTCAATCTACCACCCAACCTGGTCAGCGTCAAGCTGGCAACTCCTCCTTATCTTCTACGCAGTTTGCCTCGCATCTCTAGCGATCTGTATTTTTGCAAATAATCACCTCCCTCTAGTCGACACCCTCTGCGCAACATGGACTCTCCTCACTATCATAATCATCTTAATCGCCATCTCCGTCAAAGCAGATACAGGCCGCCACTCACCATCGTACACCCTGTCTCACTACGATAAATCCTTCGCCGGTTGGGGCGACTTCACCTTCTTCATCGGTCTCCTCCCCCAGCATACACCTTCTCCGCAATAGGAATGATCTCCTCAATGGCCGAGGAATGCTCAAATCCAGCTATCAAAGTCCCCCGCGCAATAGCCCTCTCCGTCCCCGTCGGCGGAATAGCAGGTCTATTCTTCATCATCCCCATTTGCGCAACCCTGCCTCCCCTGCAAGACATCATCACCGCACCAGCAGGTCAAGCCCTCCCATACATCCTGGCTCGCGTAATGGGTTCCCCCGCCGGCGGTCTGGGTCTTATCTCCCTCGTCCTGGTGATAACAGTTTTCTGCTCGATAAGTATAACAGTCGCCGCGTCCCGCGCGACCTGGGCCGTGGCCCGTGACGACGCTATACCACTGGCGAGACTGTGGGCGCGCGTCGACAAGCGCTGGGGTGTGCCTGTGTGGGCGTTGGTTTTGTTGACGGTGATTCAGATGTTGCTGGGGTTGATTAATCTGGGGAGTACGAGTGCGTTTACCGCGTTTGTTTCTGTCGGGGTGATTGCGCTCGCGGCGGCTTATTCTGTTCCGATCTTCTTGAGTCTGTGGCATGGTCGTGAGGAGGTGGCCAAGGCGCCGTGGAACTGTGGAGGTGCTGTTGGGAGGTTTGTCAATGTTGTTGCGTTGGCTTGGATTGCGTTTGAGTTGGTGCTGTTTAGTATGCCAACTTCTTTGCCGGTTACAGCTGTGTCGATGAACTATGCTTCGGTGGTGTTTGTCGGGTTTATGACTATCTCGGCGGTTTGGTTTTTGGTTTATGCGAGGAAGTGTAAGTCTTTGCACTGCTTCGGGGAGTTTGTGATGCTGACAATTTATAGCGTACAAGGGTCCTCCTGCGTCGGATGCTCTTGATTGAAGCCCTGATTGTGCTGGAAATAACTTGGCAATGGGAGGGTATAGACCAAATAGGAGATAGTCCCCTTTATATATTTTTGGAATCTCTCCATAAATCAGGTATGCCTTATATTGACAGTCGAACTGACCTTTCACGGCCATTCTTGAGTGTATAAACGTGCCAAATCAAATGGGTATCTAATTACAAATAACAATCACTCTTTCAAGCGCAGACGCTTTACACCTCGCGACTTTGATCTCGGCAACTTTCTCTTCTCTCGTGATTTCAGTGGTCGAGTATTCAAAGTAGCGCGGTGGAAGTCGATGATCAACGCTCGTCCAAGTTCCTTATTCCAAAGGATATTGTCATATCGAAGATCATCATGAATGACGCCCAACGCTTCTATTTCCTTCGTCGACCTTTGGATTTCCCGACTCAGCCACGGCTCCATCTCCATCTCCGCGGTATTCTCTCCTCCCCAGCCCATGATCAGCATATGACAAATCTCTCCAGCCCGGTGAAGAAAATAGATCTTGGCCAAATCAATTGTACCGAGAAAGACAGGTACTGCTGAGCCTTGGGCTTTCCGTAGGATTCGATATACCTGAGCCTCGCTAGAGACTTGTTTCCATAGGTTTGATGTGGTTCCTTTTCCGACTACGGTGTAGCCATACACGATGCAAGTCAGTTTGAACGGTGCACCATATGAACCGCAACGCCCGAACGGTATACATCGGTCGATATTGTCGTCAAGCTGTTCATTGAGTAAACGTACTAAATCCTCGGAGGTGATGAGATGCTTGACGTTATCTTGCCCCCGACGGTGAAGGTTTACGTTTGGACAGTTGTCATCTAGGTTACCTCCAGTCTGGAGCCCGAAAAGACATCGCTGGGTGCAGAATTGGGCATCGCGCCGAGACTGGCTGTCTTCGTATCTCCTAGCGTGATCCTGTCGAGCCGCTCGTTGGGTAGATGGGGAAGAGGTGACTTGGCTAAAGCCTCGTTTGCGTCCGGTTGCTTGGCTGGAGTCAGAGCCTGATGAGTCTGGCGACTGCGTACGGTGTCGATCATTCGGGGGTGCGCAGGTTCCTCGGGTTCTGGTAGACACCCGACGGCCCTCTGAGGGGAGTTCCTGAGATACTGGGCCCGGTGGAGATGAATCCGGTTCATAGGCTGAACCGGATTCTGGACTCGTGTACTCCTCGTATGTACTGCTGGAGTTAGGAAGAGGTTGTGATTCTTTGGAAAGCTCAGAACGGGTGCGGCTAAGGTTGGAGTCCCATATTTGAAGACCTTGGCGCGCGCGCTGCCTCCATTCTTGGTCGCGTATAGATGAACGGAATGCCATCAAGCATAGACATAGCACTCTGGCAATAGAAGTCTTTGGTTCTTGGAATCTATTTTCAGCTTCTGGGGGATCCACTTCTGAATTGGGATCACAAAAGTGATAGTAAAGGGTGCTAGGGTTATCACGAGGAACACGGAGAAGAACACGGGCAATCCCAGTCGTCACGTAGGAGTACTCGAGTCCCTCTTGAATCATCACATGATATTCTTGAACGATAGCGGAGCAAACAAGTCGTTTTGCATCGTACTTCAACTTTTCTTCCTTGTCGGTGGGGATTTTGTTTGACCTGACTATATCTTTGTACAAATCCATCTCCACAAGGCCTAGGTGAAAGTCTTCCACCGAAAGCTTGTGAGGAGGTTTGTATTCGGCTGAAGCGAGGAGGGTGTGAGTGTCACCCTCGACTCGATGGATGAAAAAGAAAGAATCGGCTTTTGGGTGTTCAATTTTAGATGGCTGATCTGTCGTTTCGACGCCTTCATCCGCGTCGAGTAAGTTTGTATGATTTTCAAAGTGGATCCCATCTCCAAGTCCAAACTCCTGCCGAGCAGCATCGATCTTGCATAATTCCTCGATTATATTACGCACGTAGTTTTCCACGGCATTTCGCTCATAGTTCTCAGTGGCTTGCTCGCTGCTCATTACCCGATAGCTAAATTGTTTTGCGCTTTCTTCGAGGGCATTTAGCGGCGTAAAGAATCTTGCATGAGGCGCACCGGCTGGCTGTAGGTAATTGCACACAGAAGTGTAAATCTTTTGCTGCTGAGCTGAACAGTCTGTCCACAATGCCAGTCGCGTAGGGCAATACTTTCCAGTTGGAGAGGGTATTTTCCCTGTAGTCGAGAGAGATGGTAGCGCAACTCTTAGCGGTCGCGACAATAAGTCGTGACAAAGTCGTATGAACTCCAGGAAAGTCGTGTGGCGGTTGCGCTCTCTATCCCATTTTCCTTGCTCCTCTGCCTGTTTCCGTCTCTCCTCTGCCTGTTTCCGTCTCTCCTCTGCCTGTTTCCGTCCTTCTTCTGCCTGTTTCTGTCCCTCCTCCGCCTGTTTCTCTCTCTCCTCTGCCTTTTTTCGCCTCTCTTGCTCCTCCAGAAATAGTTTCTTATAATCTAGTGAGCTGTTGGTAGCCATGGAAGGGAATGGAGAAACAAAGGTTCAGAGGATAAGAAGAGGATGTACTCCGTAGGGGGAGACCCACTTGTGGGTAGGGACCTGATATTAGCTCGGTGAAACTATTATCCGACATTTATCATTCCTAGTTTAGCAACACACATGCTTACATAGGGGAAAGACATCAAAAGACATCAAAAGACATCAAAAAAGACATCAAAAAAGACATCAAAAAAGACATCAAAAAAGACATCAAAAAAGACATCAAAAAAGACATCAAAAAAGACATCAAAAGACATCAAAAGACATCAAAAGACATCAAAAGACATCAAAAGACATCAAAAGACATCAAAAGACATCAAAAGACATCAAAAAAGACATCAAAATATATCGAGGAAGATACTTAGAAGGATATTAAAAAGAGAACTTAAAGACATTTAGATAGAAATTGCCATATAAAATGCCGACTATTCTTGTCAAAGATCAAACGATAACCATGTATGTAATTTTGGGATTATATTAAAGACACAGAAAATAATATTTCATACAGATCCGAAGAGAATAAAAAAAGAAACAAGTCTCGACTGCTAAGGAAACAATGTGACCTTGGAGCCACACACTAGACTAACCTGATCCATGAGGTATTGAATGCAAGTAAAGACCACGGAATACATGAATCCTCAAACATCTATTCGACGAGAAAAAGAAGCAACAGAGTCCGGAACTCTGTCTAGCGAGATCCCTGGAGAGATTCTTCAACTGGCTTGTAACACCCAGGGGGTGAAAACACACCTTGAAGCCATGGGTGTTCAATCAACTCCCTAGCGGTCTTTCGGTCTTCGGGTCGCCATGTAATCATACCCTTCATCAGGTCTAAGAACATCTCTTTATCCTTCCCTTCAAGATGTTTCTCCAAGTCTTCGAAGCTAGTTGGATGGACTTCGCAATCCTCATCTATCCAATTCCCTGTGAAAGAGAAAGTTAATGAAAGGAAGGTCAGATAATCGAAGTGATCCCACCTACCATCTTGATCAAAATACTTGGCACTGTCGGTGTCAGGTTCTATAAACCCAGGAGGGGGTGGTCCCAGCAATCCAGTGATCTGCGCAAGATGTGCAGATGTAGAGTACGCAGATATGTGATCATCATCATCGCCTTTCGTACCAGTGAACAGCTTACTGCCCTCGAATGCACGCCATGCCTAGTTCGAAATAGATTAGAATATGGTATTCCGGGAAATCATCAAGGATAGCTTACCCATATACCCAGGTTCCAAATATCAACAGGATAGTTCCACTGCTTTTCCAATATAACCTCGGGTGCTCGATAAATAGGAGGCTGGATAAGTTGGCCTTTGTGTGGGATGTCTCCTTGCTCGGCGGAGCCGAAATCTCCAAGCTCAATTTTACCCAACTGGGATGCTGGTTCAAGTGGCCTAGACCGATAGACCGTATAACCGGACACAGTCTTTCGTGGTGTAGGGCTCTCAATCTCATCCTGAACGTATCTGTCAAGCCTAGATTGGTCACCAAGCTCTACGAACATATTGTCTCCCTTGATGTCTGCCAAAGATATTAATATAAAGAAAAATTTGAGACAGTCTCACGTCATATCTGTATTAATGATTTTGCATTCTGTGTGCAGATAGTCCAGTGCTAACAACATCTGATATATCGCCGACTGGATAGTGAGCTTATCCAAGCGTTCACCAGCCGAGCGATTCTGAATATCCAGCAAGCTCTCCCCCAGAGGTGCTTGCAAAATACCCAAGTGCTCCCTCCATCCAATCTTTTGGGGAATTGTCAACTCGCCTAACTTCTTTCTCACCCGCGCCCATCCAGGATGCTGTTGGTTTCCCTGCTTCATTCGGTCATAGAGTTCGGATTCTTCCTTATCACAGGTATTGAGGGCGAAAAGTTTCAATGTCAGATAGTCATTCATCCTGTTCCGGTTAGTATGTGCCCAGTAACTGGACAAGTAAACGTTTGCTTACTGGAGATCTCGAACCAACCAGACGGTCGATGTGGTTCCCCATCCGAGTTTGCCAACAACCTGATACCGGGAAAGCAAAATGTCGCCGATAGTGATCATGCAAAACTCGCAATCCTCCTCAAAGTCTGGCATCTGCTCTTCCTCAATTTTTTCATCGGTGGGAATAATTTCCCAGCCCATTGTCGGAAATGACACGGGAAACTTGAGAGATCTTTTGAAGAGGCCCATCAGCCATTCCAAATTGAAAAGTTTCTTGCCGAAGATTCTCTTCAGCCATTCCAAAATGGATTTCATGATTTGCTGGTATGCTTGGACTGGAAAAGGAACAACCACGGTTCTTATCAGGTCAAAATGCCTAACAAAGAGAGCTTGCTCGAAGAGTTAGGGCTTTGATGGCTAATAATACCACGCACTCCACCCAAGGAGGTATCATTTCTTTCACCTTGGCTGAGACATAGAGCGGTGGAAACCAAGTAGTCAGAGTTACGTATGCTTTGATGAATGGTTTCTTGGCTTGTTGGCAAAGAACTGAAACCCGGTTCCTGCATATCAAGTGCTAGGGCAGTATACTGTTTACCAGTATGCTATATCATCGGACTCCATTTGTCAATTATCTCAACTGCAGCCCCGTGTCGATATATGTAGATTGCATCAATGTTTCACCTGTTACCTCGAAAATTCTTTAATTTTTGGCTCTAGAAGATTTGAATCTGAAAGAACTTTGATTCCATGTCTGATTTCTAGGACTGTAGCACGAGCTTTGCCACCCTTTCTTCTTCGGTCTTGAGACGAGACCAGTATGTTACTCTGAAAAATTTCTCGAGACATGGTCTTGGACCGTCTGTCACAATGTAGATACAGTGTAGATACAATGACATTGTAACATGCTGCTGCCTTATCCTGGTCACAAAGGACAGTTCAATTGGCGTCGATTGACTACTGAGTCTCAAGATTCCCCATGCATTATCGAAATGACCAGCTGTTTCAGTATGCAGTTTGAGAAATCAAATTACATGTGAGCGATAATTTTATCCATTGATCTCCTGAAAGACAATCATGTTTGTGGATCCCAGTCTCCCAGTTTTGAGTTGTCCCAGAATCATATAATATCATTGTGTTCTATTATATTCGAAAGATGGAGGTCTCCCTATGAGACTGCAATAAAAATGCAAGCAGCTTCCCTTGGTTGAGGGTTTAATTCTTAGACAAAACGGAGGTCACCAGTGGATTATTATTTTTGCTTGCGGCCTCTTGCCAGCCAGACTCTAGTACGATGCATACCGATTGGGCTGTTGCCACTCGGCATACGAGGACAGCAGAGATCAATGTCAAGTTTATAGGGTATGATATAACCCAGCTAGAAGAGCGTTGGTTTTTGGCTGTCAACAGGTTCTTTGGCTCAGATGGAGGAGCTCAAAAGGTAAACAATGCCCTCCCTCTATTCCAGGGTGATACTGTCTCAGACTATTAATAAAGATGCTTGAACCATCTTTACTGACTATGTCTAGAAATTCGGGCCAATCGCAAGAGCTGAATTAACGCAAGTCTATCGTTGATTAGGTGCCTTGTTTCTTTTCTAACGTGAACACTAGGGCCTGTAAAAACAATCCCATCCACCGATCCGGTTTCAATCCTCAAGACGAAAGATTGGTTTTGACTTTTATTGTTACTGCAGTTTCTGGCATGGTCAGGAAATGCCATGTTTATGAGACTGGAAAGGGCACGAGCTTTATTGGAGATCGAGAACAGTAAGTTTCATTGAGAACTGGCGAAAGAGTCGATTTGATATACGATCGTTTATACATCTTGGCTTGGAAATTTCATCTGCGCTCAAGACCCAGTATCTAGACAATTGGAGACCGTGTGTATAAGTAGTAGGCATGCAGCGATATCTTCTAGAAGAGCTAGAAATGGAGTCCGACTAGTTTGGTCCTCTCCGAAGCCAATCACCACGATTCAAGACAGAAACTAAACCCCAAACTGAAAATCCCGCGAGTCATCCCCAAGCCAAATCCGAATCTCCTCCAAAGCATTCAAGTCATTCTCGGGAAGAGAAAGCTGGGTCTTCTCATCATACCATTCATAAGTCCCACCAGATCCCTCCATGCTCTCTCCAATCGGCCGACAGGAGCCAAAATCAATGATCACGAGCCCATCACCATCCAACATGATATTACTAGGATTGATATCATTATGAACCAACCCTAAAGAATGAAGATGTCGAAGACCACTCTCAACACCCGCCAGGCCAGCACTGTAGTCTTTGATTGTTTCCCGCGTGCTTCTCGACCGTCTCTTCATCAATGCGCCGGGATTCACCTCTTTCATCAATGTGTGCGAATACTTTGTAAAGCAAAGTCCTGTAATTCTGTCGCCGGCTACCTGGCAGCCATGATACTTGGCAATGTTGGGATGCGGATGCTGTAGGAACAGCTCGCACACTTTTGCTTCAGCCAGCATGGACTCTGCAATTGCGTTTGGATGAGGGCTTTGGGAAATTTGGTCATAGCTGTTCAATTGGGGTCGTTTCACATGTGTGTCCTTTGGTAATGGGTCGTGCGCTCGTGTCAACTCCATTGCATATAGAGGACTGTATGCTGAGAAGGGAATTTGGATAATGTTTGTGAGGTCCGCTGGGTTGACCATTGTAGAAGGATAGCTGCGAGCTTTCAGCATTCCGTGATATAATTGACCGTTCATCCGATACACGAGTAACGTGCCAGCAAACCCAAAGCTGCCATTGATATCTTCGAAAACCTCATTCATCTCTAAGATCTCCAGCTGTGGGCTGTCAAATGGAGTTGCCATGGCTTGAAAGCTTCTGCTGTCAATAAACAGTACTGGATGATGGAGTATTCCTGGAGTAGGAATAACATCTTTTGAATCTAAAAGATAACAAGGGAACTCTCGCAGAAGGAAATTCTTCAAAGGTCGGTGTACTCAACTGACATGCCAAGATGTGATTGGTCCTGACCAGCATGAGTTCCAATGTCACATTACATGCTCATGCAAAGATAACACATATGTAAAATATAGCAATCCTAACCCAACATCACTCTCGATCAGCCAGACTCCCCTCCTCATTCACACTTCCACTCCTCCTACGCCTAGGGATTCCCTCATTCATAGCATTCGCCTGCTTCGGCATGGATGCCGAAAACGAAGCATCACTCGGTCGACGCCGTCGAACAAGTTGATATGCCCTGTCAAGTTCAATCTCAACCGCCTCTCGAACCTTGAGCGCACTAATCGCTGGCCACACTCCCCTTTCGCCTTTTAGCGACCAATCAGAGACGCGGGCTTTCGTCGGACTCTGAAACAGTTTTCTCAGATCCCAGATACACAAGTCCGGAACGAGAGTGAGGTTCGGTCCGGGGATTGTCTCGTCAATGAGCAATCTGCTCAGTGGAGCGGGTAACACGCCTAGGTAATCGAGTTGACGAAGTCGGTGGCGTAGTTCGACGATGATTAGCCGCATGATAGACCGGGAGAGATTGTTCCAGCCTGTCTGGCGTCGGTCTAGGAGGTTCAGTTCTGACCGAAGAAAGGGGACTAGATATGGTCGGGCTTGGGAGACGATGAAGTGGTTTACGTTGAAGAGTTCCGAGATTCGTGAGAGAGGAGATTCGCCTTCGTTGTAGTGGACGTGTCGCCAGGGTCGGAAAACAGCATCTTGCGTGTGGGGCCATGGGACTATTGCACCTGTTTCGTCTTTGCAGTAGATCGTCACAGGTGAGTAGAGGCCTGAGGAGGAAGAAGCGTTGGATGCTACAGCAGCGGACCAGATGAGCTGGGAATGATGTTAGATATCCACTGGCACTGGCAAGGGGAAGAGGAGAGATACATACCACGTTCGGCGCAGTCAAATAATTCAGCAGATTCGGCGTCCCATTTTTCCCTGTCGTCGCAACAGTGATGTTCAAAATGCGCTTCGACCTTGCATACGCCTCTTCAAATGTAAGATCCCCAACATTAGCCCGAACACATTCCTCCAAAACACCCACATCGAACAAGTAACCCTTCTTCAGCAACCTTCTCATCCTTCGATAGAATGTCCCAACCCAACTCGAATCAGAGTTCCCCCCACTCCCACCATTAACCATCTTCCGCCTCTCAAAGGCCGAGAGATCAATTCCCTCGCCATCGAGCAATGGCAGCAACTCATCCTCAGAATGAATACCCACAAGTGCAGCAATCATCGCCCCAGTTGCAGTGCCCGTAATAATCCGCGGCAAAAGGCCCTGCAAATGCAGCGCCTTCACAACACCAAGATGACACAGTCCAAACGCGGACCCGCCCTGAAGCAGCAGCGTCGTCCGGCCAAACGCCTGCCGCGTATCGTGCAGGAGCTCTAGCTTTGCTTGCGAGGTGAACCCGCTCGGATGCATGGGTGCTCCTGGTACGGATGTGACATACTGGATTGACAGCGCTACTTGGGTTATGTAGTCGTCGATAAGAAGCTTGGTTCCTGCGTACGCGTGCGTAAATAGCTTCGTACTAGTTATGTTACCCAGATTGCGTACGAGTCCGGACCGGAGCAAGTTCACTAGTGTTAGGATATCTTCTGACTCGCGCGCGCCCATCAGCGCTTCGAGCCGGCCGAGGATTAGTCGGTAGTCGTAGTGTCGGCTGACGGGGTTTTGGCGCCTGCGTGGGTGGTTAGATGGTGCATTCGGCATATTGGATATTGAGCTGGGTCCAATTGATTCGGTTTGATTTCATACCATACATCTTTACTTTGTAGCTCGTCAAGCTCAAATGCCGCCTCTTCCCACTCCTCATAGCTCTGCGCGTTGGCCAATGTATGAAAGAGTCTATCTCGAGGGGACCTGGAATGCCACCATGATAAAAGTTTCTGATTGATATTCATTAGCTCTACACCAGACCGAAAATAACATCCAATATTATGTCTTGTGCGTCATTTGTCTTTGGCCAACTCAGGCTCAGACCCTCTCCCCACATGCAAGACACTCGGCTTGGGATTGGAGAACACTCACCTCTCTCCAGAATTGAGTAACATCAAGGATCATATTCCAAATCGCACCAGCGATCTTCCACAGTCTGAACCACCACGATCCCATTGTTCCATTTGAGGGATTTGTCTGCGTTGTGGTGGAGGGAAAGGTGCACATGCGGGCCCGTGATTCGCTTTCACATGCTACAACGTCACGCGCTTTCCACTGAGAGTAGAGATTGAGGTGGAGGTACTGGATTGATAGTAGATTAGATGTGATATGTAGAGGTCAGCTATATAATGGAGAGGGATTGGTCTGGATCTGGAGGAAGTGGGAGTTGAAGAGTTTAAAGATGGGAAAGGTGAATGTCGAAGTCGGAACTACCAGATCGATCCAGATTCCCCCGGATCTTCAACTACATGGCCGATAGAGATACATCTCTACTTTATAAAAGTGATGGAATTGACACGGGCGCACATTTCTACATGCCACATACAAAGACGTTTTCGCGTGAGGGAATCAGTGAATTTCAAAAGGGTCGTTTTGTTTTTGACATTTCGCTTTGCTTCCCTATATGCAAGTAGGCGAAATTAAAGAAACCTCTCCCGGACACCCCATACATTCCCAAGCGTCACATTTACTCTTCGATGATGTTGCCCTTCTCCGACACGTAAAGACCATCCAAGAACTGGGGATAGTTAGTATATATTCAAAGTCTCGAATATGCCTGGTGGAAGTTGTGCTCGTGTAACTCACCTTACGGATATCCTTGTTGCGGACACGGCAGATCTGCTGGATGTCGGCAGCGGACTGGGACACACCCTCGAGGGAGTTACCGGTGAGGATAAGCTCATCCTTGACGTTGGCGGAGGGAGCGATATCGACATCGGGCTGGGCAGTGATGCGGCGGACGTACTTCTCACCGAGGAAGTTGCTTAAAACAAAATGTTAGCTCTAGCTCCCATCACAATTGACTTTCACGGTATGATCTCAAAAATCACATCGAAAAGCCGTATATTTCAAGGTTCCATACCGGATCTCCACAATAGAGCGGCCAGTCTCTGGGTTGGGCTCGATGTTGACGTTGATGGGGAAATGGGCGTAGACGTAACGCATCTTGTACTTGAAGCCACGGGTAACGCCGATCATCAGGTTGTTAATGATGGTACGGACGGTACGGAGGGTAGCAACACCCTTGCGGGCACCGTGGTGCAGCTCGATGGAGATAACGTTCTGCTCGGGGCGGCCGAAGGTGACGGCAATGTGGGAAAGATCCTTGACGAGCTTGCCGCGGGGACCCTCGACAGTCACGACGCGGGACTTAATGTGGACCTTCACTATAGAGCAAAAAAAGATTCGGGTTAGTTGAAGGTATTCCTTGAGAAATTCAATATTTTGAATTCAAAATCAAGAATCGTGTGGTAGGTGTGCGAGTCGCCGATCCCACACAATATTTCCTCCTGCTTCTGCTGTATGGTTGAATGTTGATCGTGTGTGTCGTGCTAGGCTGTTGAATTTCGTGCCTCAAAAAAGAAGTTGGATTGTGTGCGACCGGCTTCCTCGATCCTCCAATAAAAAAAAGAAATCCGCTCACCATTGTCCAGAATGGGCAGCCGTTCCTCGGAGTGAATGTACCGCATCTTGACGTGACTTTTGGTGGTTGCCGGGGGTGTAGATTGTCGATGTCGGGGAGGTTCAAAATTCGAATGGACTTGGTGGTGGAGCGAAATTAGATGTCACGGGATTGTGCGTCGCTTAGGGCCATTTTGGGTCTAGCGCAGTTAGGGTTCCTTATCAGCTTATCGTCTTATCGCAGCTTGTACCAGTACTTACTCCACCAGTGTTAATCGATAGTTTGGCAAGTAGAGTTACAAGTGCTGTTAAAGCTGAAGCCTAGAGTTCCTGAGCAAGTTCGCTACTATGTACATCTACAATGAACTGCAACCATCTGTTACCCAATTTTCTCCCAGGGCTATGCGCTATGATTATTAAATCTTGTTTTAAAATACTAACCTCATAGTGATTTCTCAACCTGGTGCGACACGTCCGCGATCCATTTCCCACCCATCTGTCGCAGCGTCGAAGCCAGCTCGTCGCTCTGATCCAATGCCGCAATATCATCTCCGCCACCTATACTCTTCCCACTCACGAGCACGTTTGGCACGGTGCGACGCCCCGTCCTCTTGGCGAGCAGGGCCTGCAGATACGGCCCGAGCGGGTGCTGGTCCAATTCGACCACGAGCGGTTTCGGCTCGATAGAGTAATGCTCTAGCAAGATCGACTTGGCTTTCTTGCTGTAGGGGCAGTAGGATTTGGAGAATATGATGACTAGATGCCATGAGCTTTGGACAGAAGCGAGAAAAAAATGGGAGGGAAAGAAACATACCTGGAGCCCCCTTAAGGATCGTATTAAGCTCTGTCGTCGCCTCAGCCTCTTTTCTCTCTTTCTCCTCGCGCTCCTTTGTCGCCTTTTCCTCGCGCTCCTTTTCTTCCTCGCTCTTAATCTCCGACTGAATCTCTGCCAGCGTATCCTGATTCACCTTCTTAGGAACGGTCATCTTCGTCCGCCCCGCAATCGGGATCTCCTCCGTGTCATCATTTCCTGCAGGAGGAATAGCAGCTTTCTCAACCTCAGCAACGGGCACCTTGTCACCGGTACTGGCACCAGCAGCGCCATTCTGTCCGGGCGCATGCACGGTATCCTGGACCTTCTCTTGGGCCTTGGTCTGCTTGGCCAACTCTTTCGCTTTCATCGCGTCGAGGGTCGAACGATAAAACTTTTGATTTTGGATTTTGCTTGCATCGCCCTGTAGATTGGATTCGATTGCATTAGATATCTGGAACCCTAGTGCGAAGGAGATCTAGGGACGTACAGTATAGTAAAAGACCATGAAAAGAATTGCGATGACCCCAACGACAATTAGTCGAAGCCGCCGTTGTGAAGAGGGCATGATTAAATTTCGATATAGAGCTGTGTGGCTTGTGACTTGTATCAAAAAAGTTGAAATCAGGATGTTCCAGTTAGGTCCGAGGTGACTTCTAGACAACGTGACGTCGGGTGTTCCAAGAATTCCGTTCTCGGCGCTAACAATTTAGGGAACATTCGATATTTCTTCCAGAATTATAACAATGATACCACTTATAGCAATAAAAAGATCAAGAGTTCCAGCTCAGGAGAAAAGAAGTGGGGGGGTCGAGACCTTGGAAGGGGCCAAGTGCATGTCATCCCTGATTTACGGCCCCGTCTGAGCGATGCTTGGCGGAAACTATATGATGTGCCATATGCTTGATTGGTATAGTTACTTTTTTCTTTTAATAGTCAAACATGAATTATCAATATTGATTAGAGTATGGAATGACTGGGTATTATGCTAAATCAGACGGATTCCTTCAAACGCAAAAACCCACGTCAACGGTAAATCATATAGAGGGCATGAACCTCGCACCAGGTGTAGATGGGTAAGAAAAGGGTAAGATGAAACGATAGGATATAGAAGTTCAAGGTGTGGATCAGGACAGTGGCAGACCAGCTGTGACCTGTCAAAACGAGAGCGTTGGTAATTAGGCGAATATCAGCCACCAGGGCTGAAAAGGTGGTGTTACGTCAAAGACATCGGAAAGATGGCAGACCGAGGAAATCAAGTATGAATCGAGAGTCCAGGCCGTGCAGCATGACTGGCAGTGGCTCGGCGTTTGCCTTGGACAAGGATTGTCCAGTCCTCCCACTCCTTGGCAATCTCGGTCAAGACACTGCCCATGACACCAGCAGATGCCATCAGGCCGTGGCCTTCACCTTCGAGGATCCGGACCTCACAGCGGCGCATCGTCTTGCCAAGCCATTGGACATTCTCTACGGGAACGCGGGGATCTTTGCTACCATGGTGCATCACCACGGATCGCGTGATGTCCACGTAGCGGAATCCGATTGTTTGGCGACGCTCAAGGCAAACCAGCAAGTCAACCGCCGGATTAGCATTGGTGGTGGCCAGCTCCCAGATCTTGTAGGTGAGACGGGTATCATAGTCACGCTGCCGTTCAACCTCGTCTTCTGGAGGCTTTGTGACAGACCCGAGAGTCGTGTCACTCTTTCTATGCGAAGTGGTGGTAGGGGCCGACGGTTTGATATTCGTTACAATATCCACTCGCTGGGTTTGCGGATTGTTTTGAACGGCAGGTATAAGTGGTACAGGGGGTCGGTATTCGCATTGGAGGCATCCTTGGCAGCGGCCTTGCGCTTGGTACGTCGCGGGGACTTGGGTAGACTAGTGGTGATGCTGGCACTAGTGGCACTCATAAAGCTTGAATTGGCCACTTTGAGAAGGGATGTGGGAAGAGCACGAAGGATCTTTTGAGAGTAGGGGACCGCGTTGGTGGGCGCGGGATCCTTCTGAGAGCCGATGGTAGATAACTGAGATGGAGGAATCCATGGGGCTAAGAGATGAATGCGGCCACGAATATGCTGCGGAATTCGGAGAGCCGTTGCAAGAGCGTAAATTGCGCCAGCAGAATGGGCAAGGATCGAAAATTTAGTCACTCGGAGGTGGTTGCACACAATTGCAACATCATCTATTGCTGATTAGCGCAATATTGGGATATCTCGGCGGTCTTACTTACCGGGCCAGCTGAGAGGGGTGCTTGGCTCATCCCCCTGGTGTGGACCGCTCTCACCAACGCCAGGACGATCCAATGTGACCAGTCGCAGATTGAGCGTCCGAGCCAACTCATCATAAAATGCCATCAGATACCGAGTAAGACCCATGCCGACACAGCATAGCACGACATGGCCCTTTGGATCACCAACTTCAGAGAAGGCGATGGAGCGGCCGGTGGTTGGGTGAATTACTCTTTGGGTCAGCTTTGGCGAAAAGATGTAGTCGTCAACAGCAAGATCGATTGAATCCGCACTGGATGGCCGTTCGGTGCTGTACGAGGGACGCCCATTTGACAGATGGGATAGATGACCGGATGGAGTCCGGCGATGGGCGGTGGGTGCAATTGGCTCGAGCGACTGTTTGTATCTAGCTCTCTCGGTATCCGAGTATTCTACAGATGACTTGGGCAACTGCGGTGGAAGATGGGTAGATTTCGATGCGAGTGGTGCTCCTGGTCGGCTCCCAGTGCGATTTTTCCCTGTCATCACGTTTGGCGAAGGAGCACTGTCGTTGAAAGATGGCTGATTGCGGCCTGGTCCATTCTGCATGGTGGCCTCGTCAACATCATATCCTAGGACGCGGGACGCCTTTGAAGCCCTTGACTGCTTCGCGGGGCTCGTCTTTGTCGAGTGTTCGGGGCTCTTTTCCGCTTCTAACTCGCTCTTGATCTTCTGTTGCTGGTCTTTCAACTCTTGGATCCGGCGGGTCACCTGTTCTGCGTCATTGCTCGTTCCCGGTGTACCATTGTCTGTGTTGAATTCTTTGCTGGCTGTGGAAGAGTATCGACTATGGCGAGCAGACCGGGGCTTTTTCGAGCCTGATGACTGGCTATGCCGATGTCGCAGAGATGAGTCGCGGGTTGGAATGATCCTACCGCTTCCAATTCCGCCGGGATTGCTAGCATCCGGAGTACCGTAAAACGATTGGTTATCTTGGATTGGTGGAGTGCAGGCAACTTTCTCTTCGTAGGGCTCTTCCTTGACGTCCGCAGGACGAGCATCCTCTGTAACTTCAGCCATTGACTGTAAGGAGCGCAAACTTGTTCGGTTGCGCGGGGTGTTGTGTCGAAGGCTGTCATTGTAGCTGGTAGTCTTTCGCAGACGCTCAACTTGTGTATCCTTTTCGCCCAAGAATTCTCGTGATGACTTCTTCAATAGACTAAATGGACCCTTTAGGCTTCTTGTCCGCCCTGCGGAACTATTCGAAGCAATGCTCGGGGTTGACTGACGGGGGCCAGGTTCCGTGCTGATCGTTCCGATCGAGAAGGGTTCCGGGGCAGCTATCACGGATGTATAAGATTCCCTCGAGGCCGGGCGAGTGGACGAGTCGGTTGTTTTGAAGGGCTTGTATCTCGGCGATCGGGGCGACTTTGGTGACGGGGTCGCCCTGGCCATGCGAATCACAGGTGACGAGGCCGCATCGTCCGGGTGTAGAAATGGGTTTTCCTGTGCCGCGGATGGCTCCGCTGGCTTGTAGGCGCCGTAGCTCATTCCAAACCCATGCTCGGACGGAGGAAGAGAGTAGACTGGTGCTGTGCGCGGAACTTCTGGCAATGGATCTTCGTTGTCTATCTTCGGGACAGTGTCAAAGTGGGAATTTAGGGGCACTGAGATGGTGGAAAGGGAGGAAATGAGGGAGGAAATGACTTCAGGCGAGGTTGGATCTGTTCCATTGCGCGAAGGCAGCGATTTACGACGGCGACGGCGATTTAGCAGAGCCGACTCTGCCACGGGGGCTTCGTTTGACATGATTCAGTAGTCTAAAGGTGTAAACCCCTAAGCTTCAAGGATCGGATGCAGGGTAAATGGGTACACGCATGATCTACTGCATGCGAAAGATGTTTGATAAGGGTTTCTGGCTTGCCCCTTACTGAGATATTGAGATAAAAGAAATTGGGAGTGAACGTAAGAAGATCTAAAAGAAGGAATTCCGGATATACCGATAAAAAAGAGAGAAAGGAAATATCAAGGCGCATGAGTCCAGAAAGAAAAGGGAGTTTCTCTTAATATTTTTTTTTTGAGATCTCTTAGCGTTGACGCCTTTGCTCCACTGGGATGTTAATTTGCCGATATATAGAAGTAGGTGTGCATATTTATATACCTATATATATGTATATATTTTAATCACTACTCCATATGTACTCCGTATGTTATACGAGATTCCTTGTTTTGTCCCGCTATCAAAAAGTATTTGGCATTCATTCCACGTGGATTTTTCTCTTGACCCCCTTAATGGGCTTAACAGGCGATACGAGGATGCTGATCAACTCATATTAATAGTGGACTACTGCGTAAATAACATCAGCTCGCATCGGATGGCTATATATTCTACGCTCCATGAAATGAACTAGGGTGGAATGAAATAATAATCAACGGTAAGTAGACATAGTAAATAATCACTCGTTAACACTACACGATCAACAAATATATATACGGAGTACTCCGTAGCAGATCTATATACGGAAGTATTTGGACATGTAATATCTCATAATGATGGTCAATTAAGTGTCCTATATGACTCCATATAAGCTTAGCTACATGTGAAGCCTCTATATTGTCTACTTCAATTTATCGATCTACATGTACTTCCCAAAATAAAAAAGGTCGACCCATGTGCATCTCCCCCAGAGTAAACATAGCTGACCGCCCAACATGGCAACATGGCAATATCCCCAGCCCTTGAGTTATCTTACCCAAAACATCATTGAAACATTTAAAACCCCGAAGAACCTTTGGGCCTTCCTCTCGCTAACGGGGACTTGAATAACTGGCGCTCTAATCCTCAGGTCTTCTTCATCCCCTAGACATGTGGTGACCGTACTGCGAAACAGCCATTGCCCGCAATGGACGCCTACCCCGAAGACTACGTCAATCACAATCTGCCTTTAGTCCTGCTCGCAGGACTCGAGGCAGATCCCGAAATTGACCCTGCAACATTATCGAGCTATCCTCTACTATTAGAGAAGGGGACCCATATCTTCTCGGATTTCCCACCTCTAGGCGGGGCTGTTGCGGAGGAGCTCCGGAGCCTGCTTCTAAAAGAAGATAGCTCTCAAATGCCATGGAAGTCTAGAGTTACTGTGACTGGGAATACTACGACAGCAAATATTGGTTACCGCATCAAAAGTTCTGGCCGCGTACGTCGATACTCTATGATTCCAATGTTGGTTTCACAACATCATACTGCGGACTACTTGCTAACACCAGCACAGTCATGCAGACTCCCCCCACGAAAAGCCGACCCCCCTATCCCCTCATCACCAACTACCCCCGGCGACGATCAGGATAATGATCACTCGGAACCTAGTACACACTTTGTCCTGCACTCGCCACTATCGCCTTTGTCACCGGGCTCTCCAACTTTCCCAGATGGCTTGCTCACACCTTTATGGGTAACTAAACACCAGAACATGGTTCCAGCAGCCGTGATCAATTTCTTCCCATTCTCGTTGGACCCGAATATGAACTCGCTACGAGACAATCAACTAAAAATCGAGATCAATAGCCTGAAAAAAGAATGGCAATCCTCCGGGTATAAAACACGATTTGTGGTTGTTCTGATATCGGAAGACGGAGAAGAGGGCGGCTATGAGGGCGAGATTGATGACCGTATTGCGGGAATTCGACGGGCAACAAATCTCGACCACAGGTCGGTATTCGTGATCCCACCAGACGCAACTTCGTCGGAATTACAAGACTTCGTGAAATCACTTTTCTCACTACTTCAACCGTCGGTTGTTGAATACTATCGAGATCTGTCCAAGCATGCCAGGCGCAAACGAAACAGGGGCAGTATCCCTCCTCCGACTGCACCTCCAACAACAGGGACTTCTCAGACTCTATCATCCCAAGGCTGGAACGTACGGTATGAATTCAAGCTCGGAATATTTGCCGAGTTTCGGCAAGAAATGGATGCAGCCTGTCGGAACTATGAGAGTGCGTACGACACTTTATTTGGCCATGAAGTGTTCGAAAATATTGCGGGCTGGAATCCTCGATTTAATGATGCGCGCCTCTTGGCCGACGCTCTTGCCATTCGGATTATACGCTGCCTGTTATGGACGGGCCAGACGACCGCCGCAGCTCGGCTGTGGGCTGACCACAGAATTCGTGTAAAGGATATTGTGAATCGCAGAGGAAAGGGAAGTAAACACTACGGATGGGAGGCCTGGGAGGCGCGTTGGTCGATGGTGATGGCACAGCTTATCCGTCGGGCGGAAATCCCATCTCTCTCCAGCAACATCTCCCCTGAAAACCCTGGAGAGATTTATATTTTACCCGAGAAATCGATTCCAACCGGAGAAAGAATCAGGCCCTGGGAGAATCTCCATCATGAGGGCTACTGGCTACACCGTTCAGCGAAGCATACAACGATCCGACGTGCGCTTGCCCAGGAAATTCCCATGGAAGATCGCATGCCTCCTGGGCAATCACCTGCTTCACAACTTGCAAACAAATCCTACTTGTACGACACATATCTTGTTCCTGACACCCATGCCGAAGCACCAAAAGAAGGACAAACTGGTTTTGACCATTCTGGCTTAATATTGAACACGCTGAAGGCTGCTATCGTGGAATTCGCAAAACGCCACCAAACAAGGAAAGTTGAGAGCCTGAGTCTTGAGGCGGCCGAGGAGTATATGCGCATTGGCTCATGGTCCGAAGCGCATAGTCTTCTTCAACCGCTGTGGTCTACTCTTAGCTGGCGCCGCTCAGGATGGTGGCATCTGATGGTCAATTTCGGATGGGCACTCAGAGAATGTGCTCTCAGGGTGCAAGACAGTGAGACAGTCCTACGTGTAGATTGGGAGCTACTGAACAAGAGTAAGTTGATTCCATTCATCTTGTGTGTATTCTCTTCAATGTTAATATCCATTCCGATAGATTTCAAACCAAGACCTGCGTGGCATTATGACATCCACAGGAGTCTTGAAAGCCTGCCTTCAGAAAAGCCCAAACCTTCCCTTATCCTTCGCGCAGAGGATGTCATAACGAGTCGTAAGTTGGCAAGCCCGAAATGCAAAGATTGCACTGACCTCTCTCTTCATAGTGACCGCGTCATTGGTGTTTGAGAAATCTGATGGCAACGTTGGGGAGCCTCTACAGGGGCAACTTGCCATCACATCCTGTGCCCATAAATCCTCGGCCCCTATCCGTCTTTCCGAGGTCAAACTGGTTTTCGAAGGATGCCTTCGCCCAGTAAAGCTTCAATCTGACCAGAATCAGGATGCTGACACCACAACCCCATGTTGCATCGCAACGCTTCCACTCCGCGAGCCGAGCAACCCTGATACCATGGTCCAATCCCCAGTCGGTGGACTAACCGCATTGGTCGGCATAGCAGACTTGACTCTCGGGCCCTCGCAGACCAAGATCTTTAACCTCACCTGTATTCCTCGCGAAGCCGGTGAAGCTAGGGTCGCTTCAATCACCATGTTGATCGAAGAAGAGCAATTCGACCTGGGTTATGCGATCACTGAGCCAAATCAGCGTGAATCGTTCTGGTGGCAGCAGACGCAAAAGGGCGTGAGCCGCAGAAGAGTGGGCAAGGATCGAGATACTGGCAGGTGCAAGGTTATGCCCAAGCCTCCCAAGATCCGCCTCACAACTCCCAACCTGAAGGAGACCTATTATACCAACGAACGGGTGATGCTTCAGATTGGCATACACAATGAAGAAGACGAAGCTGCCGATGTATCTGCTGAGATCAGACTCTTCGGCACCGAGCCCACAGCACAAATACAGTGGCTCGACGACGATAGCAACCCTGAGCCCCTCGAATCAGGCGCCAGCACCCCGATTGAGGGACTGTCACATCACTTGAAACGAGATGTGGGCGTTCTAGAGCGCTCTTCCAACAAAACCCTGACAATTGTGCTTGCCGATACCCAGGAGGCTACAAATTTCACGTTGGAAGTTTCGGCTGTATACCATTTGGTGTCTGATATTCAGACCCCGATTATGAAGAATATCACCGTGGATCTATCATTCATTCGGCCGTTTGAAGCAAACTACGAATTCTTGCCGGCAATTCACCCTCAACCATGGCCCAATTTCTTTGCAGTTAGTGATAACTTACTGGAGGATGGCTCTGCATCAACACCTGGAGGCCTGTTCCAGAAGTGGTGTCTCAATTCCAAGGTAGTTTCCTTTGCACTGGAGCCGCTGGTAATTGAGAAGATGTCTCTTATTCTTCTCGAAGCCAGCGGGGGAGCAATTTGCGAGGTTCGCTCGGAAGAGCTTCTCAGCCCAGAAACGCGCTATCTCGCACCAGAAGAACTGCGGGAATCCAACTTTGGCCTCGATGTTCAGAAACTCCTTCTCGGGGACCGTCGACCAACTGCGCTCACCTGCGCATTGGAGGTCAATTGGCGTCGGCATTCATCTGAATCTGTAGCTTCCCCCGACGCAGGGAACTCGGTCACAACTACCGTCCTCGATATCCCCCGATTTGTCATCCCAATGGGCGAGCCTCGAGTCCTTGCATCAGCTACCCCATCTAGGAATATGGCAGGGTTGATTCATATGAATTACGTACTCGAGAACCCCTCCACCCACTTCCTCACCTTCAACCTAGTCATGGAGGCCAGCGAGCACTTTGCCTTTAGTGGGCCGAAGACCACAGTTGTGCAGCTTGTGCCATTGAGTCGCCACACGGTGAACTTCAATCTGTTTGCGGCGAAGCGCGGCTTATGGATTCAGCCACAGCTGGTGGTGGTTGATACCTACTTCAACAAAACGCTCCGTGTCCTTCCAACAGGGGATATGAAGTCGGACAAGAAGGGGGTTCTTGTATGGGTTGATGCCGACGATTGAATGATATGATTATAATCTGAAATACATGCTGTAGATGAATTGGACCGTCTCATAATGAACAAATATTGTACAAAATAAACCTCCCCAACTCTGTACATAAGTTAAGAAGTTGTTTTGTATAGATGGTGATAAGTCACGTGCATTGCCCTTATCACATAACCCGAATTTCCTAATTCGGCTAGCGGAGATCGGTCTTCCGCATGTCTTGCCGTCAGAGAGCTTCATCACAGTCACCCAAAGACCTTACAGCTCACTTCCTTTGATGCTCGCAGTATTTACACATATAATTGAGACCCAAGCATCGAAATACCCGGCCTCTTACTTTTCCCCTCCTCGGGAACCCGTTTCCACGACTCCATTTGCCGGAGAAACTCCCCTCTAACGCGCGAACCGACGTGTTTAACCCGACAGTCTCGTTGTCGACACCGTAACTATGGCGGCGCAAGCGGCATTAATCGCCGATACCATTACCGGCATGAAGCGGGCCTTGCGCAGAGAGCGTGAAGGTGAGTGGCCAACCTAGCAGACTGCTTTTTCAAGCAGAATTAATTTCTGACGTTTTTTCTCACCAGAGAACGGTCCGGACGATCCGATCATGGCACCGACGAACCGAGGGAACAAAATGCATGCTAATGCTAAATATGTGAGCGAGGGTGCACTGGGCTACATCCACGCCGAGGATTACTACAAGCAGGTGCGTGGTTTGCCGATCTCGGACTTGAGCGCTGTGGCGATAAGATGGGACTGGAATTTCATGAAAACTGACTTTCGACTGTTGATTAGAGAGTTGAGCACGCTGGTTATACGCGCTACATTCTTCAGCCGAACCCGATTCGCTATGATTCAGAGGGAGACGAGCTTGATGAGGATGATGAGGATTCCGAGGCTGATGCTGCGGCTGCTGAAGAGAACCCGTTCTCTGGAATTGCGCTTGAGAGTAGGCTTTTCCCTTTACTCTTTTGAGAAATGCCTGTGGTGTCATGGCTGACCTGTTTCTTTTTTCTTCTAGCCCTTCTGTGTCCCCTGAAGCATCCTTCCGAACTCGCAACCCATCCTTCCATGTCCCAAGCATACACGTCGCAAGCGCTGGAGAACATGACAGCCGCAGTTGAGCATAAGCTTCGCCAGGAAAAGGCTTTGCTGTGGCGCGCCAGGAGCCTGCATAGACAATTCCTCGGTGATAGCAATTGGATGCCATGCGGTGCGCTCGAGACGCCTAATGACCACTTGATCTTCGACCCCAGGCTTGTCAGTAATGCCCCGAGCGTATATGCCGGCTCGCAGGTTGCAAGTGGGACTGGTACCCCTTCTACCACTAAGGATCTCAATGCCCCGCAAGACGCAGCTCAAAAGGTAGCTGCATCAACAGCCACACAGGACCCCCAGTCGGCACAGAACGGCACAAAAGCCCAGGCCAATTCAACGCCGAATGACGTGGAAATGGCCGATGTCCCAGCAGAGGGCGAAGCGACCAAGAACGGCTTGCAGCTCAAATCAGAAGAGACTGATGCCACCGTTAAAGACCTCCCACCTCACCCTAATACATCGACCCTCGCTCCAGAGAGCAACAACCACTCAGCCGGGGAGAGCGCAAACCCACCCCCCCAACGGGAAACAAGGCACGGACACAACGAAAAAGGCCGGTCCTGTCGACACAACTGAACTCAACGACGACACAGAACAAGACGCCGAAATGCACGACGGCTCACCCGAACCACCACGGCGAATGACAACGCGTGCGCAAGCCAATGCAGTCAATCCTGACAATGAAAACGGCTCCCCACTCTCTGACACAGCATTTCCACTCCCTACCCCCCACCCTCTTTTCCTCGTCCCGGACAACATCCGCCCCGACCCAAACTATGGCCTGCCTGCCTCCGAAGCCGAGGAAACCCGCCGTCTGCTCTGGTCGTATATTCAGAAGCAGGAAGAGACGGTGCGCGGGGTTGAGCACATGCTTCATTCGCTGAAAAGATCTTGCCGAATGAAAGCTGATGTTCTGGAGTGGTGTAAGGCCGAGGGACATGTTGGCGAGATGAGTGATGGAGAGGACTGGTATGATCGTGAGCAATGGGGGCTTGCTGAGGGCGAGGATTTGAAGAAGGGAACCGATGAAGATGAGGTTGAGACTGTTGATGAGAGTCGGACACAGGGGAAGAGGGGGAGAGGAAGACGACAGTGAGGAATAGGCTGTTGGCAGTGCTGTTCTTTGCTGTTCTTTGATCTTGGGCCCATTGGCATTGTCATGTCCTGGTCTCTTGTCTTGCTGATATGATCCCTACATATTCCCCTGTCTCTGTCTCTTTGGGCTCTTTGATTCATGTGGCGTCGGCATATACCCTCATTTCTATAATAAACATGATTTTTGGATACAATTTCTGCGTTTAACAAAAAGACTCTCATTCATTCGTAAAAAAAAAAAAATGACAACTGGGATGTTTATGACCATCCCAGTAGGGCACGCAAGTCCACTTGGAGAGGGACAATACGCGCATGGCGAGACTGTCCAGTCGCTACTATCTTGCTTTCGTATTCCATCCTGTCGATGTCTATAGCTGCAGACATGTTTGTCTTTGAGCAAAGGGGATTGATGGTCACTGCCACAACTGGATATCTGTACTTCTTCCTCTGGCATAGTCGAGCAATGACCTAGGAGGGCGGATGGGTTCGATCCAGGCTATTAGCTTGACGGCCAAAACAACATTCAAGTGCTGAAACTGTCTTTCGATTCTGTTTCTCATCTTCCAGGACCTCCATATAGTCGGTGCGCAAGGAGTCAATGTCAATTTGGGCATGGCAGGCCATGTTTACCACCGCCTCATTCGAGTCCATTTGTTCCAAGTCTTCGGCTTCGATCTGCGCCTTTCACAGTCAGGTGGCTTACTGCTTCTTGAGGATGTCGATGCGGTCTTTATTCATGTTCATCAACGATGGTCGAGTGTGCTCGGCATATACTGTGACGCCATGGGTAAATACCCTCACATTCGAATTGCTTTGGATTCATCTACCAGGAGTAGATGTTGAAGTTAAATGGTCTGTATTCGAGTATTGAATGCACTTCTGCTGTAGAAATATTCATCCCAGTCGCAAATTCCCTTGGGACTTTTCTGTTTCAAATGGGTTTCATCTCTTTTCTTTTTCTCCTCCCATCGTCCTGCGTCCTCAATCTTCCCTCTCTTTTCTTCTCCCCAGAGCACAGCAACACGGAGTATTCCCGCGCCTTTGAGTGATTGCTTAACCTTTTCATTTTCTCGAGGTATAGCAATACTACCTATCCCAACCAGTCAATGGCTCCGATGAAAATGACCGGAGGGTAGCCGGGAGAAGCAATTGACTGACCCGTTGATGTGCGAGTTCGCCGAGCCCTATCAAGGCAATGGTGTATCTCTAAGGGTGGTTGGTTCCCATATACACTCGAGTATTCGGATGCGTTTAGCAGATTCTGTCTCATAGTACTTGTTAAGTGATGAGAGAAGCTCAATCGAGAAATCGTTGGAAACGGTGATGTATTTGTGAGTGCTATTTCTGCATATGCATGTCTTTCAAAGATCACCTTGAACCCCGGAAGTGATTTCTCAATGTTCCCTAATTGCGTGTCTCCACCATTCTCATTTTCATTCTAGGCTGGGTCATCCTAGTCAATGTCCATATTATCTGGCAATGACCGAGCTAGACACTGGTGGTCATCCTGGCTCGTTTAATAGCAGGTCAAGTCATCATCGCCGACCTCGCTTTGAGGTCTTCACAGACGGGTTCACAGCGAGGGGCAAGCCCATCTAACATGATTATCGCCGTGAAGCTTTTTCCTCACACCTTTGAGAATAGGAAAAGGTGTGAGAAGTCCCAACGGGAAAACCTTTGGAGTCTTTTCGGTTGAACCAGGTCCATGGGTGGAGTTGTAGTCGACGTCGTCTTGGAAATATCATAGGTGAATCCGAAGCGCGCAAACCACCCAGCATGGCCCTCGCCATGAAGATATTACCCTCATTTCAGAGCTGGGTGGTAGAAGAGAAGAGTATCGGTAGTCCTTGAGAATTCTATCACTCGGGTATGTTTCATAGGGCGAAGCTACTTTAGTTCGCCCCAATGGATCGAAGACCATGCCCAGCGCGGTTGACTCGTTAGAAGTTGCTTTCACTTCAATAGCTACTTGATTGCCTTGTTCACTCAAGTCTAAGGTTCCCAGTCTCCCAGTTGCCACTCGGATAATCTGCAATTGGAGACTGTAGTCATGGTTTGCTTCGTCACAGTTGACTGGGTTCTGCTGGGAGTTCATGCCTTATATAGCTCTTATTCTCATAATCTGTATACATTAGATTAGGTTCTGGACGAGACCTCGCTGTGAGCTTTCATTTTTAACTCGTCACTTGTGTAAGCATATGTAGGTAGAAAGTTGAGCTGACCACGCTTCATCTTATCAGTGATTCCAGCTGCCGAAATTGGCGAAAGGCTGACAATTTGCACTCTGGATTTTGCCTGGTTATGTTAGAACTCGATGAAGAAAGAACTCTCGAATAGTTCTGTCACATTGAGGAATTCCGATCTAAATGTGACTCGGGTGAACATACTGTGGTGTATAACACCCCAACGACTGAGCTCACCAGGTCTTCTCACCAGGGGCATATATTCTGCTGCTGGACTGAACAGTGACAAGCTCAGTCTTTTGGTCTAATAGATGGTCTTCAGGATCATACAGTATCTATATCCTTTTAAGATTGGCGAACCGATCATATACAATTCTCGATGGTAGAAGTGTGTGGGAAATACTAGGTCAGAGAAAAGGGTAAAGGTAATAACATGTTAAAGATACTGAGCCTTTTGGTTTGATTTTCTGGAGCGTTCTTTTGCGAAATATCTCTCGCTTTGCCTTCAAACAGGCGTACCCTTCTATGGCTCCTTGTACATCCTCGTCACAAGTGAGCCGAAAAGGTCTACTGATTCACAGTTGTACTGCAGTTTTGGCGCGATGGGTTGATTGGATTATATCTTTTGTAGTCGCGTAAGGGAAATCACAGGGGGACCTTGTCCTGTTCTACTCATCCCCAGTATCAAGGACAAGGCCAAAGGTCTATCGTCTACAGGTCCAGCATCGTTGAAGATTCGGATGCGTCCGTGTGCTGGAAACTTGTCGTGGGCAACCCCAGACTTTTGGGTGCCTAGTTGTTTGAGCAATCTGGCCTCTCTCTCTCTCTCTCTCTTTCTCTAGGCCTCTCTTTTCGTGTGCGGATTGTGGGTGTTGAATGTCCGGGTCAATCCTGGTGTGCATATAGAGCGCTTATTGCTTCTTGCCGCCCTGCTTCTTGGCACGCTCACGCTCACGCTTGGCATAAATCTCAGCAGTGAAAGGGCTAGAGACAGTCAGTTTAGCTTTGGGAATGCTTCGGAATAGATACTTACTCTTCCCAGCCAAGAGCGAACCAGTACAGGACAAAGACCTGGGCGGTCAAAAGGATACCAGCAACCTTGCCGTGGTACAGAGCGACACCGAGGAAATTCAAGGTGCTACCCCAGTACATCGGCGAGCCGGTCACGTTGAAAGGGAACCCGGTGACGGGGGCATCCATGAGAATACCGAAGTAGTCACCAAGGTAGGTACCAGTCACACCAAGAGCCCACATGCTGGAGAGAACCAGAACCGAACCGATAGCAAACAAGACACCTCCAATGATCGGTTGGTGGACCGGAGCGTAGAAGGGCTGGTCAGCTAGAGCGAGTTGGTAGACATGATCACGGAGAATTCCGAGCGAGAAGATAGTGACTGCAAGAACGTAACAGCCATTGTACGCGCCTCCGAAGATGTGAGTCAAAAAGTGGTTGCGGTACTCTGTTTACCAGTTAGCCAAGGTCGAACGCAACAGTTCTCGGGTGGAGTCGGCACCTGCGCGGGCAACAATGCTAGAAAGTTCAGGTTAGCTATTGCTCATGAGAAAAACCATTGCCATTATAAAAAAAAAAATTTAGTGGGCACTCACTTCCAGAAAATTGGGTTAAAAGCAATAGTCGCAGCAGACCCTGTTGGGGTCAATCACATGCAAAATGTTGAGATCCTGTAGAGATCAACTCACATAGTAAAGGCTTAGAAGAAAAATCGACAAAATCCGTAAGAGAGGCCATAGCGAAACCGATGTATCAGCGAAGAGAAGAGAATAGGAAGAGAATAGGAAGAGAATAGGAAGAGAATCGGAAGAGAAGAAGAGGGGAAAGATGGGAGCTCGACGGTTGGGCGGCCCCGGACATTGACAGCTTAAGTAAACAAAAAATGACGTTCCTCCCCGGTCACGGGATGTCCTTTTATCTCTTTGGCTTTTTTTGATGCTCTTACTGAGATTCTCCAGTATCTCTTCTGATTTCGAGGATAACTGTACCATATCTTGACTTCATCCCAGGAAGTGTGATACAAAAACTTCTTTGCAAATCAGGCCTTGACTGTGACCGTACGATGCCGAGCTGTTCGCTCCCAAGTTCGCGGGAGTGATCGTTATGAGCCGTGGAGATCTGACAAGAGTGTGGGGAGAATGGCCCTTAGTCGACGCGACCTAGTTCTGGCGGGTGTCGGAGTATTCATCGCCTGGGGTCTTGTGGTTCGTTGGCTGCCAATCCTCCGGTATCTAGGTTATGCCGTGACACTGGGTGCTGTCCTATCTTCGGTGGGTCTCCTAGGACTTGTTACATTGACAATCCGACACCAGAATGACAAATTCAACACCAAGAACGTCTCAGTGGCTTTCATAAAACCCAACCATTGGCGAAAGGAAGTGCTGAATGTCCGCCGGAGCACGCGATACCGTCCCCGGCCGCTCTATCCTCAGTCCTTTGTCGTATCGGAAGGGCTCGACGAACTCCTGTCTTTCATTACCCGAGACTTTGTTTCCTCGTGGTACCACAGTATCAGCCCGAACCCCATATTTGCTAATGAGGTTGATCGAACGATTCGTGTTGCCCTTGAAAACCTCCGTGACAGGTTGCTCGCGGAGGACATGGTCTCGCTGATCGTCTCGCGTATTTTCCCTATCGTGACATCGCACCTCAAAGAGTTTGACATTGCCGAGCGTTCTGTACGGGGGCGCAATCTCAGTCGAAATGTGACCGAGTCTGGAGAGCTTGATCTGGCCATTGCAAGCAAATACCGTGAAGGTCGCTTACACCCTGCTGTTGCAATCACTGCATCCGATCAAAAGACTATCCAACAGGACTACCTGCGCAAGCTAGCCGTTAGCCTTTTACCCCAGCTGTTCCCAGAAAGCGTGCTGAACAGTCGAATTGTGACTGTTCTGATTCGCGAAATTATCTCATGCGCTGTGCTTATTCCGATAGTCACTTCATTGTCGGACCCAGACACATGGAACCAATTGATGGAAGCATATGGCCGTACAGCTTTGCATGATCGGAAGACTGTGCGCAAACTACGCGCCGCTTTGGACCAGCATGCGTCACCCGCACCCAAGTCCAAGCGTGGGCAACCATTCCCACGACTATCAGCAAACGATTCAGAGCGAGCCTTTGAGCGCTTCGTGAGGGCAATTAGGAAATGTAATAACCTCTCTGATGCCCGTCGGTTCCGTGCCCTCGTTTCCAGTCAATTGAAGCAAGAGAGTGTTGTCGAGGGCCAGGATCCAGTTTATCTGAAGCGTCTAGAAACAGGTAAACGTGTTCTTGATCAGAAAGTGGCGAAACTTGCGAAACCCGGCGAGGGCTCCCATGTGCCTTCAGCACTAGACCTTCGACCTGAAATCCCACCTAGAAAGCATGAATCGTCATTGGTTGACGTGATGCACAGCGCCTCTGGGCTTTCTTATTTTATGGAGTTTATGGACCGCCAGAAACTGATGTCCCTTGTCCAATTCTGGATTGTTGTAGATGGACTCCGCAACCCACTCGAAGATGACTTTGGAGATGAGGTAGTGCCCACTTCATTAGCATGGAAACCAGCAGACAGAAACGACCTAGCTCTCATCAGTGAATCCTATCTCTCAAAGCCAGAGCTTAATGTCTCTGAAGAGTCTCGCCGAGCAGTTAAGACATTCTTGAGTGCAGGAAAACGTGCCACCCCAGAACAATACCGAAATGCGCGAATGGTGGTTTTGACAACCCAGTCTGCTATTCTAGAACATCTCCAGAATACTTATTATCCGAAATTCAAGGAGTCTGATCTATATTGGAAGTATCTTGCGTCCGATGAAGCATCTACTGCTCAGGCGCCAATTCGTCAATCCTCTCCCATATCTGTCACTTTTGAGACTCCCGAGAGACGACCTCTCCCCCCTTTGTTGTCACGAACCACCTCCCAGCCCGGATTGAGACCATCGAAAGACCTTCGACGAGCCGCTGTCTCGTCTAGTGATGTGCGCGGCATGGGGAAATTGTTTGATGACGATGATTCACCACGACGATCAATAGACTCAGAGCGGTCTGCTCATCTTTTTGATGACGACTATGACACGGATCATCTTGCCACATCCACCCACAGTTTGGGCAAGGATTCTCAGAATGGCGAGAATGACGCTGGCCAGAGCCAAAGCCAAGTCCTCGAGACGATGGAGGCAGCGCTTAATGATATCATTACCAATGAGCCGAAGAACGGAAGAATCGAAGATCTCAAAGGGGATGCTGGTGGTCTTTTCGGGCCGGAGTCTCCTGTGCTCTCGTCTCGCAACTCGTCCGAGATTCCCCAGTCTGAAAACCGGAATGAAAGAGCCAAGAAAAGCATCGCATCGCTTGGTCTGGTGGATCATGCATCGCGACTTGGTGTGTTTGACGACGACTTGTTTCCGGATCAACAGAAATTCATCGAAGATGAATACGAAGAACCAGAAGGCGGGGATGAAAAAGACCCAGCAGATGAAGTGCACGAAGCTGCACCGGGTGATTTGGGCCTAACGGAAGCGATTGAGGCGCTGTCGGTGGATATCGACAAGCTTGCAGCCCAGGACGCCGTGGTCCAAGCATTGACCCGCAAAGCCGAACTGACAAACAACACCGCGGAACTGAGAATCTTACGCAAGTCCAAGGCCAGCATCCAGCGCGAAATGCACCGCAAGGAAATGCAGCGGCAGCAATACATTCTTCAGGAAAGTGATAATAGCTTGTTTGGGCGATCGACCGTTAGCCTCAAGTCTACCGTCGTGGGCAAAGATGAGCACGATGGCCGCGAATTCGCAATGTGTAAGAGAACTTCATGCAATGTTGTTTGTCCCAGGCTAATCTTCCATCTCAGATGTCATAGAGGTTCGAAGAAATGCTGGCGAGCAAATGCCCGCTGCATCGTGGGTTATTGCACGGAGATACAGCGAGTTCCACGATTTGCATCAAAAACTACGCCAACGCTATCCCTCCGTCCGGCACTTAGAATTCCCTCGGCGACGCGTCGTTATGAAGCTACAGAAAGAGTTCCTTCACAAACGGCGACTCGCCCTTGAAGCCTACCTGCAGAAACTCCTCCTCCTGCCCGAGGTCTGCCGCAGCCGCGATCTGCGTGCATTCCTCTCCCAACGTGCTATCCTACCCCGTAAGGACAACGCCCGTGACAACGAAGTCGAAACCAAAGACCTTGTCACGCGCATTTACAACTCTGTCGCAGACGGTATGGATGACTTCCTCGGCAACTTTGGCGTATTGGACCAACTATCTACCGCAGGTCAGAACCTCATCTCAGCCGCCACCCAGCAAGCCAACAGCACGACAGTCCCAGACTCCAGCCTCGCAACGGAAGACGCCGTCACAGCCGCCGAAGCCGAAGCAGAACTAAATGCCTTCGATGACCGTGAGCTCGAGCCATTTATCAAACCCATCTGTGATCTCTTCCTCGAGGCTTTCGAGCTGAACCGTGGCAACAACTGGCTGCGCGGCCGTGCCGTCGTCGTCGTCTTACACCAGCTCCTCGGCGGAACAATAGAGCGCAAGGTCCGTGAGGGAGCGCGTGGCCTGGTACAGGATGACTCGCTTCTCAAGTATCTTTCTCTCGCTCGCGATACCCTCTGGCCCGGCGGTGTGCTCCGCAAGGCTCCTCCTCGGTCAGCTGCAGACCGTCTCAATAGTCGTGCCGAGGCTACTGTGGTCTTGGCTACCCTCATCCCGGATCTGGCGGGTAATGTCGTCGGTAGAGCTAATGCGCAAGCTGCTGCCCGTCGCATCTTTGCTACGCTCAATAATCAGCATCTTAATACCCATCTTGTTTTCACGATTCTTGATGAGATCGTCCTGGTTCTCTTTGGCAGTTTGAGTCGTTCTCGCTGAGAAGTGAATACCATGTCGTCACAGTGTACTCCTTACGACTGTATATACTTACGATGTCAACATAATTACCTTACCCCGTCCAAATGATCAAATCAATCCTGACCACGTAGATCCGCCAAGTAAATGACCTATCACGTGTGGTGAGGCTCGTTTGCTGGTAACAAAGCGCTGAAATTCAAACAGCTCAACTTCTCCCCCTGAATCATTCTGCTTTTCAATGGCTCGGCAAATCCCAGCCCAATCTCACGCCTTCTCCATCCCCGAAATCTTCGAACTCATCCTCCTCAATTTGGACATCCGCACCCTCCTCACAAAAGCAACCCGAATCTGCCACACTTGGTCCCATTTCATCAACTCCTCCCCACGCATTCAATGGGCCCTGTTCTTTCGGCCCCTTGACAATGCATTGAATAAACCAAAGACCCAGAACCCATTGCTAGCAGAGACCTTCCCGTCGATCTTCCACCAATCCGGGTATAGCACTGGACGAAATACTACAAGGAATGATACCGATCCCGATACCAATACCAATGCAGCAAATGAAAAGGTCATACTCAATCTCACATTCACCACCTTCGACATGGTCCGGAATCCCCACAAGTGGGACGCATACATCAGGCCAGAAGCCAGCTGGCGCCGTATGCTGGTCCAGCAGCCGCCTGTGTATACGCTGTCACTGCTAAGGAGTAATGTCGGCCATGGCGGGCAGTATTTGTATATTTATGAGTCGTTGGTGAGTGTCCAGCTTCTGTTACATAATATATACATATGGTTATATACCTATATACACAATGTACTTTCGATTCTTTGCATACGCCTGTGTATCATCTTCGGAAAAAGAACCCTAGCTAACGTTCGTAATCCATCCCCAAGGACGACCAAAGAGAACCAGCTGGTGGCCTGCGAATGGATGTCATCTTCGAAGCACTTGTCTTCGGCGATAGGTGGGATCAGGATGAATACTCCGCAACGACGATGGCCTGGGGAAGAGAATACCTCCCTAAACGGGTTCGTGGGGACTTGGAGCTTTTTGGTGTCTCAGATCTGGACTTAATGTTTTATACTAGGTTAGGAGAAACGTCCAGGGGTCGTGGTTATCAGGCAAGTCTGGGAATGGAATGTGATGTTGCGAAGGAATGTGATGTTGTAAAGGATGTCAAGGCGGCGTACACTAGGCTGGGAATGAAGCCGAAGTACTCGGATGAGGTTTTCTTGAGAGGACGGAAGACTTGGGGCTCACTATGGGATTAGTTTGGAATTGGGGTGTAGGGGATAGACATCTGTGCTGTCTCATAGATCTATATGGAGCAGGTCCGGTCTAGTGAGACTTAGCATATCCACTTGGGTTTCTTTTATCTCAAGACTGGTTTTCTATACAATGGATATTCCCACATACATCTACACTTGGAGACAACCCTTGTGAATTATTTGATTTGATCTCCACTAGGCGTCAGAAGTAGTGAACGGCACATACCGGTCCACCCAGGGTAGATACATAAGCCGGGCCAGACGGAAATGGCAGAGAAAATGGATAAGATAAAAGCAAAATACGGAATCTCCCTCGCGCCCTAATTCCTGTCTCTACGGAAACGCAGTGAACATAGAACAGCGGGACTGTGGAAAAAAAAGAAAGCATAGAAAGTCAAACGCATATTGCAGAAGGGAGTCAATAGTCCCCGGTAAGAACATCCATTATGATGATTGGTAAGTGAAGGAATAAAGGTCTGAAGAAGATTGGGGCATCCGGGGACACTGGTTTGTGTTGATGCTGTAAAGCAACCGGGTTGATGGGGTCATACCAGTCTATGCCTCGTCCTTGGACTTCTTCTTGCTCTTTTTGCTTTGCTGTGGTGCACCCTCCTTCTTCTGGTGCACGACCAAACGGGTCCAGCACTCTTCCTTGTCCCACTCGAAGCCAGCGAGATAGGGTTTGTCAAGTTCGTCATCCGCCTAGCGGTGTCCCGTCAGTCATCATGAGCTTTCGGTCTCTCTCGTAGTAACACTGACCTTCTTCTTGAACTGCTTGTAGATGGCGTCTAATGCGTCTTTGATTGTGACGCCCTTGAGGTTCCGAGCGGTGACCTCAAGGCCGAGGGGAAAGTGTAGGTCAATCTTCTTGACTGGTGGAGTGACGAGGAACATTTTGAGGATGTCCTTGTCCTCAATGGTTGAGGGGGAGGTGTTGAGTTTCCTGAATCGGGGTCAGTGGAACTGATCTGTGTATGAGGAAGAGGAGACACTCACCACCCAGTCTTTTGTGTTTCGATTGGTAGAGTAATTTCCAGCTTTTGCTCTTCTGAACTACTCTCAGTATGGTTTCTCCATTGAGATTGATGAGTCCTTACCAAGATCCTTGATGTTCCAGATACCTTCAGCTGTTGAAGAGGTCCTCTTGTGCGTCTTGTGCGCCTTGTGCTTGACCTCCTTCTCAATGGGTTCCGGTTTCTCATCGGATATATCCAAGCCAGCGATGGCAGAATCAACTTTGGTTAAAGGAACAGACATGATTGCAGAGTGTATCTGATGAAGAAGGGTTTCAAGATGGAAAGAAATAGGGATGAATCAGGAGAGAAGAGCAGGAAATCAGGAGATTGGGAAGAGCAAGACCGCAAGAGAGGGGAAATGGAGCAGGTGACCAAGGTTGAGGGGGTACAATGTCATGTTACTTGTCTCTCTTTCTCTCTTGTCTACTATTCACTAGACTATAGCATTCCTTCATCCTATCATTTTCTCCCATTCTCTTATCCCCGTAGTATACTATACTATACTCTACTATACTTACTATAGCATTTGGATTCGATCGAGATAAATATACGGAGTATAGATATGGAAACATCCGGCCTCCCCGGACATCGTCTTAGCCTGCTGCACCCCACATTCTCCACTTATTTAACGGCAGATCACGCTTATATTGGCTACGATTCTCTTCTGATATCACTCGGATTACTTAGAGTAGCGATATTAACAGATATTATCGACTTATTAATATATATATATATATATATATATATATATAAAATATACATATATTGAATATATTATCGTACGATTCTATCACCTGATTATTACATCATACCACTCCCAAGTACCGGAGTACTTCCTAGGAAACTAAAGGCCCAAGTATAATTCATCACAAGCTCGTATTGCTAGTGGTGCCCAATATGTGTGTGTGGCAAATCCATGGGCAAACACTACCAATCTTGGTAAGAGCCCTTGATGTGTCTCCTTTATGCCATCATTACTTAACCTTGTTCTCAGAATAGTAGTGGGCTTAATGGCTATATGTTCATCGCCCCGAGCCTATAAAGTAGATCTGTAAGCTCTAAGCTCTAAGCTACAAGCTACAAATCTCTGATTTGATAGTCAATGTAGTACATACGGATGTATGGTTCATCGAGGTATTGAGACTTCAATGCCATCGGAGCTCAGCAATCTCTTAGACTAGAAAAACACAGAGACCTCCAACACTAGTTAATAAATCCATGTTCACATTCACGCCATGCGACTAGAACGACACTTATGTTGAAGAAAACACCAAATTATAGAGATTTTAGGCCAATAATCCACTTATGACGGGGGTATAAATAAACATTTGTATAGATTAACATGCTGACATCGAGAAAGCCAAGCTTGTATCAACACGCCTCTTGTTTTACAATCGTCAGCTTCTGAGTACCTCGAGCGTAACTATTGAGTAGATCCTTCACTAGGATCATCTATGAAAATTATCTCTAAACGGATAACGGCAGTCCGGCAATGCTGCCTATTAGGCATAAGCTCTCGTGACCTCCATGGACAGCTACAAGGCTTTTGTTTCTGTCTATAAAAGATTATCCAGTGTGAGTTCCTGGTAACTCAAAGCGATTGAAATCAAAGAACAAAGGAAACAATATAATAAAAGAATCTCCTCCGAGTGAAGTAGGAAAATCCACAGACAGAAAGGCGGTGGGACACATTTTCTGCCGGTATCGCGCATCGCTTTCTGTCGAGCTACAATTATCGTCGACTTCTCCGTCTCTTCCTTCCTCCATTGACCTCGACCTTCTTTCTCTCCTGCATGACTCCTCAGCTGTGAATTCAGCTTTGCCTTTTTTTCTGCTTGCAATCTGTCAATCTCTCGATACCCCTTCGCCATATTACACCTCTCGCGCCCTTTCAAATGTCACTTTTCGGCGCCGGCGCGACGGCAGCTGCGGCGGGCCAGACAAACACCACCGGTGATATTTCCAAGGATGTCGCCCTCAACACTCCCCCGAAGATGGCATCTCGGATCTCCGCTTCTCGCCTACCAGCGAACATCTAGCCGTGTCCTCGTGGGATAAGAAAGTCCGCATCTACGAAATTAACGACCAGGGACAAAGTGAAGGAAAAGCACTCTTCGAGCACGAAGCTCCAGTGCTGAATTGCTGCTGGTCTCCAGTAAGCTGACCCCCTCCTCCCACCTACCTCCACATATATCCCCAACACCCCAAGTCCCATGCACAGAAACTAACCTCTGTTTTTTTTTCTCTCTCTTATAGGATGGAACCAAGGTCGTCGGTGCCGGTGCTGACAAGGCAGCTCGCATGCTCGATCTCGGCTCAGGCACCACCACCCAAGTTGCTGCCCACGACGCCCCCATCCGAAGCTGCCATATGATCCCCAATCCCTCCGTGGGTGGAACCCCACTCCTGATTACCGGCTCATGGGATAAAACCGTCAAATACTGGGATCTGCGCCAGTCGACCGCAATCGCCTCCGTTGAGTGCCAAGAGCGTGTCTACACCATGGACGTCAAGAACAAGCTGCTCGTCATCGGTACCGCAGACCGCTACATCAATATCATCAACCTCGACCAGCCAACAAAATTCTACAAGACCATGCAATCACCCCTCAAGTGGCAGACGCGGGTAGTCAGCTGCTTTTCCGATGCCTCGGGCTTCGCCGTCGGCTCTGTTGAGGGTCGCTGTGCTATTCAGTACGTCGAGGAGAAGGATTCCGCCTCAAACTTCTCCTTCAAATGCCACCGCGAAACCCCGACTGCAAACCGCGATGTCTGCAATATCTACTCCGTCAACTCTATCACTTTCCACCCCATCCACGGTACCTTCAGCACTGCCGGTTCCGACGGTACTTTCCACTTCTGGGATAAGGATGCGAAGCACCGTCTCAAGGGTTACCCGGCTGTCGGAGGTCCTATCACTGCTAGCGCTTTCAATCGTACTGGAAATATCTTTGCTTACTCTGTCAGCTACGACTGGAGCAAGGGTTACTCTGTCAATACCCAACAGACTCCCAACAAGGTCATGCTGCACCCCATCGGACCTGATGAGACAAAGCCCAGACCGAGCACGCGCAAGCGTTGATTTGGGTTTGAACTGTTTCTTTCTTTTTTGCGTGGGATGGAGGGATTTTTTCGCCGATCGCTTTCGTGTCCCATCGCTACAACGAGCATGTAATGAAATTTTTACCATATCGGCGTGTTTTGATTAAATGCAAATGGGATTTTTTTTTGCTAGCCTAGCTATGAAAATTTCTTGGATCTACTACTATTACCTTGGAGATTCAGTTGCAGTATTTGTGCCACTTCACTGTAGATATAGATTGTTGAGCTGAGCATGGAGTAGACGGGGCAAACAGGAGCAAGACATACTATTCTATTCAAATCATCGAAAACAAAACACCTTCATTTGCATCCATGCGTATGATAGCTATAAAAAGGAAGTCCCTAAGATCCGAGTTCAATATGCCCAGAAGATGATCCCCCGTTCATGACCCATGCACAACATCTCTTATACAGAATCATAAAAAGAAAACCCCCAACAACGCGCCTTGCATGTATTTTCTCATCTAGATCACCCTGTTATGTTGAAGACCTTACGAGGTAGGCAGAGTGACCTGCGCCACTCCATCAGCAATCTTCTCAACAGCCTCATCATTCTTGCCCTCAGTAGTAACGGAGACCTTCTCCGCGCCACCCTTAGCAGAACCCTCAACACCTCCTTCAGGGGCACCAGCACGGCTCTTCTCCTTCTTCTCCTTCTTCTTAGCCTTAGCAGCAGCCTTCTTAGCAGCAAGCTTGGCAGCCTCCTCCTCCTTCTTCTTCCGGTCCGCCTGCGACCCACCAAACATCTCACGCCACTCATCGGCCTTCTTAGGATCAATACGTGAGAACAGGTAAGCCGGCTTGCCGATCTTGTGACCAGCCTTCAGCGATGTAGGCTTCCAGCCAGACTTGAGATCTTCCACACTGGGAATGTACAGGAAAGGTGCGTTCAGCTGCTCCAGAATCGACTTCGAGGTTGCCGGCATGTACGGCGAGAACACGCTAGACAGCAGGTGGATCAGGTTGAGCACTGTGCCGACGACGGCGGCGGCGCGCTCGGGCTCGTTCGCGATCAGCGCGTTGTCGAGTCGGTTCGCTTGGATGAGTCCGTTACCCGCCTCGGCGATGCGCATGGCGGTCTGCACACCGGCGCGCAGGTGAGCGCCTTCCAGATCTTCGTGGTACTGGCGCAAGTGTTCGGTGACTTCGTCAAGGAATGGGTTGAAAGTCTCGGGCACGGTGAATTCAGGAATGACAGAGCCGTAAGAGGCGACGACGAGCTTGATGACGCGGTTGACGAGATTTCCCAGCTTGGCGAGGAGCTCGCCGTTGTTGCTGTCTACGAAAGGACCCCACTCGAACTGGGTATCGCCGGTCTCGGGGCGGTTCTTCAGCAAGAAGTAGCGCCACACGTCGGCGGAGACGCCGGTTTCACGGGCGTTCGTGCCGAACACACCCACGCCGCGCGACTTGCTGAACTTGCCGCCTTCATAGTTGAGATACTCGGTCGTGCTCAGGTGGTGAAGCATAGTCCACTTATCCCTCGTGGCGATCTGCGTGCCGGGGAAGATCACGCTGTGGAAAGGCACGTTATCTTTACCCAGGAACTGCCACAACTGCACATCCTCCGGGTTGCGCCACCACTTCTCCCATTCGTCTGTGTAGTTGGCTGTGATCGAGGGGTAACCGATGCAAGCCTCAAACCACACGTAGAGAACCTTGTTCTCGTATCCCTCCAGCGGGACGGGAACGCCCCACTTCAGGTCTCGCGTGATGCCACGCTCCTTCAAGCCCTCCTTCAACCAGGACTCGGTGATAATGCGCGAATTTCTAGGCCAGTTACCCTTCTCGATAGCAGGGTGGACCCATTTCTCAATCTCCGGTTGGAGCTTGTCGAGCAGAATGTGGATGTGTTTCGTCTCACGGCGGACGGGGGCAGCGCCATCGAGCTTGCAGCGCGGGTTGATCAGATCAAAGGGATCGAGGAGGTGGCCGCACTTGTCGCACTGGTCTCCGCGAGCATCGTCGTAGTGGCAGCGGGGGCACTCGCCTTCCACGAAACGATCAGCCAAGAATGAGCCGTGCTTCTCGCAGTAGGGCTGTTCGGCGGTGCGCTCGCCGAGGAAGCCGTTCTCGTGCAGGCGCTTGAAGATCGACTGCGAGATCTCGGTGTGTTTCTGTGTGGGTGTGCGACCGAAGTGGTCGAAGCCGATGTTGAACCATTCGTACACATCTTGGTGAATCTTGTTGTACTTGGCGCACAGTTCCTCCGGGGACAACTTCTCCTCCAGCGCCTTGGTTTCGGTTGCGGTTCCGTATTCGTCAGTACCACAGATGTAGAGTGTGGGCCGGCCACAGGCCTTGTGGTATCTATTGAATAGCTGTCAGTTTCACGGCGCAATGCTATATATTGTGGGGTTGAGTCATACCTAGCAAATACATCAGCACTCAACACTGAGCCCACGACATTGCCCAGATGAGGAACATTGTTCACGTAGGGCAAAGCGCTCGTCACGAGGATATTGCGCTCGCCAGCTTTAGGCAAGATGGGATCCGTCATCTTGTGTGGTTGAAGGGGAGAACGTCTTTGTTGGAGGGGCAAAGGCGGGAAAATCAGAAAGTGGGCATCTCGTCACATGTCCCGCGCATATCAGAAAAAAAAAAAACGTTATCGATTGGACTCTTCAGTTTTGACTCATATCTACCTAGGTATCATCTTTATATCCACCATGGAGCACAATCTTCTGGATAGTCTCCTTGATCTAGAGGAGCAATTTTACAATGAGGGGTATGAGCTGGGCACTGCGGATGGAGCGGCTACCGGCTATACCGAAGGCAGCGTCTTCGCCGTTGAGAAAGGCTTCGAGAAGTTCGTCGAGATGGGGCGCTTGTATGGCAAGGCATTGGTCTGGGCACAGAGACTTGACATGAAATTGTCCGAAGATGCTGCATCGCAGGCGGATAGCACAACAGATACTCTTTCTCTTGATCCATCCATCTGCGAAGACATGCCAAGTCTCCCACCACACAGCACTCGACTGGCCAGGAATCTCCAAACTCTTCTTGAACTCGTTGATCCAGCTACCCTGGATATGAGCAATACAGAGGAGGCTGTCAATGATGTGGACGAGCGTCTTAAAGGCGCCGCTACAAAGGCGAAGCTCATTCAACGCGCAATGGGCGAGCGTGAGGATCCGGCCACCCAGGCCGAACCCAAGGACATGTCGAATTCTGGAGACGGCAGTGGAAGTATTGAAGACATCAGTGCATTGAACATTCGTCACTGAGGGCTTGGTCATGCTTCGCAAAATCGGTAGGCATACCAGATGCTCGACTCCCAGACTCTACCGATGCCCTCGGGTTAGACCGCGAAAAGACTATCCTTCATTAGGAACAATCTACTCGCTTCGATCAACACTTGGGAAAGCGCTCTATGTTTGCAGGGCCGTTCCAGAAAGCCTGAAAAGGTCATTCGAGGCTCATTTTCCCAGGCTTGGGTTTACACCCTCCAAATACCAAGGCCTCTCGCTCATTTGCCATTGGGAAAGAAGACTTGGGCTCAATTGACAGTCTGAATTTGACGCGCCAGATACATCAAGACCCGTCTAATATATATTGGACAACGAAGTAGAAAATGCTCAAAGAGTTTTCTTGGGCGTTCTACTGACAGACACTTGTGCTTACTAGTGATTTCATGCAAGACCAAATGGATTATTTACTGTCATGTCCGATGACCCAGATTCTGCAAAAAGAAAAAAAAAAGGTCATGTCAATATGAATCATATCCTTGGGAAGTCATAATATAGAACATTTCATCAAAAATCCAACTTTTTCTTTTAGTCTTCAATTATCATCAAACCACAAAAGAAAATCCTACAGCTCAAGGCTGCGCTCAGCCATAGCCATAGCACCCTCTCTTGTCTTGTGGCCACCAATGAACCCACTAGCATGAACAAAGACCGCACCCTCGGGGATCTTGCTCTGGCCATTCTTCTCAGCCTCCGCAGCCATGACACCATCAAGGTCCTGGTCGCGAACACCGCGCCATGCCTCGGGCAAAGGCTTACGGGACTCAAAGCTGCTCTCGGAGACGGAAACACACTGCACGCGCCACTTGGCTCCCTCAGTAGCGTTTTCGGGGTACAGAACATAGTACACCTGGTCGGCGGTGTCAACCTCCTTGGTTCCCGAAGCCTCAGCCTCGAAGTTGTACAGGTGCTCCTTCCAGGGCACGCCGCCCTGGGGGAGGACAATGATGCGACCGGAGGGATGGGTCTCCTTGCGCGAAGCGTAAGCGGAGCCGACGGTGGTGCGGGCAGGCATCCAAGACGTGCAGGCGTGGTGCATCTTGCGCGCAAAAGCATTGCCAATGAGCGTGCTAGCGCGTCCGAAGAGGCTGTCCTCGTCTTGGGGCTCGCCAGGCGGGCTGGTGGGGTCTGGGTTGTTCATGTCTCCGACCATCGAGGCGAGCGTGATGCCGCCATTCTTGAAGCGCTTCTCGACTCCGGCGGCGGCAAGCGCGGCCTGGTCGTAGGCGGAGATGCCGTTGTCGTTGGCGTCAATCGCTTCAATGAAATCCGTGTACAGCTTCTCGTACAGCAGGTCTACGTCGGCGTGTTCCACGGGTAGGGACAACTTCTGGGCGATGATCGCCTTGCCGAAGTGCATGTATACCAGGCCGGCGGAGGAGAGCTTGGTGGCATGCTGCGGGAAGGTCGTTGAGAAGGTCCGCTGGTGGTGATCATAACGGTTAATGGCGGGGTCGTACACGCCGCCCACGTCGACGACGGTGTGGCACTTCTCTAACTCAGCCGGATCGCGTGTGCGAACAAGGGGAGAGGAGGCGTATGTGGGGAGCAGGCGAAGAAGGTAAACGGCCAGGGCCTCATCGGCGTGGAAATGTCCGCTGTTTTTAGTCAGTATAAGAGTAGCAAATTTCCGAATTTTGCACTCACTTGTGTGTCCCGATCAAGGGGGAGGAGGTCTTGAGCTTCTTTGCAACGTTTTCAGCCATTTTGAAGTAATTATGGAATCTGAGCATTCAAAATGGAAGAGAATGGTCTAAAGGTCTTCCAGTGTTAATTGCTGCGCTCTGGCTGGCTAAGATTCTTATCTGCTTTTCCATATCGGGTTATCAGGGCTTGACACTAGGGCGGGAAGCTGGCATGTGACCGGGAGCTCTATTGGAAATGATATCCATAAAGATCCAAAGGATCTATACTCCGTAGGATCTATAAAGATATACTTGAAGAGACAATGATCTTTAGTGAAATAATCAGCCCCCGGGAGGTGGAATTTCCACCCAACAAGAGACCTATATGAGGAATAGTATCAATGCTTACTATATGGATTAATGTATTTTAGTATAATAGCTACATCGACGCACGTTCCTTCGTAGCGTTTTCTAGGCTGTTGCTCGTTTTTAGACTCTACTATCGTTCAGCAGGGCTGCCAAGAGCTTTTCATAAGATGAGTCCGTCGGTGTGATTCATGAAAGGTGATCTTAGCCATCTCTTTTCTAGCTGGCCACATCTTACGACTCCAATATCCGTGAGATCTTTTGTGTGGCATGCTCTTGTGTTGGGCCATCCTTGTATCAGATGTTTACCCCATAGATTAACCGGAGGTCACGTACGGAGTAGTGAATATAGATACTTAAAGTGGCTTAAACGGGGCTGGAAAGGGGTACTTAGGGTCATTATATATCTTTCTAGTTCGATAGATGAAATATATAGCTGTCGGCTAAAAGAGCCAAAGACTAGGATATATATGTGTGGTACGGAGTACGCTGTACTATTATATGCATTTCTAGTTGCTCTATTCACGAATTGTATATTATCTGGATTAGTGTTGAAATATATCAACATAGTCAAGATCGAACGCAATCTCCAATAAAAGAAATGAACGATAGTCCAGAACCTGTTAAGTTGTCGTGTCTCTTGGTATATCTAGCCTAGGTAAAAAAGTGGTGCTCCGACCGCCAGTCTAGTAACACCTAAGAGACTTCTTTTTGAAAAAAATCCTCTTCCTTGTTTATTTTGTTGTGTTTACTACAGATTTAACTGATTCTTTTTTCTTTCTCAGGGATTTCTAGTGTCTCTAGCAATTCTAGCAGTGCTGACATTTCTTAACATTTCTCCTGACCCACGTGAAGTTGAAAAGCGATAAGCTCCAGAGAGAAAAAAGAAAACAGTGTGTCTCTTTCCTCACCCTTCACTTCTCTTATCCCATCCAGTACTGAACACATAGTTGCTATTCAAGTAACTCTCGAACTATCTCGATTCCCTCCACACTGCATACCTCTTCGGCGGTTCGATGTGGCTCTTTCGAGTCTTTTCGTCGGCCTTGTTCCTCGCCATCACCGTCTCGTCAATCCCACTAGCCTTCGATGTGGGCGGCAAGACATGTGGCCTGGCATTTTCCTTGTCATTGGCGTCCTTTTACTTCCTGGTCTCGCTGTTGAAGGTTACCACCCCTGACCGATCGTGGTTCCGTTCCTCCATCATTACTGTTCTCCGCTTCCTACAATGGGCCGTCATCTTGGTCCTTCTGATTTGGTCGCTGAATCGATTCTCAGTTGACTCCGACAGTGCAGGATGGGTGGAACGCACTTTCAGCGGCAAGAGGGCGCAGGATTCTTCTATTCAGGAATGGCTCTTTGGTCGCGATGGCCTGGTAGAAACCGTGACCCTCGGCAACTGGGATAGACTTTTGAGATGGTCTACCCCGGTCTTCCAGCTGGCAGAGGGATTTTGCAGTTTACTGGTGATTCAGGCCGCTGGGCAAATTACCCGCTGGCTCGTCAACCGAGGTGGACGGAGCGATAGCTGGATGGTATGTCTTGTTGTTGGATCTCCTGTGGTGTCGCGTTCAAGAAACTAACCCTTGACTTAGATCGGCCTCTTGGTCTTGTCCGCTACGGTTATCTCCAGCTCGGTTTATTTCCTCTGGCGTGTTCTGCAATTCCCCGAAATTTCCAACGTCGATGCCGCCTTGATTGGAGTCTCTGTCACATGCGCTGTCATTTTGTGTGCCTGGGGTATTGGAAGTGGGCGCGGTAACCCAGTCGAAAGCTCTCTCCTCTTCGCCTACGTCGTGCTCTGCATCTATCAGATCTTCACGGACTACCAGCCATCGCACCCCATGGAACAGATCCCCTCGCCCTCGCAGGTCGGAGACTTCCCCCACTGCCTCCCATCATCATGGCGTCGTACACAACCGTGATGCACGCACTGTCTACGTTGCCATCGATTATCCACGCCGGCTTCAACGTCATCACCGCTGTTTTTAGCGCTGTTACGCCCTCTGTCCTCATCTCGCTCGCCTACCGCCTGCTTGTGCTGTATGCATCTACGCGCATCATCCCAGCTGTTCGCGAGTCTGGCGCCCGTGCGCTTTCCCAAGAGGCTTCCATTGATGATACCGACGCAGCAGGCCAAGTGTTGGGCTTCCTGAGCTACTTTGCCCCCAGCATTCTCATCGCTGTCTACACCAGTCTCCTTATGCAGCACTTCGCATCAACATCACAAGCAATGGGTGGCAGCGGCGAATGGTGGAGCAGTCAAGGCAATGGCGGTGGTAACCCATGGCGTTGGATTAATCTTGCTTGCACAATTTCCCTATACGCAGTCGAGCTATGGCTCGGAGAAACCAACGATCTGGACAACGGAGTGGCTGGCCACTGGAAAACCGACTGAATGACGCCAAATCAACATGCTTGCGATTTCTTTGATTTTTCTTATCATTGCTCCGACAACAGCGCAGCAAGAATCAAAAGGCCATTGATCGGCCCTCTTGCCTCATTCGCTGTGGTATATTGCTGCATGAGCCCAGTCGACCACAATCCTACCAAGTGGCCTGTCTCGCAGCAGCATGGACAATGAACAACTCAGTCAGCGGATGTTCAGGAATTCCGCCAATGACTCCTGCAGCTACGGTAGAGCGGGTCCGTCAGAATAGTTCCGATCGCCCTGACGATACATCAACAGTCTTGCTTTCGATTGGACTTCGTTTCACGTCACTCCCACTGCTATTCCTTGCTTCCTCGCCAAGCATGCCCTTTTCGATTGCTATATGAGTGTATTTGGTGGACTTGTGTCTCGATGTAGACCACACTCCCTTCAATATGCCATATCCCTTCTCACGACTCGATGATACCAGATAAACATGTTGCTTTTTTCTTCTTTTTTTTCCCTCTTCGTCTTCCATATTCACCCTGAATTACCACTTCTTATCCAGTTCAGCACTTATACCCTCTGCTGTCTAGCTCAATCTTCCTATTTGCAGCTTCCTAGTTCCCTCTTCCCCTCGACTGAATCTGACTCCATCCATAGTCCCCTGGCTTTGAAGCCACTACTTGTACATAGGATGTCTAGTTCTTTCTTCTCTTGTATTTCTTGCCAGGCGCTGGGGTTTAATAGATATTCGTTTCCTTGATTTGATACGAATGTTATAGAGCTTCGCAGTTGTATTCTTATGGAGCACTGATGCATGCAACTTTTGCCATCTAAGCCAGAGGCAGTATCTTCATATTTTCTTCTAGCTTTGCTTTATGATACAGACTCAGGTCATTCATCTATGGTTCATTTGACCTAAAATGATATGATATTAGGGATGCCTTTGGAGTGGCCATCTATGGATGTACCGTTCTTCGAAGCTCAGTTCCTACAACTTCTTTCCCACATCGTACGTAGGAATAGCTCACTCATACAGCCTTTAGAATTATAGGCTACTTAGACTAGACATGAGATATACGTTTTGAATTATTGTAGTAACGCCTTTGTAATGTACGAGGATATCGACGTATGATATAGGAGAAAGGATAGAGTCAGTAGAATGTACTCATGTACAATGTGTAGAACGACTTTTATTATATCGTTTGAACAAATTGGTGCATGGAAACACAAGTAAGCTATATCACACGGGTTTTATCGTATGAACTAGATAGATATTGGACAAGGAGAGTAGTGGTCAAGAAAAAGAGTAAAAAAGAATTGAATGCCACAGATGATGAGTTTGATAGTAAATGGCGATAACTGGAGAAAAAGAAAACAAAGACACTAAAGAGCGAAACAGTGCTCGATGGACCATGAATGTCACTCCTTATGGAGTACAAAGCACCTGTCCATATCAATGACCACAGCCCAAGCACTAAATATCTGCTTCCACTCTTGCTCTGTCCTGCAGTGCACCCCTGTCCCCCAATTCACAAAGGTCATTGTGAAAGAAAAAGCAAAAAAAAAAATAAAAAATGAATAGAAATTCCCATAGCGCCGGGCTTTTGAAAGTGAAATCACAGACCCCCTTCAAAAGATATGCATGCAACGATCGCGCTCGTCAAAACAGCCACAGCCACCAGTGGTGCAAGATAGTGTATCGTTGCCTACCGACGGATAGGAACACCTTCTCTTGCAGCAGGGGGACTGACACTCAGCTCCTGTTCACCCTGCACTGATTCAGAGGCCAGACGAGAGCCTGCCTCACCCTCGCTGACACTGGTACCATGGTGTAGGAAGCTACCTCCATCCTTGATTGGGCTACGGCTTTGGAATCCGACCGAGCCAGGGTGTCCGCTGATACTGCCTGGAATTTGCTGTCCACCTTGAGAGCTGACACTACCGTTGTTGGCAGAATTGTTGGCACCCGGTGAGGTTGAGGTTAGGTGCGGGATGTTCTCCGGCACTGGGTGGCGGGAGCCGATGTTGGTGACGCCTACGTCGGAGGCTTTGCCGGCTTTGCTGAGGGCGTAATCCCCCGAATCAAAGTATTTGCGTTCCTGGAAGAAGTTCAATGTTAGAATGATATTGTGGATTGGGTTGATGTTGGGCTTGCCTTGAGCTTGTTTTGGAGGACGTCTTTCTTGGTGGGCATCTTGCCATAGAGGCGCAGCAGGCGCTGCTCCTCTGGGCTCAGCGACTGGGGGGTTGTTAGTTAGATGGAAACGGAGTATAGTTGAGCTACTGACATTAATGTCCACTTTGTTCTGCTGGTGAGGATTCATGATGAGATGGTTGAAGAAAGTTGGAAGTTGAGGGAGGGGAATTCGGGAAAGATAAGGCGGGGAGACGCTGAAGTGTGACCGGGAAGAGACGAGAAAGTAGAATCGTATATTATAGTAGTGGACACTAATAGTCAAAAGAAATTGCACTCGTAATAGTGAAACTAATCGTAAAAGTAATAGTAATAGTAAAATAGTAGAATGAATTCAATCATGTCCACTGGATGGGCTCTTAGGAATGACTACGGGTTTAATACATTGATATACTCATAGATTCTACTACATATTCATGTATACACACGTACTTATCTATTCGAGTCCAAATATCTTATTTTTTTACTCTAGCTGACTCCCTGCGGCACATTTGCATATTCAGATCCAAAACGCGAATATATAGGAGGGAATCAATACATGTGGCGATACAGTCAGGTCATATATTAGCCCATATTAATATATCCAACAACAGTTGAACCCTCGGCAGTCAAACCAAGGTATTCTGACCTTCCCCAAGACTCAATCTCAATTGGATGAAATAGGATTGGTTCACAACAAATCCATCCTCTCGTCGGCGGTGGAACCGAACCCTGAACTTCATTTCTGCAAATCTTCCCGTGACGTCTCTTCATACATTCACACCATGACCCAACCAACCTTTGTAGTTGAACATCTGGATCCAGAGCTGGGCCCATGGTCCACGCTTGAATATGCTTGCATTGCTCGTGAATCCTACGACCGCGGGGCAAGATTTATGCTCAGCTCTGTGCCCGCCGAGCTGCAGATGCCCGCAGAATTGGCCGCCACCAAGGGTCTCGAGGTCGAGCAGCGTAGTGTCGAGGAGATCTTCGCCGACTGCAAGGATAAAGTTTGCTTGTTGGATCCTTCCGCTCAGGTTGAGTTGAGTCCCGAGGATGGGGATACCTTTGACGTCTTCTTGTTCGGTGGTATTCTCGGTATGGAAATTTTTCTATTGACCCCGCGATATAGATTGGAAACTGACCTTTTTTTGAACGGCACAGGTGACGACCCGCCTAGAGGTATGTAGATTGGACTGTCCTGCACTTCGGCTACTGACTTTGTAGATCGCACCTCGGAATTGAGGAAGAAGGGATATGTTGGCCGCCGATTGGGGCCTAAGCAGATGACTACTGATACTGCTGTGCGAGTTACTCGCTTGGTTGTTCACGAGAAAGGTGGGTTCAACTGGAGATATAGATGTGTATACGCTAACGTTTTCCCAGTACCCCTCGAAGACATTCAATATGTCGACTACCCGGAATTGATCATCAATGAACATGAGCGCACCGAGATGCCTTTCCGTTATGTCAAGGATGCCAATGATAAGCCGATCATGCCCGATGTAAGGATGAACATGCCAAGAAAAACAGAATTTGCTAACAATTTCAGGGTATGGTGGATCTTATTAAGAATGATGCCGACAAGTCTCTTGACTTCTAGACTGAACAAAAATAAGGTCGGCAAGTGGCTGAAGAAGCGGCTGGGCGTGTTTCAGCTGAGATCCAAAATACATTCATTCAAACAAGACCGAGACTTTTACTACATACTGTAGATACTCAAGATCAAAGATGAAAGATACTCAAGATACTCAAGATACTGAATCTATCAAGAGATATGTGGATTGAATCATAGAGCACATAGAATACAAAGAATTACCAAAAATACCTTTGTTCGAGTAGAGTACTTGCTCATCCACCTGTAATTACACGTACAGTAATCCTTCAGGCCAACTTCCTTTGAGCTTCGTCATTCTGCTCAGTCGACTCTCTCTGACCTTGACCACATTTTGGATTTCATTTTCTTTGGGCTTCTTGCTCTATGGACACCCTGTCATTTCAAACTGTTTCTCCCTTACCTTAATACCTCTATCCGTGTCAACCCGGTTGAATCCGATGATCTGTTAGTCCGTTGTCCACGAGTCCCTCCCGGGACATCTACTCGACTACCCAAATCTTGAATTCGATACCCTAGACTACTACAATGCTTTCAATACCATCTCTCCCTTCTTCTTTAAAGGGTGGTGCCGCCATAGTGTTATCCGCATTATTACTGTTAATCCCGGCCTTGGTGTCAGCTAATTCCGCTGCTGATTATTATGTGCACTCGTTACCCGGGGCGCCGGAAGGCCCTTTTTTGAAGATGCATGCTGGGTGAGTTCCTTAAAAGTTGAATTGCGTCGGACTTCTGGGCCTTTTCTAACAAGATAACTTTAGACACATCGAGGTCGATCCCAACACGAATGGCAACCTGTTCTTCTGGCATTTCCAGAACCGTCACATCGCGAACCGACAGCGCACTGTCATTTGGTTAAATGGTGGTCCAGGATGCAGCTCCATGGATGGTGCATTGATGGAAGTTGGGCCCTACCGACTCCAGGACGACCATACGTTGAAGTACAACGAGGGCAGGTGGGATGAATTTGCCAACCTGCTCTTCGTCGATAACCCCGTCGGTACCGGATTCAGCTATGCGAATACTGATAGCTATCTCCATGAGTTGGACGAGATGGCCGCTCACTTCATTATCTTCTTAGAGAAGTTCTTTGAGATATTCCCCGAGTATGCGAACGATGACGTACGTTCCCTTCATTTCCGATCCACATGATATCTCTGACTGTGTTGCAGCTCTATATCGCCGGTGAATCGTATGCAGGCCAGCACATCCCATACATTGCAAAGGCCATTCAAGATCGCAACAAGGACGTTGCAGAGAACGGAGGCACACAGTGGCCTATCAAGGGTTTGCTGATCGGTAACGGTTGGATCTCTCCGGCAGACCAGTACCCTTCGTACTTCAAGTACGTCGAGAGGGAAGGCCTCATTAAACCGGGTACCTCTCTCCACCACAACATCAACGCACTCAATGAAGTCTGCCTCAAGAAGCTGGAGACCCCCGCCGCAAAGAACAAACTAGATGTAGGCGCATGCGAGCTGGTCTTGCAGCAATTCCTCGATCTCACCACGGAAGATCATCAATGTTATAACATGTACGATGTCCGTCTCAAGGACGAGGCCAAATCTTGTGGCATGAACTGGCCCCCCGATCTGAAACAAATTGAGCCGTATCTCCAGCGGCCAGACGTCGTGAAAGCCCTGAACATCAACCCAGCAAAGAAATCCGGCTGGACTGAATGCGCTGGTATGGTCCACATGGCCTTCACCGCAAAGAAGTCCATCCCCTCCGTCCAGCTGCTCCCAGGCTTGATTGAATCGGGCGTCAACGTCTTGCTCTTCAGCGGCGACAAAGACCTTATCTGCAACCACATCGGAACAGAGACGTTGATCCATAACATGAAATGGAAGGGTGGCACCGGCTTCGAAACCTCCCCGGGCGTCTGGGCTCCGCGTCACGACTGGACCTTCGAAGACGAGCCCGCTGGCATCTACCAATCTGCCCGTAACCTCACCTACGTGCTCTTCTATAACTCCAGCCACATGGTTCCATTCGACAACCCTCGCCAGAGCCGCGACATGCTCGACCGCTTCATGAAGGTCGATATCGCCAGCATCGGTGGCCAACCTTCTGATTCACGGATCGACGGCGAGAAGTTGCCTCAGACCGCTGTCGGTGGGCAGGCTAATAGTACTGCCGCACAGGAGAATGAGAAGGAGAGGCTGAAACAGACTAAGATACACGCGTATACCAAATCCGGCGAGGCTGCCCTCATCGTTGTGGTTATCGGTGTGAGTATCTGGGGATTTTTCATCTGGCGCAGTCGTCGTGCTCGCAAGGGCTACAAGGGCGTCTCGAATAAGGATACGCTGGACGGTGCATCTGTTCTCAACAGATTCCAGAACAAGCGTTCTGGCCATGATGTGGAGGCTGGTGATTTTGATGAATCTGAGCTTGATCAGCTTCACTCTCCTGATGTTGGGGAAGAGGATTACGCTGTCGGTGAAGCTAGCGATGATGATGACTCGCATCCGGGAATTGGCGAAAACCGCCAACCTTGAGTTCGTTTTGAAAAAAAAAAACATTTTTAACATCTGTATAAAGCAGACACGGTGTTTCGGGAATTTTGATATTCTAAATATGATTTCCAATTTGGTATTTGTGTTAGCTTGACTTATTAGGTCGATGGTAGACTACCGACGAACTTCGAATATTTGACAATTCCATCTCTACATCTGTCTTCGGCTCGACAATCTGTATCTGCACCAATATCCTGATGGAGCCTGGGGATACTATGATCTCTGAGCAGTTTTTGCCTATGGGTTTATATGGGGCATGATCATCTCTATAATTCTGTCTTTTGATACCAAATACCTAGGCGACATATTCTATGTTTTTTTGTCTGGCCTCTAAATACATCAATCATTTTATCTATAAGTTATTCAGACCCAATATATGCCAATTTCAAAAGAGAATCACCGTGTCACAGTCCAAACCTTGACACTTCCATCATCGGCCGTTGAAACAAGCACCTCCTCACCTCCAGACCCCCGATCTGCCCTCTTAGCCCAAGCAACATGATTGACCTCATAGATTCCATGAGCCCCATTTTGAACACCAACAAGCACCCACTTCGTCCGTAGCACATCGGCCGACGTAGTGTCCATAGCATCTGAATCACCCTGCTGCTCCTGCTCTCGCGTGACAAACTGCTCTTCATAAAGCGCAATCCGTCCATCCGCACCAGTTGAAGCAACAAGCCCAGTCCGCTTACTCCACGCAACAGCATAAACAGGCAGTTCATGCGCATGTGGAAGTACAGCATCCTCCTCCCAAACCTCATCCGTCCCAGTCGGTCGGATGATACTCGGAATTCCCGTCGTCGCAGAAGATAGTGCCCCGTTCTGCTGCGATTCCTTGGGCTGACGCCGCCACACGCGGACGGTGCGGTCGTCCGAGCAGGATATAAGGCGTGGACCAGAGAGAGCTGTCTGAGAACGCCATTGAGCCTGTAAAGCGCTCAGGTCAGACTCAGATATGGAATCGGAATCGGAGGTTGGCCCGTTCCAGTTCTCTGATTCTTCCCCTTCCCAATCTATAAACCAAACTGTCCCCTCATGTCCTTTGATACATGCTACCTGGCCCCAATCATCTAGATCCTCCCGCCATAACCGGATAGTATCGTCGTAGCTCGCGCTGGCGAGGCACTCTTCGGAAGGATGCCATGAAACACACTTCACATCGCCTCCGTGCTCCTGCATCACAGCAACGGTCTCGAAGTTGTTATCGCCGTCATCAAGATCCTCCCAGATCCAAATTGACTTGTCACGCGAGCATGTCGCAAGCAGCATCCCCGATGCAGACCATGATACCGACTTGACTTCACTGTCGTGGCCGTCGAGCAGGACTGCGAATCGCCATTCTTCTTCGTCTTCTTCGCGGTCTGGACTGTCGGTACCGGTATCGTTGGTAGTTGCTGTCAAACTATCGGCTGGAGTTTTATCTTCCTGTCCGTAACTATCCCACCGCCGCCAGATGCCGACTGTTGCGTCGAAACTACCCGTCGCCAGGACGGACTCCCCCGTCATGTGTGGTTTCCATGCTGCTGTGCGAACGGAGCGCTTATGGCCCCCGGTAATTGTGGAGAGAAGAGTGAAGTTTGTGAGGGAGTAGACTCGGATGGTCTTGTCTGAACTGCAGGTTGCGACAATTGGGAGAGTGGGATGCGGGGCTGTGAGCCAGGTTCGTTCTTGGGAAGGCGGCGTTAAGTCGGATAAATGTGTTATTGTGACCTTGGGAGACATGTTGCTTTGTGTTTCTAGATGAATATTGGAGGGAATGAAGGAATTGGAGGGGATGAAGATGAGGTCGGAGAGGGTTACTGAGGTTGGATTTTTAATGGTGTGGTTTGCTGATTAGATAGGGAGGATGTAGGTGATATGGGAGATTTGATATTGGAATTGAATGGGGTCAACATCTATGAATCTATGAATCTATGGGTATATGGATCTATGGATCTAGTATATGATATAGCAAAGAAATCAAATCTCATTACTCCATACAAAGCCCTAGAAACTAGTTGTATACCCTGTCCTGCCAATCTCCCCAGTCCAAAGCTCCCGAAAGTCCAAAGATGGAATTAAAAAAAAAGAAAGGACAGAACCAAAACCAAAGACATGATATATGCCGCTCTAAAACGCCTTCACTGTGATGGAACGCCTTCTTCATATAATCCCTCGTATACTGCCCCGTGGCAAAGCCAATCCACCTCCCGGACCTTCTCTAATTCTTCCACCAATTTTCCTACCTCGTTAACAAACTCCGGCATACCCGCTGCAGCTAAATTCTGACTGGCCGTAGTGGTAGCCCGCACACGTTCAGAGGCACTCGATGCGCTGAGACGTGATAGTACATGGCTGCGAAGGCGGGAGAGAATGAGTTTCGCCACCGGGTCCGAGAAGCTAGATGTGGAGATCGTGCTTCCTGGCGAGTCTGTCGACGATGCCTCTGAGGCAGAAGTATCTGAAGTCACCACTGCGAGATGGGGTACGGCTGCGAGACATGCCGTGGCCACGGGTCCGAGTACTCGTTTGATCGTAGCTGCAAGCTGGGCGCTCGCAGCGGGTGGCATCGGGTGCGTCGACTCGAGAATAGACTGTACCCGTTCGGCACTAATCTCGTTGAAGTCCAAAGATAGGATCCGATCTGCTTCCGGTTTCCATTGCGACCGCGCGTCTCGCTTGAGCAGGTTCTTTGCTGTCAATAGAATCGAAGCCGTTGCTACAATTTGGAATGCCCTGGCGTGCAGCCGTTCGAGTCGTTGGCGATCGAGGTTCAGAGTCTCTGGCACTAGATCCTCGGATACACTCGCATTGCTTAAAACGGTCTCGGCAAGACCCTGGGCGTAGACTCGCATTGGTGGTGGGCGTGGTTCTCCTTGAATGCCTTCCGGGTCTCGCTTTTTCATCTCATCAACGATGATCTTGCGATGAGTCCGCCAAAAACGTCGAGTTTTACCCAGGCTGACTGTCCCGTCTGTGACGTCTCGATCGAATGCCCGCTGCTCATAACCTGGTGCTTCTTCAATGAGCTGTGGTGCAGCAAGCTGGATCATAAAATTCGTTTGGTCGAGTGATAGCAGGTCAATGATGCTCATCAATCGAGCCAGCCGGTCGATGGCATCGCCCGAAGTATCTTCAATGTACGCTTTGACCACAGGGTCCCGATAAGGAGCACATAGGCGTGGTAAGATGTTGTTCATGAAGTCGAAGAAATTGTCATAGGAGAATGTGCCGGCCTCGCACTGTCCCTGAACCAGTTTTGGGTCTAGGACTTCACTAATTACCACGTAAAGGGAGTTGCCCCGCTGGAGAGAGCGCAGCAAGCGATCTTGAATCACTGTGGCCATGGCGACAGTCCAGTTAGTGCCTTGTCCAGCTTCCACCCCTCTTCTCATTGTGTCGCACATCTGCTTCATAATCTGTCTGCGCGGCTCGGTATACGGTGCTTCCTCGATTTTGAACTCTTTGTTGATGAGAAGTTCATGCACCAGCTCCCGATTTTCAGGTAGAGGGGTGAGTATTTTGGTGAACCTCTCGTGGGGTGATGTGCGCTGCTTGTCCAGCTCTTGGAATACTGCGGCATCGATATTACTAAATGACTCACTAAGAGGCGATGTGACACTGTGCGTAGCTTCTGTGGTTGGAGGAGCAGGCTCCGCGGACCGGGGAATAGCTTGCTTGGAGGCAGCCCTCTTCTTCTCGCGTTTGGCCTTTTTCAATGAATCTCTAATCATCTCCATGTGTCGATCAGGTCCGGCAAGTCTCTTCAGACGAGCAAGCAAAAGAACCTGATTCTGTCGGATGCCCATCCTGTAGTCCTCTGCAGCACCGCCAGCTTTATCGTTTTTGACTGTCTGCCAAATCAATTCCAATTCGACAAATTGTGCAACCATGATCTCAATCAGCACAGAAGAGTCGTGGGACTTCCAAGCATGGAAAGCAGAGAAAAACACACTGTGTGATTCACACAAAGTCTGGAGATCCGCAGTGATCACAGATGGAGAGCAACAGCCTGACGATAGTAGTGCCGTGACCTGTTCAAAGGCTACTAGCAGCTCCCGGGCCTTGGCAATCAGATCTTGCTCCTGGTCTCCATTGTTGCTCAAAACCTCTTTTGGATGGGTGACAATGAGATAACTGCTGAGGAATGTTCGTACTGCACCCCTCTCCCCCATCGCTCCGCCTTCCAGATCTTGCAGACCACAGAGTCGGATGACTTTCGTCATAGTACCGAGCAGCCCTTTATTAGAAAGGAGAGCGCCAACTTCTTCAAAGTTCATGTCGCGCACTCGGCTCACAGACAGATTCAACGAGTGGAACTGCTGCATAACAATCTTCGCGTTATGGGTTCTCCATACACGTTGGATCTTCCGCGCCGCCGCATCCTGTGTAAGCGACTTGGTGACCTCTCGGGACATCTTCTTTTCCTCGGTCGCTGGCAAGCTGCTAGTGCGCTGGCGGCGGTGGGTTTGCTGGTATAACGTGCGCCGTTTCTCTGCCTCCGCGAGCTTCTCGGCCATTTCCAGACGCAAACGAGCCTGCTCAGCAGCTTTCTTTTCCCGATGGTCCTCGGCCTTCTTCTTGGCCCGTTTGACCTGATCCTCGCACTTGGCGGTGATGTCGGCAAGCAAACGCTCCCGAGTCTGTTGAGCAGCCAACGCTCTCTCTTCAAATTGTAAGTTTCTTGTAGCCGCTTTAGCCAAAGCGGCTCGCAGCCTCACTTTTTCCGCATGCAATGCACGATCAGCGAGTCGTGCTTTTCGGCTCTCCAAAATGGACGTGCGGCGGAGATGTTGAGCGATATGATCCGCACTTGGCGAGCCATTCGAGGACGCGTTCGAATTATGAGAGTGCAAAGAGGATACCGAGCTTCGTCGAGATGAGGCTGCGGAGGAACGGCGGACTTTGCTGCTTTTGCGGTAAAACCGGGCCGCGATGTGTGGTGGAAGACTCAAGGGAAGTGCCTGCTCGTCCGAGAGCATCTCCACGTCGAGATCACTCAAGGATTCGGGTGAAAGAGGTGCTGGACCAGCATCCGGGAGCTGGATCTCGATGTCGGAGTTGCGACGGATCATAGTAGGGTGACGCGGATGCGACGCGCAGCTGATAAAGCGACAAAGAGAGAATCGGCGGGGCTGTACTGATAAGAGATTGGAAGAGACTGAGTTGATCTCAGAGGGTTTCACTTGCTAGGATTATAGGAATCCCCGTTTGATTTCAAGTCTTCATGAAAAAGAGAAGACGGAGCGATCTAGAAGTCTGAAATCAAGGAGCGAAAGACATGCGCATCACTTGGCTGGGGGTGCGGAGGGAACCGTGCCTTGTTTCAGGATGGACGCCTAGTAGAAGAAAAGGAAAATGAATGGGTTCAGTACTATAAGTCAGTGACTATAACTAAATTAGCTCCAATAGCTCCAATAGCCAAAACCGCCTGCGATGAAAGCAGGCATTATGCCCTGATATAACGTAGATCACTCGAAATGGAATCTCGTGGCTGCAAGCAGAACGTCCACGCTGATGTAAGCGCGATAAGCCGGCCTCCAGGGCTGGAACTACCTACATCGGTAATTCTTCCTATTTATAGCATGGAATTCAGATATGTGTACGGAGTAGATCGTATATGATTCTGTTGTTTTGTGTAGGATCTCTCAACTCAACCCCAAGGCGACGTATCAAATACGTCTGTTAATAGAATAGATAGAGCTGAGTGATATAAGCTTATAGAATAGGAGTAATACTAATACTCTTTCGATCTACCTATAGGAAATATGAGCACGCTTTTGTCTTTTAGGGCTTGGATCTCTCAGGATTCAATGGTAAATACTTAGGGTTCTTCTTTAGCCTTAACAATTATCCAAATCTGAACTAGCATCGAGAAAAAGAAAAACGACCCTCGGACCTATGAGAACGCATTTGGTCTACACTGGCGGATGACTCTCCTAGATGATAGTGCTAAAAGCTCACCTATGCCACACGCGATTATAGAGACTATCGCACACGTCCCCGCAAAGCATGCAGACCAGTGTCTCACTCGTCATGAAGTAAGAGCTATAATGAGTATGATGCTCATTTGAACATCTCCTGACCCCCTATCTCTACGTGTATCTAGTTTTTAGTTCTCTCTCACATGGGCGAACAGCACGGAGGGATCATTCAAGCCTCATTTAATGGAGAATGTTTGTTTCTACAATATTCCCAACTGTGGAGCTTTGAGGACGAGGAAACAGCACCAGTGGAACTCTTCCTGCGCTACAACATAAGTCAATTAGTTGGATCAGAGAGATCGGACACTTGTGGAGTGAGTTGTATCAATCAGCCTTATATCTAATAACAATTGTCTGGCTCACTGAACCAAAAAAGAGGTGATACACTTTGTTGGGGCTAGATAGACACTGGTAGTACGCAATGATATGTCGAGATGAATGTGAAGGTGTTGAGCAGGTCAAGTCACACCGCGTGATAGCTAGCACAGTTCTCAAGAAACGCCTCGCTACCAAACAAAAATCTCTCTCTCTCTCTCTCTCTCTCTCTCTCTGGCCTTGGGCAGTGTCTATTATAGGCATGTCAGGTTCGGGTGGTAATAATAGTATATTAGTTACATGAACCATCAGGCTGAAGGCATCTTTAGAGCCATCGCATGTGTGAAGGTACACAAAATGACAGAGCTATCATCTCAGCACAAAATATTTGATTCGGTCTGGAAGGGCCTTATCTGTCTTCCCGTTCAACACAGTGAGGGGTGAGTACTGATCGAGTGATGCTTCTGAGATCGAACGCTTGGACAGGGCATGATTGTGGCGAGAGATTTAACAGTGTTAATCGCTCGGTGCATGATTGGACCAGGGGAAATTGATGGGAGCAATAGATACTTCTTCAAGTCACATTTCCCAGGCTGAGAAATAAACTCAGCACGCGTCATCTGGGTTCACGCGTAAGGATCTGCATCGACTTCATTGATGCCCAAAAATCTGGATGTGATCTTGGTCTTGGTCTTCCTCTTCCTCTTCGTCATCGTCATCATCGTCATCATCATGAGCATGAGAGCCATCCGATTCAGCTGAGTCGGAAGACTCTTCATCATCATCTTCGTTTCCAGCTTCCGATGGGTTCTCGGTTGATTTAGCTTCGCCGCCAAACAGTCCATATCGGTACGTAAGCTTTTTGCTCAAGAAATTCAATGCGCCGTAGTCTTCATTCTCGCCACGAGATGGGCCCCCAAAGAAGGGCATAGATGAAGGTTTCTCCGATTCACGCTCAGTCGGCAGTCCAAAGTAGTTGCTGACGACTGGTGAGACAGCACGCCCTCGTGTTATGTTGTAGGATGAAAAGCGCCTGACGGGTTCGGGAGACATAGTGACACTGAGCCGTGAACGAGATGCGTTATTGACATTTAATGCGGACATGGCAGACGACATCGAGTCATCGTTTTCAATAAGTGAAGACGATCGAGGTCGAGGAAGGTTTTGCCCGGAGTCTTCCTCGGGTTGAGTAGAGATATCCCCGTGCAAAATGCGAAGTTGAGCCGTATTGTACGACTCACATCTAGAGTTCATCAGTAAGTGTTGATCGATTTTTTTTCCTTTCTCGAAAGGTACTTACAAATCACATCTTAAGCCGAGCCAATGATATTTGACAACTGACTTTGAGCCGCAATCGTTACAGTAAATAAGGCCTTTGGTATCCTTAAACTCCTCCGGCATAGGTTGGCTTTCGATGGTGCGATCGAGGTTTCGGAATGTCGACTCCATGTTGGTGATGGTCTTGCTACAAATGGGACAGCGGAAGGAACTTTGGGAGTACTCTGAGAGACACTTGTGGTGTATGCTGTGGCCACACCGCATGACGACGACTGTTTCTGGAGAAGTGAACATGTAGTCGCCACATATGGGACAGTCACATTGGGTGGATCGTTCAATGCAACGATGGGTGTTCTCAATACACATAGGAAGACAAACGGAGCATGTCTGGTATGTTGTCAGCGTCAACATCGATTAAGCTTTGCCAGAGTCCTTACCTGACAATGGAAGAAATCCTTGCCCAGTCCCTGTCCAATTCGACATATACCGCAATCGCTGCAATGATATATGCTCTTTTTGCTGTCGTTATCCCAGAGCTTGCAAATCTCGCAGTAATACTGCGCAGTTTGTTCGCTGCACCGTCGGCAGTTCTGCGCTGCGGGCTGCGCATGACCGCATAGCATACAAATCATGTTCTCGGTATCTCGACGAACGAGAGAGTGGTCCTCCACTTCGTCATGGCAGAAGCGGCAAGTGTACCATTTTTTGCAAGCGTAGCACTCAAGTTTGACATTGCGCTGGTAATGCACACATCCTAGAATAGCCTCATCTTGTTCTTCTGTGTCACAGTCTTCATCCCCAGTCTCGAGTTCTGCTGATTCTGTTTCTTCTGCTTTGGGTACGAAAGTGGGCTGGAGATCTTCCGGCATGAGATTGAACATACTCTCATCGAGAGGAACTAATCCGGAGTATGTGGAACTGGGTCTAGAATTGGCGATCTCCAATGATCGAGGGGCCCTCGGGCTTGTTGGCAGGCCCAAGCTTCGTGGGCTCGATGGAGTTGATAATATCCCCGGACCGGGGGTACTTGAAAGCTCACGGGACGAGTTGTAACCTTCCGTCATCAGACCGTGAACCATTCGCGCCTTTTCACCACTGGTCAGTCCCAGCTCCCTGATTGCGATGATCTTGCTTCTTAGAACTCCCATCCCATCATCCGCTGGAAGCGAAGACGGAGCCTGTCCCTCTGGTTCAAAGGCATCGCCCAAAGATCGCCGAGGCTCGCCAATTGCTATAGCCGAAGCAGAATATTGTGACTCAGTGTGCGAGTTCGGTGCCTCGCTGGGGTGTGAAGCTTGTGGATTTCCTGGACTGTCCAGCTGTACGGTGATGTCGATTTCATGTGTGGGATCAAATGGGCCGTCCGTGGCCGCAGCTACATTTTCGATTGCTCCGAGTGTATTGTGGGTCACTGATCGAGTGCCCTCCGGTTGCAAGTTTCGGCCATCCATCTCTTTAGGTAGGGTTGTGAAGAAAGGAGGGCTATGCAGGGACCCCGCACCCGCATCTCCGCAGTTCGAATCCTGTCTGTGATCTTGGTCCGGTTGAACAGCAAATTTATGGTCTTCACTGGCACTCAAAGGGTTTGTCGGTTCGTTCAGGTGTACTTTCGCTTGGTCGTCATTTGGCTGGCTGCTTGGCGAGGGCAAGGGGGATCGTATTCCAATTTGGATTAGTAGCGATGAAATGAAACCACTCATGAAGGGCTGTCAACCGGCATCTCACTCAGATGCTTGAATCCAAGCAAAACCACCAAAGTTGGGACTAAAACAACAGACATCGTGACATGTGACGCCCACGGGCACCGCCTCCGATGCTGAATCATCGTCACATGCTCTGGGGCTGGAGCCTGAGCAGGTGGCACGATTTTTTAGGTGTCGGTTGAACTTGAAAATCAGGGACATATTTGGGAGATAGAATTCACTTTTATTGGGCCTGGGATTTGCTGAAAGTATTCTACCACGTAGTTTCCTATCAATCCTGTCTTCCTGGCATGCCATTATTCTCAGGGGCCAATCCTATCGTCTACTAATGAGTCCCGAGTCTGCGGACGCGGATTGGCTCTACAATGTTGTATTGGACGCCAAGGCGTGTAGAGCGTCATTAGTGTGACTTGGGATATGCCATAAAATGGTCCGAAAATACAACACACGATGCTGACCCAGAGGCAGAACGGGCCATCGTGTCTTGCGGGATCCTGATGCGATTGGGAAATACACCGGTGTTCTGGGCACGATAAGATTCGGTATGTGCAATCCCATTTTGGGCGAGCTGCCTTGTGTCGATGTGGATTCATGCCCAAGGGAAGCACTGAGGCCTAACGGATGCACCATCTGGCGGGTCGGATCAGCACTGACGTAAAAGTCAAGAAGTGCGGAGTTCGAATCATCTGAGACATGTCCCTAGACTCTCATTCAAACGGTCAATTGTCAGATTGTAATGGTCAAAGACGCTTGTCCGCAACTGGTTCTCTACATGACCGAGTCCCAGGGATCGTGGGCTGAGGCCAAGTCAGCACCTTCCTTTTCCATTTCTTTCCGTGGGCACTCACACACGGGACTCTCTCACAAGATGACCTTGTTCCCAATACCTAGCTAACAGAAGGTTTTTCAAAATCTTGTGTTCCATTCCGGCAACCTGGGTAGCTCGTTCGAGAAAACGAAGAGTGTTGGCGATTTTGGCAGGATCAAACTCCTCGGAGGGGGTGGAACGATAGGATTTTCGCAATGATTTTAAAAGCATATGGCGACCCGGTGTGGAATATTGAATCGCTTTCAACCCCTGTCGATAGAGGTGACGGTATGCGTGGACTATAGCTCGTTGATCCACCTTCATGGCCTGGATTGAAGCGTTCATGATCTATTGGGCAAGTACAAGCCAACAAATCGGCGGCAGATGTGCAATCAGACGGAATCGGGCGGAATCAACGGAGATCCGGAGGGAGTCCAAAAGTTGTGGTATTGGAGTAAAGAAGAGTAAAAAGACGGTCAAAGTTGGGGAAAGGTTGAAACCTCAGGCAGGACTAGCCCGATCGGGAGAGATGATTTGGGCCGCAACGCAATCTTATCAATCCCTCTCTCTCTCTCGCTCTCTCTCTCTTTCTCTCTTTCTATCTCTCTCCATCTTTCCTCCAATATTATTGTTTCTTCTGTTCTCTTTTGCTCCTTGCTCCTCGCTCCTGCCTTTCCTCGAGATTTAATTCAGAAAAGGTCATTGAGGGCCTTGTTTCTTCTCCGGTCGACCGCGGGGTGCCTTTACCTCGTACCGTTTGCATTGCATGCATACGACGTGATCTCGTCTTGACTTGATCACACCCTTCGCCCTGACCCAGATAAGGAGACACCTACAATCTACTTCTACATATCACACGTCTGATACAAATCGTGAATGATGTGTTGAAATCTTCATCTACGCAAGGTTCTGCGGTAAGCTGAACCAGTATGGCCCGTGTCATAACAAGGGCAGCGTCGGCCTCGGTCAGGAATGGCCCTGGCCGGGCTATCCAAAGGAGAGCGAAAAGACACAAAGTCATTATGGAATCTGTAACCCAAGAGAAGAAAAAGCTTCGGAGTGTTGTATGTATATTCTCTCTTCGTCGGCTTGACCAGATGATTAACAAAAATGCACAGATATGCTTTGAAGCGCAAGCACCAAGCGGTTACACCTTCATACCTGCAGGAAACCCGAAACTCACTACGACATGTAAGGAGCGGTGTCGAGATGAGGGTCTCCAAATTTACGCAGTATCCGTGAGAATCCCAAATGATCGCTAATGATCAACACTGCTTATTTTTGCTAGACTACCCCACATCACCGCCATCATAACCTCTCCCAGCATGTTCATCGGATAGGATATCATTTTCCTAGTACTGTGGTAGCAGCTGTTTGCTCAGAGCTGGGGTTCTACCTCACAAGCACTGGCAGAACAGTGCCTAGTACCTTTCCTACGGACAGGATAGAGAATCTCAAGCAGGATGATTCCGAAGTCTCTCAAACAACCCTCAACATAGAAGCACGGGACGCCTTAAAGGATCTTTTTCCCAACATACCTGACAAAGATTTGGATCAAATTATCAACACCGCTTTTCAAAAGGTACGTATATGCCAAACTCTGATCTGTGAAATGAGGATATGGAAAACCTGATATACAAAAAAAAAGGGTCAAAAAAAAGTTGGAACAGCGACAGAATTGCCCTTGGCTCGCCGAGCCCAACTCGCTGTGGTTGCTCACGTTCGGCATGTCTACACTGACTACGATCGCCTCCTGAAAACCACTTCATTCCATGAAGCAAGAGGGGTCGTTGAACACACAACTCTAGCAAAAGTCATCGAGTGGCGAGGGGACGATGAGAATGGTCAGACGGTGCTAGAAGATGTTTTCCGTGAGGTGATCGTTATCTCAGACGATGAAGACAGTGAATCAGAAGAAGATGCGGCTGCTTCAGCAGGTCATCGGAATACCAGTGTGGAGATACTTCCAAGTGATACTCGGGCCCATGAAATCCGTTGTCAGCCTATCGACACTAACCCTCTTGGTTCGGATCTTCCACGAGAACTATCCGAGGAAGCGCCGCCTGGGTTCCGATTTGTCACAAGAGCCCCAGCCACAGAGACCATCAATCGTCGCGGATTTAACAGATACAAGGCATGGACCCGCGCTGTCAAGGAATATAGAGAGGGTGTACAGGGCACTACGCAACCTAGGTTCTCTGGTGTCCCAGCTGAAAAACAAAGCCCACGGTATGCCGAGCAGCGCATTACCGTCCATGAAGTACCCTCTACGGGACGCCAGGATATAGTATCCCAGCACGCCGAGGCTCATCGGCGAGTCGCTCCAGGCTCAGCCAGTAATGCTAACCAAGCACATCGAGTGCTCGCTCTTCCACTAATGAACCGACAGGTAGTCAAGAGACATGTAGGTGTCCAGGAAAACTACCCCCACTCGGATGCGCAACAAAAATACTCAACACATGAACTGAACGTCAGGCCAGCTGGACTAATTAACCAGGAATCACCCGAGTTGCAAATCCTAGAAGAACTCTCTGGACCTAGAAATGTGAGCATGACCCACTCGCAGGATGTTGGTCCTTCGAGGATGGAGGCCAGATTTCGACAGGAGAGACTGCCTCCTCAGTCGGATAGGATCAACGCACCTGTGTTTGTTAGTGGACCAAAGGAAACCCGTCAGAAATTGATCCCAGTGGGCCGCCGCCCTGACTCTGTCACTTCCCCTCTTCTCAGGCCAGGTTCAAACACACAGGATTCCATCTTGCCCTCGATTGAAACTACCAGGCCTTTGGAAATCCGGCGGACTGACGGTGCGCATCCTTTGGTACACATGACCAACAATATGTCCCTCCGATCGGTCACGCCAGGACGTCCTCAAGGAGAGACGATGCATCACTCCGATGTCATCGACAAGGAAGGCGACTGCGAACAAGCGAGCAAAAGAAGACGTTTGGCATGCCGTGAAGGTTCTCGGGCCGACTCCCGCCTAGACCTATGGAGTGCAAGGCCTATGGGACTCCCCGTGTCCGAAGGATACGGGCAACTGCACTCGTATCGTCGCGTTGAGCTTGTGCCAGATCACCGCCCCCAGGATCAGCCTCATTTTCGTCGTGACTATCTGCCATTGGAACAACCCGCTGTTGTAGGACACCAACGGGAAAGGAACCCGAACCAACTTTCTTATCCCAATGCACCGCATGACCTAGAAACAAGGTCAGTTTTGAGTCGACAGCATATCAGCGGACCACACGAGTCTCAGTCTCAGGCTGGGGTTTCCAGTACCAATATCATTGTCTCAGAAGGCGATCGCGCCTTCAGAGCAGCTCCAGCCGTTTTCAATTCCGTACCGTGGCATCCATACCATGGTGATCGTAGTCTTCGTTCGGAACGTGCTCCAAAAGAGCCGCGGGGCATTCGGCGCCGCCTTGATGGTGGTCGCCCTTTACCAGAGAACCTCCAGTCAGACAGGAATCTGTATGCCGAGGACTTTGTTCGGCATATTGATCATCGTGAGCTCCCATTTGAATACGCTTCCAGGCGCGCAGAATCCGAGGTCAAGCCCGTTGGAGACCCCTCTCCCTCCACCCGGACTAGACATCTTGATTATGGCACAAAGAATCTATCCCAGCCTCAGGTTTTGTCGGATCAGCGTGGCCCACTGCCCATAGGAACCCGAGTGGTTCCTTCCCATGATCACTTTCGTACCTTTTCAGACTCTGCCATAGGAAAGATCCAGCCACACGTGTCCCCCCCTCAGATCCCTCGTGAAAGACCAGCCAGTGGCGGGTTCAACTCGCGGTAAGCCTTCATTGGGGAAACCAAGTAGTCTTCACGCAGCTTTCCCCTAAGTCTTTGAAAATTCCGACTAACTCAGATACAGACCATCTTACATTCCTCCCTTATCTCAGAGTACAGAGCAAGATCGCCCAGTCTACGTTCAAAGAGTTGAACCGCGCCCACCCTACTGTTCTCTCCCTGATGGAAGACATGCTGTCTTTGTTGATTAATTCATTCTATTTTCTACCACAATCCCTCTTGTTTCGAGGGGGCAGCTGACTTGTTTTGAGATTTTTTTGTATTCGCATTGCTTTGCATTGTTCATGATACCCTGGTGCATATTATTAGAACCTTTTCTCATGGGTCTCAATCTCAATTTGAATTAGGAACTACGGTTTCCTCTTTATGTCTATTTCAATGGAACAGAGCAATCTTGGAACCTTTCTAAAGTTCTTAAAGAACATATCCTGTTCGAATGTCCTGCCTAGCACTGCTCAGCAGTCCAGTCCTTAGTATTGGGTCGGACCTCGATGGCTCCCCTTAAAGAGCTTGTGAGTTTTGGCCAGTCCCAAGCCTCCTGCACCAAGAGGGTATATACGACCGGAACCACCTAAGAAGGTTAAACCTCCTTGCTTTCCCCATCCGCCTCTCCACTGTTCACGGCTTTGCCAGTCTTCTTAATCTTCTCCAGCACGGTATCGTAGGAAAGAGTAGGCTCGGTGATGACATTAACCGTCTGGGTTTCGAGGCTGACATCGAAGGTCTTGACGCCTATCAACTATGTTAGGAACCTTTTTTTGCAAAAAAAAAAAAAAACAAGATAGAAAAAAATAGGCCTCGCGTCGCTTACCTTCAAGCTTCTTAAGGACACGCTCGACGGCACCGGAGCATCCGCCGCAAGTCATCGTCACATTGAACTTGTATTGATGGTCAGACATGATGGGAATTGGTGCGGGGTGTTTGGGAAGGGAAGATGCTTGGCGGAATCACAAGTTTTGGGGGATTTGGAAGGTGTCGGGGGGAAAAAAAGAAGATGAAACAGGAGAGATTGAAGATTCTAAGTGAGAGGGTAGTCTTTACCTTGGTATTCTGCATTTGTCATACTGCCATCCCTTGGAGAATAGGCCATATTCGCGATTGGTGTACTTCTATATATTAGGACATTATTGGGTATAAAAATCTCTAAAATCCAGCTTGTCGCTTCTTTTTTTTGGGTTTCTTAGGGGCGCGGGCTCCAAATGCTCCTCGTTCCATCTGGGTCATCGAAATATCCATAGCCTGACTACTGTTAATGTGAGGTTCCAGGGGCTGACTGCCCCATGTTCGGACCAGAGGGACTGCCGGAGTCGGAGGGAGGGATTGATCACGAATCTGAGAGCGCTTCTTCCGTTTGCTTTTGGAAGTGCGCGCCTTGGAATTCCGCGTCTCCTCGTCTTCAATCCTCTCCCATTCATAGTGTTTGGGACTGGTTCCCACCGGCCAGTGGGAGAGGAGGTTTGCCACATTTCGTGCTGGTGGGCGTGGAGTCTTCTTAAATTTGACGAATGCTGAGATACCACCAAAGACTGGAACTGCGGAGTACTTGGATTGCTGAACTGGGATCGTCTCCCGTCTGGATCCAACGCTTCGGCTTTTGGCCTTGGACTGGCTGCCAGACATCTGTGAGGATAATAATGCGAAGTAGGTCGATTGCAGGTATTTGTTATGTGCCGCGGCTTTCTCATTTGCCTTTTCATTGGCTCTGTCCTGACTGGGATCTGCAGGCTTGGAGAGTAAAGCGCTATCCAATGTGGTAGACATTTTGATCAGGCGTGAAAGGATGAGATCGGCAGCAACTCCTCGAATGAGTCTCTCTTTCATGAGTCGTGTCTGTACGGGAATGACACGGGGCAGGGTAGACATCCAATCATTGACCATTCGATCATAGCTTTTGAGAAGATCCCTGTCTGCTTTGCCTGAGATTTTGGCTGGCATACCATACCCCCTGTTTGGTACTGGGAGTGGCAGAAGCATATACCGACACTGGGCATCGGGATTCGGGTGTTCGGGCATGAGCGCTGAAATGAGTCGTTTCACACCATCTGCACTTTCATCAAGGTCCTCTGCCAAAATTCTCCTGCCCGTCAGTTCCACCATGGTCTTGCCTGGAGGTCGCTTCGATCCATTTTTCATTTCGTTTTGTAAAATTGCCATCCACCCAGCAAGGGTCCTTGTCTTCGGCCTTTGTCTCTTCTTTTGCTTTTTCTGACGGATTTCCATTTGCCCCGTGGCTATTTTGTAGACGCCAGAAAAATCCAAGGTCCACTGCAAGGCTGACCTTGTATTGACACGGCCCATTTGGGGCTTGCAACGACGAACAATCCTTTTCTGTATCGCTGATTCGTCCCAATCGTCAACAAGAAAGTCATCAGTGGGTCTGATGTAAGATGTCGGAGCATAACGCCTTCTCAACCGCAAGACACTATTTTCTCGAAACAAGTCCGACTCGTCAAGATCTCCGCGCGGACCCATAAAAGTAGATTCGTGGACGGCAAAATCGGAATCCATCCAGAAAAGCTTGATCAATGGCAAGTGGGCGTTATAGAATTTCCTACCCATGGGTGTAACGGAGTGGGCAATCTCTCTAAACACAAATCTCGAGAACCGCACGACAGAATCGCGTTTAGTGGACGGTATCTCCGCCAGCAGGGGCACATCGAGTACCAGGGGGTCAGGTACAGATACAGACTCGGTCCTATCGTCGGATATAAAGGGACATGGAAATACATGTACCAACTGAGTGATATGGGAATATAGAACCAGATACAAATCTAGGTAGTAATTTAGTATTTGCAGGCCCTGTTGAATTACACTCGCACATACCTTGGTATACGACTATGTCGCTAAGTTGTAAAGTTGTGTCTTCGGGGTCTCGAAAATGCCTCCAGGACACTTGAGGATATAGGGAAAGACTTGTATCATCCTCGCCGGGTAGTGCTCCAAGATCAAACCACAAGATTCGAGTGGTTGTCAGGACGAAGAACTGTGATGGCTTGCGTGTGTTTCTTTGAACGCCCAAAACCCACTCGGATTGCTTTGCCATCCCCAATTCGACCGTGCGTGGCTGAATCTGGTCGTCTGTGATGGCATAGATTATCACACTGTGACGATTGGCGACAAGCACCGAGCCAACATTATGGACCCACTCGATAGATGCCCAGCCATCAAGCCGAGGGCACCTGTGTTTTCGCTTATAATCCCGCAAAGGCAACGAGCCTGATTTGACACGCTCGGCAGACCAAGTAGCCTGCTGAAGTCGCTGCCTGCCGGTGATCTCCCAGACGCTCCACTTGCCTCTGGTATCTACAATGGCGAATTGTCTCTGATACCAGGGGTTGAATGTCACATGAGCATGTGAGACGCCACCTGTTCGCGATGCAGGTATCTCCACGATTGGATTCGCATCTAGCCGGGAGTTCCGTAAAGGGCTAGTGTATCCTGGAATAGCGCCTTCCGGTAAGCGCATGGGCACAGGATCCCAATGGTAAAGAGGTCGGAATATCGTAGTCCCTTTGGAGAGACGAGCAGCCATGAACACAGGCTTCTCATCCAAGGGGCGCGCAAAATGTACTTGACGTATTGGCGCGCCACCTTTCGACCATTCAGACATTTCAGCATCACTGATCGATGGGGCGCGAAACGCCAGCTTATTTGGAGAGTTCAATTCCAGAATTTCCTCTTCCAGCGTTCGAAATGAAATAATATTTCGACATTCTCCAGCCACAGCCACCGCGATTGGAATTGAGCGCAGCCTTTTGTCATGACGCCTTTGGTCCACCGCATAACCGATATCGAAAAGCGCAGATATCTCTGGATCATAGTGTTCGACAGTTTTCATAACAGCTTTCGACAAAGGCTCCTCGCGAATGGAGAACCATGATGCCGCCAACTCCGGATACGCATCTGTGATCAGTTTCCTGGGGTTTTTCTGGGGTACCCTAGGTATTGGTCGAGCTTTGGCTGGAGGAAACGGCGATTGGATTCTTGTCTTTGTCACTCCAGTATACTGGATAGACGGAGCTTGCAACATGTTAGCTAATTCTAAGAAAATAGGCTCCAGTGCTTACGCCTCTCAAAAGAGCGAGTAAATGCCCAGTCCTCCTCCTCGGGAAGGTAGACAGCTCGTCCTACGTGCCCATAGTGGAGAGCACTGGCTGGATATTCATCCATCGGATCTTTTTTTGCTTCTTGCAATCAGTTCACGGCCCCAAACCATGTCGACAATACAACATGAAGAAGATTAGGTCGTATCAATCATATAAATATGCGCATAATGTGAGGATGCAGGAAAGAGAGAAGCTCGGGAACTGGAAAGTTTTTTGATCGTTATCGATAAGACTCGGAGTTGTTGCGCCCCAACCCAAAACAACTCTCCTGTCAACCTCAACTTCAACATTCACCACTCACCACTCATATAAACAGAAACGATGACTTCTTCATTCGAACCTTCGCTCTCCACAAATGGCATGCGCCCACCGCTCACTTCGGCGGATGCGCCATCAATGGCAGATTCATTGCCTAGTATCAACTTTGGATTCGAGGACCTGCGCAATACCATGGCACAATTCACAGTGAAGTTCGATGCATTCATCGAGCGCGGTCGCAAACGAGTCTTGGAGGAGCGAAACCAGTTCCACATTAATTTGGCTGAATATGAAGGTATGAGTTAATGATCGAAACACTCCCGTTCTCACCATATTCCACGACTGTGTCTAACATAACATGTTAGAGGACGAGCGCATGCGACAGCGCGATATCGAAATTCTTAACCTCAAATCACAAACCCATGAACAAACCCTCCAAAAGGAAGCGGCCGAGGCTGCTGAAATGCATGCGGCTATCTCATCTATCACCTTGGAACGCGATTCCCGCCTTGCCAAACGCGACCGTCTGAAGCAGCAGATCGCCGAGACACAAAAGGCCATCAGTCAAAAGGTCGAGGCACAAAAGTCACACGCACAGTATTTGGATGCGCAATCGCGTCTCAATTTCCCGGAGTTAGAGTTCTGGCAGGATTACCTTTGTATCCGAATCGAAGGCGCTGGTCGTGAGGACCGCTTAAAGTTTGTCTACAGCCACCTATTGGAGAAGGACTGGGAGGCGGAGGCTTGGTTTGAATTAGGCACTGCCAGTCGCGATTACGAGGTTTTTCATACGCGCCCCAAGATTGATCGGGATGCTTTGGAACATGTAGTAGATCTCGTCAACGACGATCGCGACTTTGGGGCGTTTTTGAAACGCATACGCAAGTTGTTTGTTGAGGCGATGAACTAAGAACAACATTGAAGTTTAGGACATTTTTTCAATACGAATTTCATGATCTTCATGCATAGTTCAGTAAGGTTTTCCTAGGTTCCGTTGATATCATCATAACGCGGTTGCAGGTACATTGCTGCGATACCCCCATGATCAGCTACTTCTTTTACCCAGTAGCCTCGCGGTAGAATGCAATGCTGCGATTTGCCCCAGCGGTTGCAAATCCTTCCGTCTTGCCGACCTTAGGAAGCCACTTGGCGCTCCAAACGGCTTTATCTGTTTCCGAGTGTGTAGCGACACAGGTCTTGGTCTCCATAGACCAGACCTTGACTTTACCGTCAAACGAACTTGGAAATGTCAGCTTGCCGTTCAACAAATGCATGGGATGATGACTGACCTGCTCAGGAGATACTCGCCAGTATCGCTCCAGGAAAGAGATAAGATCCAGGCAGAGTGCCCCGAGAGATTGGCAATTTGTTCCCCAGAGGAAGTATCATACAGCACAATGACCTTAGAGTCGCCAGCAGCTGCTAGGAACTTACTTTTAGGCGAGAAAGCCACAGCTCGTACGGGATTAACCAAACCTAGGCCGAATTAGAAATCGCATTTCTGCCGGGCTCAACCAACTTCGCTTACCGGAGAGAGAGAATGGCATGCGGCCTGTTTCAGTGGTGAAGATGTAGACTGCACCGTCTTCATGACCTGAAGCAATTAATCGACCATCGGCAGACTAAGCAAGGTTAGCAAGGGCCACTATCTGGCTGTGGAGATTCGAGCTCTCACCAAGTCGATGCAAGTACCAAAACTGCCTTTCGTCTCGTGGTCTCGAATCCGAGTGCCATCGGCAGCCAAATCCCATACATTAATGCGCCCCGCCTGTGTAACACCAGCAAGATACTGACCATCTTCAGAAAGAGCTATGGCCCAGGCATCGGCACTAGTGAGGTCGGCTGCACTATTATCAGCCCCATCGCATGTTGTGGGATACTAAAGAGGGGCAGTACTTACCAGTCACTTTTGTGTCTGCAGCCCAATGGCCGTCCTGACAAGACCATGCCTTTATTTCGCCGTCGAACCCTGCGGTGATTGCACGGGTCCCATTCGCATTGGTTACAATATGGTGGCAGCCAATGGTGTGGGCACCATCAATGGACTGCACCAGCGGAAAGTCAGCGTCCATGGTAGAGTGTACTTTGATAGACGAGGCACCCGAAGTAGACAGAATTTGCTTGTCTGTGACAGCCAGCGAGAAGATATCAACAATGTGTGCTACAAAACAAATATTAGCCAAATCATTCAGCATATATGCACGGGAAGCTCACCATTGTCAACAGAACCCCTCGAGAGGTATTGTTTCGACTAGAAATGTCACTTAGCAATGAGATCCTTTTGTTGTTGATTGGTTCTTACCATGTTGATGATGCCGTGCTGTCTCACGACTGTGTTGAGACTTTGCTTTGTGGAGGAGCAATGACGTTGGGGCGCCTTCGGGCCCGTTCCGCCTTTATCGCTGTTTTTTTTATCGGCGGATGGAGGCGGTTAACACAAATCGATGTATATAAGTGTTGTAGCTATTAGAACTATGTAATAGCGAGCTACATCGGGTCAATGAATTTATCATCATCATCATCATCTGAGAACTATGATATTTATGTTTTTCTTCACTTTGCTCGGCGAAATTGTGTCTAGTATATCTAGTTCTTCTACTGCATCTACTGCATCTACTACATCTACATCTACTACATATCATTGACAATCGACCGCATAGTAATTTCAAGGTTATTGTGACTACATTGCTATTAAGTTATGATCAATTAAGTACGGAGTAGCGGCAGACATGTTCGCATGTATAGACCAATAAAGTCATAGTGGTGGGAACATGAGTATGCCCACTAGGACCATCCATTACTATCGGCCGTAACTATAACATCTACAATTAAAGGCCGTTTGGCTATCAGATTGACATAAGAAGAAATAAACTGAAAAGATCGCGTTCAAATTCGACCTACTAGATCGAATTGCTATAAAGTCATATCGAAACATTTCCCCCGGAAAACCCAGACGCCATTTGCCATGCTGCATGTATCCACAACCAATTCTAGAAATACAATCTCTCTTCTGGGGCCTGAGATTGGGATCTCAAGAACGTTGATTCTGATTCCCTCAAGGCAAGCCCTTATTTCTTACAGTCCTCATGCCATGTCTAGGGTCCTCCACGATTCCTTGATATCTGTTGAATAGTCAGCTTTTCTGCCATAACCAAATAGAAATTCCTCCGGCTTGGACTCGATTCCTACCTTTGACGCAGTTTGGGCACAGAAGATGGGCACGCTTGATCTGACCACAGCCCGGGCATTTATTGAGACTCTTCACGTCTTTGAGAGCCTTACCGGCCATTTGTCGATGACGCTTCTTCATATGAGACGTCTTCTTCTTAGGAACGGCGCGCAAGACGGAATCCCAGAGATCGGAAAGAAGGGACGGGATATTAAGAGAGATCGAAACCGGTTGTAGCAATCCGCTGGTCGCGATGGGTGTGATCGGAAGGAACCGAGCGAGTCGAGGAAATTGGAGGGACTCGGACAAAAGTGAACGTGACATATTTGCCGGAGCAAAAGGAAGAAGGCGCAATGCCATTGTGCGAATAGTTTCAAGCAAGAAAAAGGGGAGAGGTTCGGGGGGTGATCAGGGAATGGGAGCTATCACAGTCTGAAGCAAAAGATCGTAGTTTTCTCGTGGAGAGACGCTAGTCCTAATTAGGAATGGGCCACCCCTGAGTTCGGAGAGACGATAATAAGGGGGATGGCTCTTGCTTCAACTACATACTTCTCTTCTCTACGGGTTTTTCTTTGGGATTGTGGTCTATTCCAATTCTCAAGCTTTACTCTCTTTCTACCTCCCATAATGGCCACTACAGCAGCTTCGGCTCAACAGCCCACTGTTTTTCCCCATAGCCATGTCGGTTTCGACAGCATTACCTCGCAGATCGAGCGCAAGCTGTTGAAGCGTGGCTTCCAATTCAATGTTATGTGTGTTGGTATGTGCCGTACAAAGTTGCCCCTTAGAAAAGATCCTAAGCTAATCTCTCACGCGTTAGGCCAAACTGGTCTCGGAAAGTCAACACTGATCAACACTATCTTCGCATCCCACCTGATTGACTCCAAGGGCCGCCTGACACCCTCCGAGCCCGTTCGCTCCACCACCGAGATCAAGACAGAGTCGCACAGTATGTCTATAATCGCGGATTTGTTTTACATACGAAATGGCTGACGAGTGATTAGTTATCGAGGAGAACGGCGTGCGTCTCCGCTTGAACATTGTTGACACACCGGGTTACGGTGACCAGGTCAACAACGACCGATGGTAATTTGAGCCCTATCATGCTAGAGGTTTCAGATCTAAGCTAATAATGACCAGCTGGGACCCCATTGTCAAGTACATCAAGGATCAGCATTCGGCATACCTCCGCAAGGAACTCACTGCTCAGCGTGAGCGTTACATCCAAGATACCCGTGTTCACTGCTGTTTGTTTTTCATCCAGCCCTCTGGACATGCGTGAGTTTGTCCCGCCCATTTATTAGCTCCCTTCGAGCTCTTTCAGACTGACCTGTTGACTCCACATAGCCTCAAGCCTATCGATATCGTTGTTCTGAAGAAGCTGTCCGATGTCGTCAACGTTGTTCCAGTTATTGCCAAATCCGACTCTCTCACTCTCGAAGAGCGTCAGGCCTTCAAGGAGCGCATCAAGGAGGAGTTTTCCTTCCACAACCTGAAGATGTACCCTTACGATAATGACGAGCTCGATGATGAGGAGCGTGCTATCAACGCTCAGATCAAGGTATGCTGGACCCAGGCAGATCCATCATGACATGATATTAACCTCTGGTTACAGGATATTATTCCTTTTTCGGTTGTCGGCAGTGAGAAGACCATTGTTGTCAACGGCAAGCAGGTTCGTGGCCGCCAGAACCGCTGGGGCGTCATCAATGTCGAGGACGAGAACCACTGTGAATTTGTTTACCTGCGCAACTTCTTAACCCGCACCCACCTTCAGGATTTGGTCGAGACCACTAGCCAGATCCACTACGAGACTTTCCGTGCCAAGCAGCTGCTTGCCCTGAAGGAAAGCAGCGCTGCCGGTGGCCACACCGGTGGCAGCCGACCCATCAGCCCCTCTGCGGACCGAGAGCTGAGCCGCAACTCGCAACGTGCAGCCATGAATGGATACTAAACCTGGTGAACTTTCATGTCTGATGCGAGCGTGACCGTTGCGCGACGGCCCTCTCCGAAAACTTACTGTCCTCATTTGACGCCAGCAGGCCCTTGCAGATATCCATTTTCTTTCCTTTCTTTTGCGTTTGTTCTCGTTTTGTATCCTACATCCCATCTTGTTTCTTCCTGGGAGAACCATCAAGCTTGTATTGCCGGCGAAAAAGAGAATTGGCACTCCAGCGCCCGTGCCCATATCTGGTGCTTTCCATGTACTTAGTTTTCTTAATTAACTTGACGAGAGAAACTTCTATTCTTGAGTTGAAAGATACAACCCAAGGCGGTCGTCTCGTGGGCCAAGGCGTCCACTAAATCACATTCCCTATATGTAATGTAGCGTACTATTGCGCAGCACCGAACTTGCCACCGTCCACTACCCAATCTCGCAGCTCAACATAAGCCTTCTCAAGATCATCATTGACAACAATTTTGTCATGAGCTGCGGGCTGCTTTGCGTACTCGAGCTCGTTCCGAGCTTGGCTGAGTCGTTTCTCTAGGGATTCTTCAGTTTCAGTACCACGGCCACGAAGGCGTTGCTCCAGCACCTCGAGCGAAGGCGGCGCAAGGAACAAGAAACGCTAGAGATTGTTAGTGGAGTCCTATTATCAGATTGCCTAGGACACTTTACCGCATTGAGGTCTGTCCGCTTCACCTGTTTGACTCCTTCCATTTCAATGTCCAGTATGCAGATGCGCTTCTTCTCGGCAATGTTCTTGACGGCCTGGACTGACGTTCCATAGAAATTTCCGCCGAATTGAGCTGTTCTACCGGTTAATTGCCATCCAACTTCTTCCTTCAAGCAGTGTAACCAACCATGTTCAATAAACCCGTTGTTGGCCACTAGCTCAAGGAATGCGTCCTTTGTGACAAAGTTATATTCACGGCCATGTTGCTCGCCGGGTCTCGGGGATCGTGTGGTTTCTATTCAGTTGACGTGTGAGCAACGCCGTTCACGGATTCGTTCCATTCCTCTCCTCTTGTGCTTGGCACTAACCTGAGATGGAAAATCCAAAGGTGTCAGGATACTCGGCGAACAATCGCTTGAGCAAAGTTGACTTTCCGGTCCCCGATGGGCCCGAAATCACAATCGGGCGGTAGGCTTCAATATCAAAGTGGCCTTGTCAGTATATCTGTATCACACAGTGGGGTTATGTTCTGCCATTGTAGCATCCTTACCAGAGGCCATTGTAGATGCAGAACGAGTCGCACGAAAGAAAGGTCTTAAGAACGCTGGGAAAGGCAAAGACGAGAGAGGCATATAAGGATTGAAATGAAAACGAACAAAGCGATTATTTAGGTCAAGACGGCTTTGTTCCGTCCAAATACAGCTTAGCTTGTCTATTTATTAGGAAGGCGGAAGAAATATATTTCTTGGCATTCCTCGGCCAGTAGCCCTATCTATACGGAGTATACGGAGTGGTGTATGCATATTACAACATATGTACTCCGTACGGAATACTTAGATAGTATTAACAGGAGAGAAAGATCAGAGTATCAATATCCAAGTTCTATGACTTCCATACTTTATACATTTCTGCCCTTCATCATTTGAGAGGCCCCTGGTGGCTTCCTCGTCTCGATGGATTCATGTTACCCACCTCCGCTTCTTGCTCCAGGAAATTAGACCATAATTCGGCCAACGTCTCTTTGCTGGAGGCACCATTGTCCATGAACTCTGCCGCCAGGTTTGGGGTGCTTGGGGTGCGGAGGGGAGTGCCAGGGACTCGGAGCTTCCCAGACATATTCGAGGCCCCTGGCCGGGCAAGACCTGCCTGTTCACGTTGCTCTATTTTTGGTCAGGTGGGCTCGGCAAATTCGTTGATTAATAGTACTCACCATCGTTCCAGCACAGGAGGGCAGCGATCAGTTGCAGTATTTGGAATTTTTTGGGATCAGATCGGTCTAAAGCAAGGAAGTGCAGGAAATGGTTGGTGACAATATGTCTGCATGGAGTCAGCGTGCAATTGAGGTAGCTTGAGGTAAGAAGGACGTACCTGTCAACATTATCCTCCGGTTTCCCTTTCTTGAGGAATCGCAAGGCTTTCGTCAGATGGTCGTTCAACGTGACTGCCTCATGTCGTAGCTTCCCAATGAGCAGATTCTTCTCTTTGACCTCCTTCTCAAATGGCCGGACTCGCTCAATTTCTTCCTGGGCATTCTGAAGACCCTTTTCGGCGTCAGTGGCCTGCTTCTGTGCTTCTCGTAGGGAGCGTCTGAGGTCCTCTAATTGAGAATCAGAGCTCTCGACAAGCTCCCGCAGCTCTTGCTTTCGCGCCATTTGAATTTCCTGCAAAGCCCGCTGGAGACCGTCAACCGTTGACTGCTGGGTGTCGCGTTCATCTGTGGCTCGTTCATAAGCATCTCTCAGGCTGCTGAGCTGTTCTTCCAGCTCCCCGACCTTCTCGTTCAGGTTCTCCCGAATAGATCGCTCCTCCATGGCAAGAATTTCCCAATTGTGCATAGCCTCTTTTGCTTGTTCAAACTCCGACTGGAGGTATGACTCTTGCTCGAGCAGTTCTTCCTTCTCCTTCAACCAATTCTGTTGGGATAAGTTCGTCCGTTCCCGAAGAGTAGACAGCTCCTTCTCCTTCTCCGCTGAATCGCCCGATAGTTCCATCAGCTGGGTGGACTTTGAATCGAGCTCATCCTTCAAATTGTTGTTCTCATCTTCGAGGTCTTCGATTTGTGATCGCGCTAGGGCCAATTCCTCCTATAGGGCAAGATTAGCCAAAATAGCCAGAATGATGAATTCTGATCCACGCACTGCATCCTCCTTCAGCCGCTCCCCTAGTTGCGATTTGATGGTATTGACTCGTTCTAGGAGCTTCTGGAACTGCGTTTCCGCTTCTTCCTTTTTGCTCTCCGCGTCGTCCAAATTGTGCTGCAGAGCCTCCATGTCTGCAGTGTGCTTGAGCTGTATTTCTTCCAATGATTTTCGCATATCGGCTACTTCAGCGCGCAACGAGTCGCGATCTCGAACAAGTGCATCGAATCGGTCCTTTGGCTCAATGCCATCGGAAGCGGGGTCGGACTGGACATTGGTTCCCGAGGGGGCATCGCTAGTAGACACGGGCTCGCGGTTACCGACAGACCGATCTGGTAGACTATCTATCGTGTTGGGCTTGGCACCGTTGGAGTCTGGCACTTGTATGGGGTCCTCGTTGGCATCATGGGGCTCGTTCTTGTGAAGTCTCAGTAAAATTGCAATGACGACCAGGGGGATTTCCATCGCATACAGTGTCATTGTGATCGGCTAGTACATCCTCTAGATGCTCGTCGGTTTGGGAGTCGGCTTTGGCTTTTGCAGCCTTCTTCTTATTCTTCTTAGACTTTGCGCCTTTTACGGAGTCAGCGGGTCCCAATTCACAAAAGATATGCCCTTACTTGAAGTAGCCGGCGGCGGGTTTCCTTCACTCATGCTGTGTGTGGTGTTTGAAGAGACCTTGAGGGAGGAAGATGGTGAATTCCCAAGGTTGCAGGGTAAGCTGTCAACACGACTAGCGCCCTTTCCGCCCCGGGGGGGCCCTATGCCCAGATGATTAATCTACCTCCATTCACCTTGTCTTTTTTTTCGATGATATTTTTTATTTTGAATTGTTTATTTGGTCTGTATCTACACATGGTTGGATCTTTCATTCTGTACTTCAGTCTGTATAGGGTACGCTCATAACCCTGTACTATGTACTCTGTAGTTCCCATAGTCTGCCAAGGGAATTCGCCTATGGTGTATCTCCATTGAGGAAGAGTCCTAGAATTCTTCTGCCATTATGAAGGACTTTGGGCGTTGGTAAAGTCCTTTCTCTATCTCATCTGACTTGAAGAGATCTTTTTTCAAAAAAAAAAAAAAGGAAAAAAAAAGAGGAAAAAGAGGAGAAAATAGAGGCATGAAGAGAAAGAAGAGCAGAACTGCTTTGTTGTACTCATATCAGTTGTCCTCCATGGCATGTCGTATGTAGTATGTAGAGGGTATAATTTTCACTTCGCTGGCTGTTCAAGGTAGCACACAAAGAAAGGGTTATCTTCCATTGGAATAGACGGTAATATCCATCACATGAAGTCATCGAGGAAATCCTCATCGCGGTCCTGGTTGTTGCTGCGCTCCATATTCTCTTCTGTGAACATATCGTCATATGCGTGATCTTTCTGCCACTTGAGCTGTTCATACTCTTGTTGCTTTTTCTTTTCCTTCGCACGTTGTTCATCTCGGGCTTTGCGATCACTGCGCTGTTTCCTCTTCGTATCCTCTTCCTTCTCGGCCCGGAGATCAGGAAATTTCTCGATTCGAGTCTTGTTCAGCCGGTTGACGATTGGATTCTCACGCTGCTTCACATAGACCTTGCGGACCAGCTTATGATTGTGGAAAGTGACTTGACCAGCCGCCATTGACCCGTCTTTTTTTAGGTTTGACCATGGTGTGTAGATAATGGTGATATTGTCCTTCTTGTTTCCTTTTCAGAAGTCAGCTTCAACTAGCATCAAATACTTTCCTGTCAAGGACTAACCCTCAATGGAATTCGCTTTTGTAAGCTGGGCGCAATCCTCTAGCAGTGGCTGGGCAATGTTGTCCCATGTTTCGCCTTCTCGAAGGCGCACATAGACATGTGCACTTGACAGATTGTCGACGTGGAACTGCAAGTGTGTAGAGATATTAGGGCAATTGAAGCCATCGCAAGTCGGAGAGGGAAAGACTGACCCTGATGCGCAAGAATATCAGCCCTATAGCTCTATAATTATATCCCGGGGAACATACCAGACATCATTTTCCAATCCATATTTTATGAGATCCTCGTCTGACACTGTTAGAAAACTGATTTCCTAGGTAGATAAGTGGCATACTCTCGAATTTGTCCTTGCCAACATAAATAAAGGCGGAGGGTTGGACGACATTGGATGTGAAGTAGAAGACCATGGCGACAGAATCCAATCCTTCTCACTTTCTTTCAAAATCTGTGGGGAAGTCGGTTCCGAACAATAGATCGGCGCAGGTCAAAAGTTGAAATGGGCGCTGGTGGGGGAAATCTTTATCTCGGCCCCAGGGAACTATCTATGGCTGAGTCAGCAGTATAGATCTCGAAGACAAAGTGAAGTCCAATTCGTCCTGGAAAGGTCGAGATGCAAAGTTGAGAAATTTCAATAGCTGCTTTTTTGTCTAGTCAATTGTAATTGGACTGTTATGTCGGTAGAAGATAGAAACAGCTATATACACACCCGACAAGTGGAGTGATTGCTCATATAAAAAGTAAGAGAAAGAGACCGAGTACACTGTATAAGGTATTGTTTTTGTCCATTTTAATATGGCGTATAAAAACTTCAATCACACGAGATGTCGGAGGGAAGCCCTCACATTTGATACTTGTTGATAAAGCTGATTTCTATGCACGGAAACTGCACTTATGTGTGTATCTAGGATTTAGTAGCTTAAGCATTCAATAGAACAGCTAACAGCAGAGTCAACCATCAGCAGAGTCAAGCAACAATTACACACAAGGACGGATTTGAGCCATTGACGTAAGGCAAATGATACAACTATATTGGCTTCCGCAGTAACTACTACCACATCCATAAATCATTTAACACAATTACTCAATAATCCCATGGCGTGTAGTGACAGTGCCGTTCTAAGATGATCTTGCTCAACCGACGCTGTTCTCACCGAGACACTGGCTCGGGAAAGGTTCCTGCTCCGGTACTTATCAGTTCCAAAGTGACAGCGGTGCCGTCTCTTCGCTAATCCCATTGTAGGCGATTTTAGCTCGGATATGATTTGACAGGCTTCTCCCATCACAGATGCAGGTCTGGCACTTTGCGACCTCCTGCACTTGACATAGTAGGCACAATTGTTGTACTTTGTAGTGAGGATTACGGGGTGTAATTCAAGCTCAGTAAAGGTCATGAGTCTTGGGAGGGTCCTATTGAGGTTGGTAATTTGATATTAGCGAACAGGGTTGGATTGTGTGGAATGACTTGGTCAAGGGAAGTCTCAGACTGCAGAAAGTCAAGAACACCATGCCCTCTAGGTTGAGACTAGGCAATTGTTCCAGTCACCCCAGAGTATCATCAGCCAGAAGATAGGTTCCCTACTCCAGAGCTCAGAGTGTAAAGATAGAGAAAGAAGAAAGAGAGAAGAGAGAAGGGAGAGACAGAGAGACAGAGAGAGAAGAGGTTAAATGGAGAAAGGTGAGACAGGGGAGGCCCTGGGACATTTAGAGTTGCGTGTGTGGACCGTGTTAGACCGTTTTCCAGGCACTTCCCACTTTTCACCTTTTCCGTCTCTTCCTTCTCTGATTCTTTGCCTCTGGGACTTGACTGTCTGATTCCTTGTTTCTCTGTTTCTCTGACCCTTTGACTCGCTGACTCTTGGACTCTGATCCTCTGAGAATATCTGGCCCATTCTGGAGTTGACTAGCAAATGCATACTCTCGGGTATCGGCCATGTTTGGTCCAGAATCCATCGACATCCAAGGCCTTGCACTTCTTCTGGCTTTGAGATAATCATATCCCAGGATTCACGAGTTCCTCAAGCTCGACATCTTTGAAGAAACTGGCGATTATATTGAACGGCCTAATTCAGCTGGTCCGACACAACGGCCTGTGCCGCCAAAACGCATCTGCATCAAGTTTGTCATTTCATATCTGCGACACCTTGCTTCGAAAGAGGTCAATAGGCGAAAGAAAAACAAGGAAAAAAAAAAAGCAAAGGTCCGGGTGTGACCTCGGAGTTCGTTACAGAATGTGATGATGTGGACCGCATGGGAGAGAGGATGACCAGCAATGTTGATATTAGCGAGAACGTTTGAGTTTCGGAGAAACAACCCCTGAGATCAACAGTCCAATTCCGTGACGAAAAGGACTGTCTCGGAGAAGAGTACGGAGTATGTCGGCGTGAACCATTACCGTTCCAAAAAAGAAAAGAAAAGGCCGAAGCGTGAAATCATCGGCCGAGAGCACTTCACCAATTTGAAAATTCGGAAATTAATCACAGGAAACCTAGGAAAGAAACACGCCAAGGCAGGGTTTATATCGAGCTCGGCAATGATTGGAATATGTACTTCGGATATCCAAGTCCCATGAGCCTCAGACCGGAAGGACCGCAACAAGTTCCACTTGATATGCATCGGACATTACTCTGGGGCCCATTAATGCCCTTTTCCTCCAACCGCCATTGGTCCTCACAGCCTACGGCTGTAAGCGACCTCGACCCTTGAACCCTATAACCCATCGACGAATCATCATAGCCTTCGAAACGGTTTCTCCACCGTCTCGTCTTCTTAGACGGTTTAGTTCGATCCTAGCCGGAGCATTAAAATTGGCCGAGAAACCGTTGTGTCAAGCGGCAAACTACAACTCCTGATGTGTCTCCTTTGGGGGGGATATCCAATGGTCCCATTCAAGTCATCTTGGCCTCTAATTGGAAGAGTCCTACTTACTCAAGGTATCTGTTGACTCCATCCGAGGAAAGTCTCGTTCCTGAACCCTCACAGCTTATTACCTTGCTATCGGATGTCACACTTATGAACATAGTCGGACCTGAGCCGGTTTCCCCCCCCTCCGTCCCTCCCTCTCCCGTTGCTCCACACCTGTTCCTATTTAATTGAAAAAAAAAAAAAAAAACATTCGGATTTTCTTGTTTAGTCTTATGCACTCATCTCTTCCACATTCTAGTTGGTCTGAAACCTTTTTCGCTTGCGTCAAGCCCTCGCGCACATCTTCCCTTTTCTCTCAAGTTTCCCTCCCCCCTAAATAAAACCCTCAATTGTGAATTCTATCTTCTTCACTTCTCAAATACAGCACACCCGCATCCCTTGCTGAATACTATCTACCTTCTCTGACAATATGTCCAATACTCCTCTATCTAGAAGCTGGCCGGAGATTCGTCAGGCTCTAGAACACGCTCGAGAGAGCGAAGATGGCCCCGTGAATGCCCAATCCGCCGCCGTCCTGGAGGCTGCGATCACCGAACTCTGGAATCGCATACAGGCCCAACCGGATAGCTACGTACTCACGCCAGACGAGTTCGCCCTCTTTAATTACTTCCTTGCCACGCGCTACCGTGGTTCGCCTGTCGCCCAGAGAGCTGTGGCCCGTTTCTGGAACAATTACCAAGGAGCCTCAAATTGCGATGGCGTTGCCAACTAGCCTTGAGTTTTCTGGTTATCGGTACATGATGTCTGCACTGGCCAAGAGGGTCCATTTTCTTTCCCGGGGTTCCGCAAGATGTCTCTGAAACTGGCGCGGTACAGGGTGTGGGTTCGAGGGTGCCCAATGCCCTGCATCACGGGGCCTACTACCTCAATCTCATTATACTTGCATAGTACATGCTGGTGTTGGTACTGGTACTGGTACTGTTAACCTATGCCATCCCAGCTTCGAGCGGACCTGAAATTATAGAGCCAACACCGAAACCAGAGTCAGATCCTGGGATATCTCGCTTCGCTTCCCATGTGAAATCTGTGCGAACATGAAGAGGGTCCCTCGACAGTCCAAGACGAGAAAGTGATGGACTCGGGATTTGCCTCAAAGGTCAATGGGATTGGATCCAGTCTAAGTGGCTTTGAATATACGGCAGATCCAGCAAATCCAACCGATTTTCCTGGTCACACCCTTCTCAGTTCTAGAGAAAATGGTGTGATGACGGCATGCATGTCTGTTCATTCTGGCCTCTGCGATATTGTACAGGGAATAAGTGTGGCCATGATCCCTGTCTGGATTGGGACACCGTACATGCGTCGGGCTTCTACGCAAAAACAAAAAAAGAAAAAAAAAAGGGAAAAAATAGGAAAAAGAGGGGAACCCAATCTATGGGAGAACGTAATGGGCTTAGAAAATAGATATATATATATATATATATCTATACATATGTATAATCTAGTTAAAATAACTCATTAGAGATTAGGCGGATATTTTACTATATTTACTAGTTAGCTACCGGGTTATAATATATATATCTCTCTCACCCCGCTTTGACTGTTTTTTATTTTCATTCATCTCTATATATTAGCCAGATTAGGTAGTTTAGGCCATATGGTGTCACTAACGGCTAGGTGACATTACTAGCTGCAGCCAATTCCCCGAGGCCCCAGGGGTATCACCCGGCTGCGAGTCATTCATTAGTGCGCCTGAGCCACTGTTAGCCCGCTGTTAGTGTCTACCTTTCCATATATCCACATATGTTCTTGGCTTTCCCTTGCCGCCCCCCCTATTTTAAGTCCCTCGGCTTTTTTTAAAAGAGAAAATCATTCTTTTGTAGGCCCCTAAACGGCTTCAGTGTTTCCTAATGATAATGACGTAAGCTGACATTGGAGGCCCGTATCAACATATATGTACTCCGTACATATATATACAAATTGTATACATTGTATACTTTGCATAGCCAACCTGAGCCCTCAGTGATTTTAGCAAGATCACGTGACAACAGGGGTATTACCAGATACTATCTCGTGTGTTCATACTATCTCGGGTAAAGATGTTACATTGAGCCTTAGGGGCCATGATTCTTGAAGACAAATTGGACGAGTGAAATCGAGTCGTATTCTTTCTCCGCGCCCATCATCCCTGTCCAATAGGTGTCGTCATTCATCTTCCCTGCCATTTCCGAACTATACGTTGCCCCAGGGGAATCCCTGATATATGGCACATGTCCATTTGGTCGTTACATAGGAGCAGCCGCAGAGGCTTAATGATGCGTGCGTCGTCTATACAAGAAAGACCGTGCAGGAGAATCCAATTTATTCATATGCAATGCAGCTGGATAGTTCTCTGCGACTGATGTTCCTCGTGTCTCCAACCGCGCTAATCCTGTGTGCCCCAAGTGTCAGTGCCCATTGACCCCCCCCCCCCCCCAAAACCAAATCAGATTTTCTGTAGCCGTGAGACTGCCTCAGTATAGGGAGTTATCAGCACATGAGAAGCTGCCTCCCCCAACACCCTCGCGAAGGTTGTGAAAAATCGACCGAATAGACGAATACAACCCGACAATGCACTGGCAACCTAAGTTAATTCAATCCAGCATATCAAAGTAGAGCGCAACTCACGATAAGGAATCCAAGTAATATCAGAAAGACATTGAAGCAGAACAGTACCTTCTGCTGCCGGGTCAGGAACCAACAGCTCCGGTTCAAGTAGAGCCAAAACAGCCCAGGTAACCCAAACGAGAACCAACTAGCAAATAAGGAGCTCTAGTAGGAATCATTAGAACTTGCGGGCTAGGGCCATGGTCAGACAAGGTGCACAAACCGCAAGCCCTAGCACATCGTTGAAGATCGGTATTCCCTCGGCGATAACCCACGACAAGATCCAAAGTGCTGCACATATCATAGCCCACACTAACCGCGCCATGAATGACTGGCTATGCATTGAGGTGGTACCTCGAAACACACGAACATAAATGAACTTGACAGCAACATGGGCGTTCACCACACCCCCGATCACAATCTACCTACTGCTTAGCTCCTATGCGAAAAAAAATCTGCAGAAAGGTACGTACCGTAGGTATAGCAATTCCATAAGAAACCTTGCGGAACAATTGCCCTGCAGAATTGAGAGCAGGTGAGTTAACCGTCGGTCCAATATAGGCATATATCACAATAGCAGCCACCGTATACAAGATCATTTCACTCATCTGCAGAAGCGCCAGAGCCTTTGGGAAGTCCTTGAGCTCCTTGAGCTCAGAGAAAAGGGTGAAGAATGCAACATGTCCTGCGTACGCAAAGATGATGTTTGCAATAGCAAGGCACGCATCATGCACTTTTGGCGGAGTTGAAAAGGCCGGGACATGCACCGGTCCGTCCCTGACAAGGGTGACCCCAATCATACCAGTCAGGACCGCTCCGACAATACTGACAAAGCTCACGGACGAGATGTGAGAAAGCCTTTCGAGTCGCCGTGGAAGGGTCAACGTGAAGGAGGCGATTAGACCGATAACCGAGAAGATAATGGTGCAAGACGAATGTCCGGTGAGGACATTCATCATGATCGAAAAAGTGAGGACATGGCTCCCCATCACCAACACAAAAAAGATGATCTGGCCCACGTCTAGTGTACTCCGTCCGAGCCTTCCCATCACCAGATCACCAGCATCAGCCATGCTGTGTACTTGCACATGGCGGCATTTGAATTGCCCAATGGTATACGCAGTATAGGTCGAGATAATTCCAACCCCAAGAATGGCTAGGATGCCGCTGGATAACCAGGTTAGCTCTGCTGTTGCAGTGGATGGGGAAGAGATCGTACGGAACAAGACCTAATATCGCAAGCGCTTTGGGCAGGGCGAGAATACCAAGGGAGATGGTCTCCGCAATCATGACTGGCCAGGTCGGTTAGAGAAAGCTGGGCAATATGTAAGACATTTAGACTTACTCATCCCAGCTTGCCTGTTGAAAGGATGAGTTTCACTCTGCCTGTGAAAGAAGGAAACACTCACCACCACGCCATGGTCTTGTACTTCACGCCAGTTTGGCTTTCATCTCCAAATGGATCCTGTTCCTCTATCTCAGGCTTTGGTACAGAATCTTTCTCTGAATCCACGTGCTTTTCAGAGCCCAGTGAAAGGTCAACATCAGATTGATTTGGCTTCATTATGTGTGACTGACAAAATGACAACAGGGGAAAACCGAGAAATCCGAAAAACTTGAAACTACTAGCAAACTCAGTGGGTAGCACTTTCCGAACGGTCTCTATTTTTGGGGGGATTCCTTTTTGAAAAGCGTCATGTTTTCAGAGATTTGAGATATCTTTCAAAGTCACCTAGTTGAAAGTATCACGGAAAATCGAATATTAGAAGAATAAGGGAAAAGAAAACGCTTCTATTTATACAAGCCCGCTCTATATATAACACACACCTAATTGAGCGTGACTGTTGATGCAGGAGCAGGAGTAATAGCACGCACGTCACTCTCAATCATGTCTGCGGGAGGTTCTGGGATGGTCAGCACTGTGTTCGATATTGTGTAGAATTTCAAAGCATACCGTTACGAGAGAAAGTCGCACGCTCGGCATCATCAACCTGCTTAACACGACCGCTCTGGACATCACTGCGGGAGAGGCCCATGAAGTTCTTGGGCAGACCCATTGATGAGAGGTAAGTCAAGGATTCCTTCCACTCGAGATCTTTGCGGGCGGTAGTCCACTCCAATTCCTCGCCCATGGTGTCAATCACGGTGGGAAGGGCCTCGAGGGCGGCCTCGGCGTTCAGGAAAGCCAGACGAGTGCGACGGGCGATCACGTCGACGGCAGTCTGAGCATACTCGTGACGGACGGCGTAGCGGATCTCGCCATCAACGAAGGGGTACATGGGGGAGATGCGACAGCCGCGCACAGGGAAACGTTCACTGGTAGGGGAAGACAAGGCAGCGACCTGCCATGAGCGGTCACCGTAGGACTCAGTGAGGTGCTTGGCCACATCGGTCTCAAGACCAAAGTGCTGGATAAGGTTGATGAAGAGAGTCTTGGAGAAACCGTGGGCGCCGATGAGGCGCACCTGGTGGGTCTGGCAGCTACCGTCGAGAACGGCACCGTCAGCAACCAGGCCACTGCCGCCGACACCACTGATGTCGGGAAGGCTAGTAAGATGGCGAGGCTTGAGCTTAAACACGTCAATCGCCTCGTCTACGGCCTCCTCGGCCATCTGGCGGTAAGTAGTCCACTTACCGCCGGCGCAAGTCAACAGTCCCGACGGAGAGACGGTCACCAGGTGATTTCGGACAAGAGCCTCCGAGTTCTTCACCTTGGGATCGCGCACCAGGGGGCGAATACCAGACCAGGCAGCAAGGACATCGCTTCGATCCACGGTGATATCGGGGGCGATGTAGCCACGAATTTCTGAGAGGATCCAGTTGATATCCTTCTCAGTGGGCTGGGGCTGGGCCTCAATCTCACAAGGCTGGTCAGTGGTACCAGCGATGGTGTTACCCTGCCATGGCAAGAAGAAGATCACACGTCCATCCGATGTGGAAGGATCGATTAGACCCATGTTTGAGGGGCTGAAATAGCCAGGCAGGATGATGTGGACACCAGCACTGGGGGCCACAATCTCCTTGACACTGGGCTCATCCATCTTGCGGATGGAATCACAGAAGGGACCAGTGGCGTTGATGATACCCTTGGCACGAATGTTGAACTCCTTGGCGGCCTGGCCATCTTTCTCTGCAATGATGTCCTTGGCGCGCGCACCGCACAGCTTGCCCGACGCATCCTTGTTCAGTCCGGTGACCTCCAAGTGGTTCACAACGGTGGTACCGTAGAGTGCAGCAGTCATGGCGAGGGAGACGTTCATGCGGGAGTCGTTGTGTGCACCATCTTCAGTCGGAAATTAGCCTAAATTCGTTGCTTTGCAAGATCGTTCACTCACCATAGTAGACCATTGCTCCAATAATGTTGTCACGCTTCAACATGGGGAATGCATCAATGGCCTTACTCTTGGTCAGGAAGTACGAGGTCTCAATGCCCTCGGAACCAGCCAAGAAGTCATAGGCCTTGGTGCCGGCCCAGAAATAGGGAGCCTGCCACCATTTCTGAACAGGTACCATGATTGGCAGCCATGACGACAAATGAGGAGCTGTGTTTAAGAAATATTTGCGCTCTCTGAGAGCCTCCTTGACCAGCGCGTATCTGCGGTGCGATTGTTAGCAGGGAGATCCAAGTATGCGGTGATTTTGACCCGAAAGATTTCCAAGAAGAGAAGAGGAGGGGAAAAAAAATAGAGACGACTGTGAAAACTGACTGGTTGTAATCCAATTCCCAAAAGGCTTTTTCGAGGTAACGGACACCACCGTGTACCAGCTTCGTACTCTTACTACTGGTACCCGCACTGAAGTCATCTCTCTCCACCACCGCGACCTTTAGGCCTCGGGTGGCGGCATCTAGTGCGATACCAGCTCCAGTAGCTCCAGCGCCAATGATAAGCAGATCATATTCTTCCTCGTCCTCACTGCGCTTGAGGTCCTGAATCTGTTCGAGGCGGGACTTAATTGAAGGGAAACTGGGTGGGACCAGCTTGCCTTCACGATAACCTGGTGGGGGAACGGCGGGAGCTTCAAGGCCCGGAATATTTCGCGGACGGTAAGAAATGTAGAGAACACCTGCTCCTGCAGCGGCGGCCGCGGATGTGTAGAGGAGAGGTCTCAAGAGCTTGCGCGAGTGCCGAGCGGCCATTATTTGCAGGTTTCAAATATATGTGATATGTTTAAATGTTCAAATGTGCCAATGTTTTTGGGGGGGTGATGAAATATGTGCCAAAGGAGAGAGACAGGAGAAAATTGGGAGAAGAGAGGAGAGGAGAGGATTGAGAAGTTGAGAGGTACCGAAGGGAAGAAAGACGAAAGGCGGGAAGACCCAGGAGCTATGAGAATTTCCCTTTTTTTTTTTCCTCTCTTATTTTTAACTATAAACTTGGATATTATCTATCTCTGAAAAGGCAAGATTTGCGATAATCTCTCCCTGAGGTACTCGATACCTGATCGCTACACCTTCCACTACGAATGTAGGGGTGTCACGAGTACAGAGCTCTCTGCGTCATGGCGATTGGAGCATCTTGGCAGTGGATATGGGCTACGTTCCCATGCGCCTCTTCTTTTCCCATTCCACCAATTGGCTTCAAGTGGGAACTTTCCCATCCGGATCTCTACTCCGACACATGACGCGAAGAAATTTCCTTGAATTACCCGTCAGCATCCTCTTCGGTTTCTCCCAATGGTTTGGTTAAGGATCAAAATGCATTCCGGCATATCGGGAAGCCGATTCTGCATGCGGTCAGTCCATTCCAGGCCGCGTTTTGATCTTCGGGACCGCAGATCTACCTCAAAGGGTCTGGACTCGATCAATCTCTTCGCGGCCACCTGACCGGGAAGCTCCATGAATATGGACCAGTCACAGACTGCCATATTGCCCCAGCCGGCCCAGGGGGGGCCCCGTTATGAACGCCTTGTTTGGATCTACTCCACTAGAATTGTTCAATTCCCCTTGTGAACGGAGGACGGGGCACGATGTACATATATCCTTATCCTGTCTTGATGGCCCCCACTGGTCCACTGGAGAGAATTCCTGTTTTGGTCAAGAATGTTATCATCGGTCTTTGCCGTAGAAGATTCATGAAATATGGACTTGAATGAGGCTCTTCTTTCTAGAAAATCTTAAAAATAACTAAGTCCTTGCGCAGGTGGATATGATCTTCACTAGTCCCTTATCCTGGTCTCGATATTATACATATGTACTATGAACCATTATAGAAGTATACTAGCTTCATTAAAAAAAAAGCGTTTCTTGATGCAACACACCAGAGATTGGGTAAGAAAGATACTTTTGAAGATCAAAAGTTCATCAAATAGGGGCATTGATACATTGATATCATCCTGAGGACATCTGTTGCAGAGAACATGTGTCAATCAGAGATAATAGGTAACTAGTTAACTAACTAACTAACTAACTAACTAATTAATGTGCATAGCATAATTACATAATATGTCGCATAACATCATGCACAATTCCCAATGTTCACCTCAGTGCACTAAGCGGGAATAATTCCGCGGTGCGGAACATCCTCGGCTGAGTATGTACATCGCCAGTCTACGAGACCTGGCAAACGACCTGGCAATACTGGGGTAATGTGGGGTAAAAAAGACATGGAATCATCGCGGCTTGAATGGCCTTGACAACACGGAAATGTTCCATTTGGTGGACCCTTAAGACTGTAATCTGCCTCGACTTATATATATCCCCCTCTGGTAGGTTACTTACGTGCTAGTTATGTTTGTATAGTCTTGCCAAAAAGTCCATCCATTTCCGCCATGGCCATCGCCGCTGTCCTGGCATCGTTACAAGGTAGCGTGATTCAATATCCCTATCACTCGATAGCCGCCGCAGCCCTCTTCGTTCCCATCCTCTATGTCATTCTTAATGAATTCATCCGAGATGCCGCCCGCGTAAAGGGTATGAAGGGCCCGCGCGGATTGCCGTTGATCGGAAACCTGGCGCAGATTCGCACAAATGCCGCGGAACAGTATCGCCTCTGGTCGAAAAAGCATGGCCCCGTTTATCAGATCCAGCTGGGAAATATCCCTGTCGTCGTGGTCAACTCTGCTGCGTCGGCAAAGGTGCTTTTCAGTCAAAATGCGCAGGCATTGAGCTCCAGACCTGAGACTTATACTTTCCACAAGGTTCGTTATCGGAGTTATGCCATGTAGCTGACTGTTCTCTTTTTCCCCTTTCTTTTTCTTTTCTTTTCTTTTTGTCTTGTATCACCGACACTGATGATCATCTCGGTTAGATTGTTTCCAATACCGCTGGAACGACCATCGGTACCTCGCCCTACAGTGAGTCCCTGAAGAGACGCAGAAAGGGCGCCGCGTCGGCTCTCAACCGCCCCTCTGTTGATACGTACGTGTCACACCTAGACATCGAGTCCAAAGCCTTTGTGGAAGAGCTGCACAGATATGGAAACAACGGGAAGACACCCGTCGACCCTATGCCCATGATCCAGCGACTGAGCTTGAGTCTGGCGTTGACTCTCAACTGGGGCGTGCGTATCGCATCCCAAGAAGAGGACTTGTTTGATGAAATCACCGAGGTGGAAGAAGAAATCAGTCGGTTCCGAAGTACCACCGGAAACCTGCAAGATTATATCCCTCTTCTGCGGTTGAATCCGTTTAGCTCCAACTCAAAGAAAGCTGCCGAGATGAGAATTCGTCGCGATAAGTATCTCGGTGCGCTCAATAGGGACTTGGATGATCGCATGGCAAAGGGGACGCATAAGCCTTGTATCCAAGCTAATGTTATCCTGGATAAGGAGGCGAAGCTCAATAGTGAGGAGTTGACGTCGATCAGTTTGACTATGCTTTCTGGTGGTCTTGATACTGTCACCACTTTGGTCGCATGGAGTCTGGGGTTGCTGGCTCAGCGTCCCGATATCCAGGATCGGGCAGCCAAGGCCATTCGGGAGATGTATGGCGAGGATGAGCCCATGTGCTCGGCTGACGATGATCAGAAGTGTGCTTATATTGTAGCCCTGGTCAAGGAATGTCTTCGGTATGTTCGGGTTTTGCCAGTGAACCATGGAGGAACGTTTGAACTAAACCACAATGTCCTTAGGTTCTTCACCGTGCTGCGATTGGCACTTCCTCGCACCTCGATCAAGGATATCACCTATAAGGGAATCGTTATTCCTAAGGGTACCGTGTTCTTTTTGAATGCTTGGGCATGCAACATGGGTGAGTCTTGACATCCAATAGAATTAGAAGAGACATCTAATTTTTCATAGATCCCGATGTGTGGACTGACCCGGATGAGTTCCGTCCCGAGCGTTGGCTCGAGCAGCCCGACGCGCCTCTCTTCACATATGGTATGGGCTACCGGATGTGCGCCGGTTCGCTCTTGGCCAATCGTGAGCTTTACCTCGTCTTCATCCGCACCCTCAACAGCTTCCGCCTCGAACCACATGACCAGACAGACTGCCATCCTCTACGGGGCAACTCGGATCCGACAAGCTTGGTGGCCATTCCTCAAAAGTATAAAGTCCGTTTTGTACCGAAAAATGAGAAGGTTCTGTCGAAAGTCCTTGCGCAGTGAATGGTGCCACTTGGTCTAATCAGATTGGGAAGGTAAACTTCTGCACAGAGGCAAATACGTCGAGGGTTGATGGGTTGATTTTCTGGCAGTCTTGGACTCGAGCTTGCGCTTGTATCTCGGATCCATACAGCTGGTGTCAAGGGAATGAGGCGTGGTTCCTCCCCGGTTGAGTCAGGACACACCTTAAGGTGTCGTGGGGACTTTCCCAAGTCATGTATACCCCAAGCTTGGGCTCTCGGAATGATTTTCTTTACGATTGAAGTTATTGAAGATGTATTACATGTTTCCAATGTCCAAAATTCATTAATAGGCAATCTGGTAGACAACCCATGACATCCAACTCCAGTGATATAGATAACAGTTGAGGGGGGTATAAGTTCACGAAGACAGTAAAGAAACAAAACCACAGTTTATCTTTTTCCAACACCTGATTTCCATGCAAATTATCATGTATCTGTGACGTCCAAACAATTTTCGAGAATTGACATTAGGTGGTCGTCATACGTCGTTTCAGGTCGCGCACTTGGTCAAAGCAAGATGCATAATCCCGTAATTCATCTTGGAGTCGGTCGGCCACATTCGATGGATTGCTCTTTAGTGACGAGAGGGAGGTTTGGGATGAGGAGACCGATAGGTCTGTATTGGCGACTTGGGCTTTGATTTCCGACCAATGTGTAGATGCCGTACTCGATCTTCGTGTTCCAGATATCTCGTCTAGTTCCGCTAGACGGCACGTTTGGGAGCAGTAGGGAGCACCCAAGGTCTGACGATCACAGACCAGGCAGAAATCCAAAGACCATTCAGTCATTGTGGGAGAAGTTTTTAGCCAGGTAATAGTCCAGGGAAAGAGTATATAAGAAAAAAAAATTCAAATAAAAAGAAGTCAGCCATCATGCCATTTAGATGTTCAAGCCGTTGCGGGGAAAGATAATCGCGCAAAAGTCCAGGGAATTGTTGTGCTTAGGGCGCTTAATCAAAATATATACATTACAGCTATACATATACAGAGATACAGAGATACAAGATTCGGAAGGGTAATGGTAATATGGGTTTGACGGTATATGTCTCAATATAATATATACATAGATATATACATATGTTATGTATAATTTACGTGTAAATCAGTTGCAAATCTGCAGGAACCTCGAACTGGATATGAATTTCCCGCGCTAATTCCTCCACTGATCGAGCTCACCAATCATCTTCACTGCGAAGAAAAAGGGGAATGATCGCGAGTCTTTTCGAGATCTTCTGATGGCAACAGGTCACCCGATGCCCGACTGTCCCCCATGATAGGCTGGAAATTCGTCGTTCGCTTGGGTTTTGATTGGTGTCGATATGAGAGTCAAATACTTCTGCATTCTCATAATATGCATCATTGTCTGCCCGATAACATGGGCAAGATAAGCCCGGATATATTGAGCCAATAAATGGTCCCAACGTCCCATTAATGAAGATCAGGGTGTTTCAGCTGGAAGTCCTCAAGAAAATACGGAGTACGTCACTGGCCCTGATTCACTCGCCAGTTTTCTCATGTGGCTCAGCTGGAATGCGAACCAGCGTGGATGGGAGATTACGCGGGTTCGCCACATTCTTACTATCCGACTGAGGTTCGTAAAGTCCGCCTGCTTTGCCTATTACATCGAGAAAAAAAAAAATCAGTATCGAGAATAATATCGGGGGAGAAAGAAGACTGACTCGAGGCGAGAGTGATGGCCCTAAGAACGTTATCCCAGTTGGAAAGCACGCAGGCAACAGCTTCAGGTACAGTTAGCGCAAGCCGAATCAAGGGATGTGTGAGATAATGGGACAACCTTCGGTGCCATCTTTCAGAGTTGAGATCTTGTTATCCAAAGCTTGCATCTGAATCGCCAAGGTTCCACTGAGATCACGTAGTTGTCGCAAATTCTCTAGCTCGGCCTTTTTAGCTGCAATGCGGGCCGATAGCGCCGAAGATTGATGCGATTGTGAACTGGAGCGGATAGATGAGCCAGCACCTGGAAGCATTGAAGTTGGTCGTGAGGAGTATGCCATGATGAAACTGTAGAAGAAGCAGGTACAAGGTAGAGGGGGATGAAGAAGTCTCTCCAACTTCTCCCCGTACCTGGGGACGAAGCCATCGGTACAGCTGACTCATCCAGGCCAAGCCCAAAGTGGACAAACGTCAACATGGGCTTGGCATCCGTCGCTGTTTACCTTCTCTCTTTGTGTTCCCTCAACTTGACCCCCTCCACACCCACAGTCATTTCCTGGTGTGTGATCTGTGGACGTACTATCAAGTTCAGGTTCATTTCATCTACACACTAGGATTGTCTTTTATTTCTTACTACGCAGTGGGTGCTGCTCCCGACCTGCACACCATGGCTCGGTTGAATGACTACCCGGCTCCTGCTGAATCCATTGATGCCTGTAAGTTCACACAATATACCACATGACAAGATTTGAACTAGCAGTTGACATTTATCCTTTGTTTTCATATTCAGTGAAACGACGATTTGTGCGACAAAACCGTGAGATCGCAAGGGTGAATTCCTTGCAGTCTCTTCGTATTCGGAGCCTAGAGTCAGAGGTATCGCATCTGCTTTCGGAGAATGTGTCGCTTCGAAAACAGGTTATCAATCTCACCCAGGAAACCGAAAGACTGGAAGCAGGGAAGCTGCTGCACAATGGAATCTACGACATCAAATCCAAATTGGATGCCAAACTAGCCGAGTTGAGCAATTTGGCAGCAGATTTGGGCTCCTTACCCCGAAAGGTGGGCAAGCTTTGTGACCAAGAGTTTGATCGTCCCAAGCAAGCAGAGTCGAGACCGAGGACAGAAGAAATGGTGGGAGGCGAAGATGGAAGGCTTCCTGCTATCGTTGAGGACAAATATTACCCTCGGCGGACTTTGGAGTGAGCACCCTCAAAGATGCTCAGGCCACTTCTTGGTTACTAACACCCTCTGTAGGCCCCAAGAGCTCGACAGCCTGTCTCACAGCGATCACAGCATTTTAGATTCTCCCCCGCAATTCAGCTTTATGCCCGGGGAAGGAGATGCATCCATCGAACATTCAAGTCCATCGCCACCAGAATCAATATTCAGGAGTCAAATTAACAACGACATGCCCGAGGAACCCGAGTCTTTACTTCCACCGACTCTCGAGACACGCAGAAAGAAAAAGAAGTCCAGTTCGATTATTGCGCCTGAGATTAGCCCCGCGCCAACAGGCCGGCAACCAAGCCCACCTGTTGATACAAGACAACACGCAGTATCGGGCTCAACGAAACGCAAATACATACCCGAAGACGATGACCAGTTCACGTCCAATCTTAATGTCGATGACGATGAATTCCAATTCACCCGGCCCACTCAGAGCCCAAAAAGGCAAACGAATCCATTCGAAGATACACAGCGAAGCCAATCGCCCACCAAGAGCCATGTTGAATTAACAAGAGGTTCAAAACCCCCGGTACTGTCGATGCGGAAGGTCCTCGAACCAAGTATGTCCTGCTACATTGTAATTCCATCCCCTCAATATAGCTAACAACCGGCACAGAAAGTGCGAATTCCAATCTAGGCTCCCCAAAGAAGGCTCGCATGTCCTCATACCAGGACTCTAAGCTTCTACAAAGCTCTACGAAGGGTGATGAAAATAAGAATTCGCCACAGAAAGTCAAGGATGTCGAAAATATTGGTGGGAAGACTGTCACCCAAAAGCCGCGTCTGGCCAGAATCGCCCCTTCAAGCAAAGAAAAACGCAGCAGCCGCCCTGCCCCTCCCCAGCTGGAAGAGTCAGCTTCACACCAGCCAGCACTATCACCTCACCCGAATGCAATGAATACAGAAGGAGAGTCTGCGACTCGCCCTTCCCGACGTCGTGGAGCTGTGGTTAGCTATGCAGAGCCTAACCTACGGGACAAGATGCGCCGTCCTACCAAGGAAATGATCGATGCTGTTGCACTTGGATCACGAAGGTCTTCCAGTTTCCAGGCAGGTCGGGAAAGTTTGGACGGCGGAGAGGGTGGCCACACCCAGCCTCATGGCAGTCTCCCTGCTGATTTCACTCTTGCCACCCAGAGCTCGGATCTGTTCTCCGTGGATGGATCTTCAGAACAGCTGCTAGCAATGGTCTCCCGGAGAAAGCGTAAGGTGTCGTCGGCTCCAAAGGACGACAACAACTCCGGGGACCCAAGCTCTAATATCAAAAAAGAAATCGAGGACAGTCTCGCAGATATCTCTGCCCAAGTATCTCAAGAATCATTGGGTTCGAGGCGTCAGACTCGACGTCACTCGTCAAACCCCAGAAGTACAACCGCAAACATGGCACAATACGAGGTCGACCAGGCTGAACTACAATCTCCAATCGGCGACCCTCTAGAAGATGAAGACTCATTTGGACCAGGACCAAACGGTTCTACAATGGACTTGAGTCAAGTCAGACGTGGCCAACGCGTTGCTGCAAGGAGAAAAAGCATGATGGTGTGATTTTCATTTTAGCGCTTGCAGAAACAGGATTTTTCTATCCTTCGCCTATGTACAATCATTATAGACCGGACCGGGCTGCAGTTATGTTTCAGATACCCCCCCACTGCGATTCCGATCTTCTCAATACAAATTTCATTATCTTATCTACCTCACTGTACATGTTTCAAGTAGGCCAAGTAGCCCTTTTAAGGCCCATTCAACCGCGTCACACGCAGCGCGTCATCGACGGATTGGGCATGTCCTTCACTTGGCTCCTTGATCATGCCATTGTACATTTTTCTGCACGCCACCGGATGAGATGTCTCTATCCAAGCGTCGTACAAATGTCATACATGCCGCGCATAGATCTAGGTCCTTCACAACTCACCAATGGAAAAGGTACAATATACGACCCCAGCCGGGGTGATTTGTACGACTGTGAATCAGGCCCCAAATCCAAGCCTCAGGGTTTGCCTAGTTCCCATGTCGTTGCCTTGTCATGCATTGTCTCGCCACATAGACAATTAACTCCCCCACTGGCCTCAAAAAGCAGGTCAAGTACCCCGCGCATGGATTTGATTTTGATTTTGATTCTTGGACGGCTTAGGCATCTTCTCGTATGCATTTGGACTCGGCTTTCTGCGCTTGGTTTTCGGCTTAGATCTGTGGTCCTCGGGGCGACACCCTTCATCAGGGTGGGACGTGTGATCGCCGTGCGCTCCATTGTGTGAGTGTGTGTGGCGGGCCCGGTTGACTCTGGCAGTGCGACGATCATCTTCACTCTCACTGTCACTCTCCGATGAACTAGATGAGGACTCTTCTGAGCTACTTTCTCCTACTGGCCGGGCTTTGTGGTAGATGCAGCATACTGGTGGCGGTTAGATTGTTGCCAATGCGAGGAATCATGAGGGGGTAATTGAGAGCAATAGAAAGATACCTTTTGAGCTCTTTTTACCCAGGCCCTCATTGTCGACCACATCTTCACTCCATCTGATTCGCCGAGAAGATGATGTTTCTTCGCTGGTGTCAGTTGGTGCTTCCTCTGCTCGTAATCTGAGGGTAGCGGGAATGCGGGCTGTTAAGGAGTCTTGTGCAGTCTCTGTGGCGGTTTGAAATGAATTTGACGCTGGCTGGCGTGTTCGAGACATTGTGATGGGGATAGAGTCGAGTCAGGTCAGAGAGGAGAATGCAACGATCATTTTGGCTACTTTTGATGATGCAATCGATAAGGGTTCACCGCCTTTGGTCGGATCTCCCGATGCCCACCAGGGCAGTGATTCAGCATACCTGCCGCCATATATAGGCCTGCATCAAATCAACTTAGCTAGGCATTGATGTGTATCTACTATCTGGTATAAAGGCTCAACAACATAAGACTCAGCCTGCCCCAAGTCTCATCTCATCAAATCTCTTGGTCTAAAATTTACGAATGGTCCACTTCACATCTTTGAATTGGAGAATTTTTTTTTTGATCATTTGACTTTCAAAGGCTATCGAACAAGATCGCGCCTCGGATGGGCGAGGTACACGTAGGATGAAAAGGGTAAGATCCGTTCCGTGAAGAGAGCTGTGATGCACCAACCTCAAAGAACCCGCTCAGCCAGGGAATAGGTCTATCTCACATGTCCGATAGCCAACCAAGGGGGGATAAAAAGAAAAGATAAAAGAATAGATTCACACACATCTTTCCAGAGCGATCCTATGTTGCAGTGACACATGGCTTCCCATAACCTAGAGCTCGTAGAAGGACCAGCCATCAAGGCCGTCATCGCGGGAGGTCAACCTTGTTTCTTGCTCATGTCGAGGGGGACCAATAGAGGCAGCAACAAACTCGGTGCGCAGTTCTTGATCCAGTCATAGCTCATCCTCCTGGTCCATTTCCGATGGCTTCAACAGACCTCCGACCTTCATGGCTCGGTCGCGTTCAGCGACTTGGGCGTCACGTACCGCCTGTTCCCGTTCTTCCGCATACAGCTCCGCGTTATCATCGGAGAACTCTTTCAGAGAAATCAAGAAGTCACGAAGGTGAGTCTTGAATTTGTTCAGGTCATCGGTGTATGCAAACAGTCCAAGAACAAACTGCTTGATTTGGGCTCTGGGAGGGGAAAAGTCAGTATGGTCTAGCATGGTTTTCAACTGACGGGGGAGTAAGCTTACTCCTGAAGATTACTAAATGCATTCTTGAGCAGATTTGCGATGTGCTCCTGCAAGAACTCCTTGTTTGAAGTTCCAGCCGGGGCTTGATCGGGGGAATAGATGGGCTCCTGGATCTTGCCGGACTCCACGAAGTAGAACATGCGCGACAAAAGCATGGCTTGGGATTTGAATCCTAAAATATCACATTGTAAGCTTATTGCTTCATGTCGAGGACATCAAGGAAATTACTTACCAGCCTTATGGTCACTATCCGTCAGGACAAAGAAGACGTCCTGAAGAATTGGAATATAGAACTCGCGGAAGAAAATGCTCGAGGTTTGCTGATCAGTTTCCGCCATGTTGTTCATCAGCTCCAGACACATTGTAAGGCCGGTGTTCTCGACTTCGCGGTTGTCATGCTTCGAGGCCCACATGCATGAATCGATAACAAACTTGAACTGCGCAGCATCGAGCTTCAGGAGTGCCTGGAAGCAGTATAGATTCACAGCTTGAAGCAATTTGAAGAACTCGACCCGGTGCTCAGGGTATTCGTGGAAATCCTTATTGATCATCTCAAGAGTGCAGTTGAAAACACTGTCCATGATAGCTGGGATCTTATCCTCCATCAGGTTCTAATTGCCTCGTTAGCAGGGTGCACGTACGCAGATGTGCCAAAAGGTCCAATCGCCTAGCGCAACACAGCAGCAGGGATCAGGGACTTACGTGAAGCTTGTGGATTATCGTAGTCATGGCATTTAAGACCTCAGCCTCGCGTGCATCGGGGACGTTCCGGGCATAATCAATCAGTACAGCCTCCATGAGCGGCGGTACCATGCTGGCATTGACCATCTCAAGGTCGTCTGATTTATCCACATAGGTATCGATGAGCTTCAAGATTTCTTTCTTGATGGTCCGAAGTCCTCGGACCTTGGGGGTTTTCGGTGCGATGGCTCCTGTTTGTGTGTCAGTAAACAAAAGTTCGGGCTGTTCATCAACGGCAAATCGGATTCATTACCATCACTCGCAACAGCATCATTAATCAGTTGGCTAGCAGCACGGTACATATTCAACATGTCGTGATAGATTCGGCCAATCTGAGAGTAAAAGTAGGTGCCAATTGAGGAGCAAGCCGCGACATTAGTCTTCATGATGTTTCCGACGATCTTGATGGTGTTGGCGTCTTGAAGAATCGCCGGGTTTTGGTTTGCCTCGGCGATAATCTGATCCCAGGCGGTGTTAGGGAGAGCCATCAAGTTCTCGGTCAAGCGGTCTTGGAGACCCTTTTGGCCCTGGGCTGAGATCATGTAGCCACAGGCTTCGTAGAAAGTATGGATCTGTTGCGGTGAGAGATCCATGGTGATCTTTCTCATATTTCGGACAATTTCTTCAATAAAAGGTTCACTTTCACCGGGCTGGAGTGCCACGAAATGCCGTCTGCACTTGTTAGCGATCTTGATGAACGTGTCACAAGCCATGTCTTGGACACCTTCGTGTGTTTCGTGCATAAACTCGAAGAGCTTATTGACGACCGTCTTCAGGAACTTCCAGTGGGCCTTCAAGAACCGGGGATATTGTCCCACAATGTACATGATGTTACTCGCCACCACGGCTTTGTTGTCCTTTCCACGCTTCTGCTCTGTGAGGCCAAGGAGATCCTTGATTACGGTTACCAGGAACCGTTTCTCGGTTTCCTCATTCATGGCTCCAGAGATAGAACCGATAGCCCAGCACAGCGTGTTGCAGTTCACCCACGACCATTCACTTCCATCAACTTGCTTGGCGAGTTTGTCAATCATGATGGTCTCCGTATCAACCACATCGAGATGGGTCAGGTAGACTAAGCACTCGCGTATCGTCTTGTAAAGTTGGATGGTATCGCTTTCCTTGACGAACTCGCGTACAATTTCACCCTCGTCGTTTTCAACGACCAAGACCTCTTCTGGACGGACCATCTTCTCGATCATCACGGTGCGAAGGTTTGTTAACACGGTCTCGTACTTGTGCTTGCGCAAGGGGTAGTTCGCTAGGGTAGTGGGGTTGGGGGCGCCACCGTTCGCCAGCCCACTAACGCTCATGGATACCAGCGGGTTGATGTCTGTAATTGGGAGCTGCTGCATCTCTTCGTAAAGTTCTTGCACCAGCCTTGTCCAGTAGTCCAAGCAAATCTTAAACACCTCCCGATCATCGATCTGGCTGATCCGAATCAGATAGAAATGTGCGTGCGTGAGATAGTCTTGGTTGGGCAACTTTTCGATAAGCTAGAAAAGGAAGTACCAAGTCAGCAAAAGCCATTTCAAAAAACAACAACAACAGCAACAACAACAGCAAACAAAAGAAAACACAAGGGGCAAGGCGTGGGAGAAAAGGATGATCATACATCGAGGTGAGCACTGAAAAAGCTGGAGAGGAACAAAGCCAAGTTTGATACAAACTCTTGGTCTCTTCCATTGCTCATAGCATATGTCTGCTTCAAGTCCAGGGAGAGAGGAATGACGTTAGAAACGGTGGTCAGGGTCTCGGTGAACATGTGCACCAATCGTTCGTCATAATTGTAGGGAGTGCCGATTTGCAAGCCACCAATCTCAGTCAAACACTTCAAAGTCACGTTTCGGAACTCGGGTTCTCCGAGGAACCGGGTGAGGAGAGTGTTGATGATAGGGGTTTCGAAAATGTAGCCTAACGGGATCCAGTTCAAAAATCGCAGGAGAGTCTCGAGAGTCGCTTTCACCAAACTGGGCTGATTCGCAGTGTTGAGAACTTCGGAGCACAGTTGGAAGATAGAGGCGAATTCGGATGTCATCGAGGTCTTCAAGTTCCGTGCCTTGACAGAGGTCATTTGATCTTGCGAAAAGTCAAAGACTTCCTCAGACAACAGACGGAGAATTGTCATGTTGTTTTCACAGATCGAAAGGCTAGCATGACACGAGGAAATGATCTCGTTAATGAAGGTGGGCCAGTTGTGCGGCCATTCTTGCTTCAGAATGGAGACGAGGACGAGATTGAGCTTGTTCAACAGAGGGCGCTCCGATTGGATCTTCTCTTCGGATTCGGAGTTCTCGAGAATAAATCTCACAATGAAATTGCGAATACCTACGAAGAAGTTGAGTATGGAAAACGAAACCAAATCATTGTCGTACTTACCCTGGCATTGGTCTCGTGGTAGGACCTTCCACCGGGTCATGATCACATTGTCCAAGACCTGGAGGGCAATGTCTATCGAGGTTAGCAAATCCTTTCGGGGTATTTGAAGGCATTCAAAGGGCATAGGAGCAAGTTGCCAAAGACTCAAAAACACACATTTAGTTTGAAGGTATGAAGCCTCTTGGAGGATGTTGCCCACGGTGACCCAGGCATCGGGATTTTGCTTGAACTGAAAAGAAACGGGGAATGATTAGTTTTTCAATTCCTAGGTTCCAGAGGAGCTGCGCGTGCTTACTTCGGTCAAAGTCTGCTGTGCTTGGTTTTGCTAGATGTCCTGTCAGTGTTGTGCCCCCAAGCTTCACCGAGGGATGGAGCATCTCAAAATCTTGCAATCCCAGCGGTGTGGAGTAGACTGGTACAACTTACCACGGCACCTTTGCCTTCAAACAAAGCTCGGACCGTGTTGTCCAGCTCTTGTACCGAAATCGACATCCCGGCGAAGGCTGGCGATGTCGCCTCTGATGACGGGATAGGGTTTTAAGACACGAGCGTCGAGGGTGGGTATTGATGGGGGAACCGCCTGGATCGGATAAGGGGTGCCAGGGCGGCTGCAGGGCAGTATCGAATAATGGAGGGGGATATGAGCAAGTTGTGATCGGTGGGGTAGAGGTCCTTTGGAGGGGTTGGGTCAGCACGATCTCAAGACGAGAAATGATTGGACCGGGCAGGTAGGAAGGAAGAAGGGGATGTGAGTTGCAGGTCACTTACTAGACTCCGAAGACCAAAAAAAAGGAATGAAATTGGGGGTCAAAAAAGGAAGCTATCGCAGACTCTGGCGGTGAGAGCGCGTTGGATGTTTGAACTTGATCTCTCCTCTCGAGGTCTTAGTCAGCAGGGGCATCTACCATTTCCCGGACTCTGGACCCTTTGTATGGATATTAGGATCGTTCTTTTTTTTATTTTTCACTTTTTTAAATGTTGCGGTCTATTGTTTTTTTATTTTTCCTCATTAATCTATGGGAGAAAAGTGAATAGTAGATGGGGAAAATCCAGTAGTAGACGTCTTGGAAATGGATGGAAGAAGAGAGAGAGAGAGAGATGTACGGGGTACTGTATTCACTTCCAAAGAGTCCCATCTCCCAACAATAGCCGTACATCGGGGTCCAAGTCCGTTCTACGCGATACAAAAAGTCGCCTAAACTCACTGAAAGCGCCATGGGATCCGTGCCCAGCCGACTCTAGTGATTTTAGTTCATTGGTCCTAGCGCGGCACGCTGCAGTCATCAAATAATTCCCGAGATGGGCGCCAGATCCATGAACACTCCGGCTTTGGGGAGTCGTCCAGGGAATCGAAGGGAAAAAAAAATCATCACAAAAGAGAGAGAGGCAATCCATAGATCAACCCATCCAAAAAAGCCGAAAAAGGTGGAACTTCTTTAAGCGCATAACCGCCCTTATGCGCGGGACACCGCGCACACGGGCGTCAATAATGAAAAAAGGGAAAAAGGGAGAAAGAAGAAAAAACTGGGAACGCGCGCAGTCCAGAGTAAGCGGATGTCTCAGACCCGCGCCTCACTACACGGCTGATCGCTTCTCCGATTGGTGCTGCGTGTGACGCCGTCATTGCCGATCGCGCGCCAACTTCCCCTTTCCCTCTCTTTTTTGGCTAGAGATTACTCTTTTTTTATTATTTTATTTTGGACTTTTCAGAGAGAGAGAGAGAGAGAGAAAGAAAGAAAAGAGAGAAAGGGTCCTAGCTCGGTGTTGTCCCCTTCTCTTTTATTCTCTTTCCCCCTCTCTTCTCTTTCTCATTTTCCGTCTGCTTTCTCTCTCTCTCTCTCCCTCCCTCTCCCTCTCCCTCTTTTTAATATCTGAGTATCTATTCCCTTTTTGTTCCCGCTCCTTTTTTTTCCCTTTTTTCCCTCTTCTTGTTCCGTTTGATTGGAAAAAAAGAAACCTGTGTATCCTTCCAAGGGAACTCGTTTTTGCATCTTGTATACTTGTATACTATCTCTGATAATCTCCCGATTTCCCTCGCCCCACCCGACATTAACTTGTTCCATGCCAACAAAAAAAAGCCTGGAGAAATTGGAAAGTATTCACTTTGGAATTTCGTTCCATCTCTTCAAGCCTATCCAGATTCGGAATTTCCGGGGCAATTGAGGGATAACTGGCCAATATTGGCCATAGACTTGAATAGTCTCATCTCTGGCACTCGGTGTAACCTCAGCCCTATTCTTCGTATCTGGAGTCTCCCTTGCGTGGTGTTTTGGCCGTGATGATGACAGCCCTTGCTGCGGCACCCGTGAATGGTCAGGACTCCGGGGCCGAAACGGGGACGGAGCACAGCCCATCCCGATTTACCGCCGTCAACGGCAGAGACCCCGTGATCCCTGGCAATGGAAATGGAACTGGGCCAACGCCCAGTACCCTCCCCAATGGAGAACGGGCACCCGCCCAAGAAAAGAACATAGATTTCAATCAACGAGATGACCGGGATGATCCTGCCCATGATCAAGAGAAGTGGTCACAAAGATCATCACCCGGCTCGTCCAAGAATAAGAGAAAGAGATCCGAGTCCCAAGAACGAGCTTCTCCAAATCCCGACTTGAATGCCTCTAGGAGCCCGGTGCATCGTCCCGAGGGCAATCAACCCAATCCGAATGGCAGCATGCAAGGATCGATGTCAGAGATGGAGCGTGGCAATCATTCTGCAACACCATCCCACCGATCTGAGGCCAACGATCCTGGCCAGACCTCCGCCAATAGTCCATGGTCGGAATATGATTCTCAGCTGATCACCCAGGCACAACGCGCCCAGCAAATGGATGTGTCGGATGCGCATCTAGCAGACGCTCTTCAACGCGAGGCAGGCCAAGAAAGGTCCGTGACAAATCGCTCGACTCCCGGCACTCAGCAGCCATCCTCTCCTAGTTATGCACCAGAACGACATGGGGCAATGCAGGTGGCTCCAAAGCGGAAGCGGGTATTCAGTAACCGGACGAAGACAGGTTGTATGACCTGTCGCCGCAGAAAAAAAGAAATGCGACGAGCAACATCCGGCATGTAAGTCCACTCCTGGTGGCTCTAGTGTCCCCCCTTGTTTTCTGGCCCATCTTTTTTTTTTTTTTTTTAAATTGGCTTCCTCTCAATGGTTCCGTGTCCACAAATCGAAGGAGCCACATTAACAATGTACTGTAGGCAACAACTGTCTTCGTGGAGGCTTCCTGTGTGAAGGATATTCATCCCGAAGCACTTGGCAAAAGCCATCTAGTACAAAAACCCCGATCCCTTTGCAGTCCAAAGAAGGCTATTCAGACATTAATGGCCCATATATGCAAGAAACGCCTCGACACCAAGAGCGACAACCCAACCTAGTGGAGCATGTCGATGCGACAAAAACTAGGCCCCTGGGGGAAGAGACCGACCGTCCTGTTCAACAATACAACGCGAGCCCAACACATACACCATCTAACCATACATGGTCAAAACAAACCTGGCCAGGTGCCGCCCCGGGGCCAGGGCCTAATACCGGTCATCCTTCTTATCCATCCGAGCCCATGGCGAAAGTGGTTGATTATCGGGAAGTCCCACCCATCCATGAGCTATCGCGGGAAGGACGTCCTAAACCTGACTATCCGGTCATCTCTTCACTCCGGGACCTCAGTCATCCATCTCATCCTAAATCCAATATGCCCTTGTTCCAAAATGGGCCTGAGCAACGAACATTGCCCGCGGCGGCTGTGGACACCCACAGTCCCCAGGCGCAGGCTCGAATGGCACTCAGCATTGAGCATCAACTGTCTGGCCGGACCGTCTCGAGTGACGAGACCGAAAAGGAAAAGATGATTCGAGGCAAACTTTACCGACCATTTGACGTTCATCTCGTGGAGGAAAGGGATCGTTGCCGTGGCGCATTATGGAGATTTAACAACGCCTGCAACCCTCTCACCGGCATTAGTTCGAAAGAGCAAAACCGTCTTCTGAAGGAGATCATCGTACCCCCGGCAGGTTCCATTACCAATTCACCTGGACCCGGCGTGCCTCGCTCTGCCGGATCCATCGGCCAAGGAGCGGTCGTCGAGGCCCCTTTTAGTTGCCATTATGGTTACAATATCCACATCGGGGAAGATGTCATGATTTCGGAGAATTGCCTGTTTGTGGATGACTGTGTGATCCGCATCGGTGCTCACACATGGATAGGCCCCAACGTTAAAATAATTAGTTCAACTGCTCATCCCAACATGCAAGAGCGCAAAGGATCGCAAAGTCGGTATCAAGGTCGTCAGGTCATCATTGAAGAAGATTGTTATGTGGGCGCAGGATGCATCATTTACCCAGGGGTTCGTCTTGCTCGAGGGGTTTATGTGGCTCCAGGAGAGATTGTCAATGCAAACATCGCCGGTTACATGTTTCAGGGGTCCAAGCCCAGCTTTGCTATGTGAAAGAAGTCACGTTGATTGATTTTGTATGTGGAAATGCTAACTGACCCTCCCTTAACGGTGCTGGTCTTTTAACGCCTATTATATGTGGGAGAGCCAATTTATGACCTCCTGTCGCTTCTTCGCCTGATTGATTTGATTTGATCTTTTTCTCTTTTGATATCCACTGTCGCTGACGAGATGATTCTTCTTCGAATTTGTATGTTAGCGTTCTTGACGAACCGGGTGTCATCTTGCAGTCTATACACAATGCTACTGCACATTATTTACCTCGATTAAATCTCGATACTGCTACCTAGTTTTACATGTCAAAGTTTAGAGATCAAACGTCTACTGCGCTATCGTTTTGACCAAAAATAAAATAAAATAAGGAGATATTAATTCATGTTGTAATAAGGGGTAATCGTTAACAATCAAGAAAATGGAAATATCATATCACGTGAGGTGGGATCTATCCAGGTTCAAGTGGCATTTTATGTTCAAAACATCAGACCCCATCATGGATAAAGGAGTCAAATTTGTAAATGCAGTCATGGGTAATCACATTGGAAAAATGGGAGGCCCGAAAATCGCACTTTTGGAGTGGAGACAGTGTAACAAAGGAGAGAATGGCGAGTTGGATGAACCTACAGCCAGTCGAGGAATTCCGGGACGAAATAACTGATCACAATCCCAGCGCCTGCTCTCAAAATGCCTTCGGTGCTTTCAAAGGCCATATCCTTAAGATTAAAAACACCGGCTTTGGCAGCAGCGTGGATCATGGCAAATTCACCACTGACCTGGTAGGCAGCCACTGGGAGGTCTGGTGCCAAATCCTTAGCATCCCGGATGATATCAAGGTAGCTACTGGCTGGCTTCACCATGATAATATCTGCACCTTCAGCCATGTCTCTCTGTATGGCACGTCGGGCAAGACCACGGCCACCTGGGGGGAGCTGATAGCATCGACGATCTCCGAATGAGGGACAGGAGCCCGCCGCATCACGGAACGGTCCATACAAACAGCCGCTGAATTTAGCGCTGTAGGACATTAAAAGTACGCGATGCGCCACACCAGCTTCAATCAACTTGAGCTTGATGGCTCGGATTCTTCCGTCGTTCATGTCTGACGGAGCCACGCAATGAGCTCCAGCTGCCGCGTAGGCAATAGCGACATCGGATATCCGGTCAACGGATTGCGCATTGTCAAGGGTTCCATCTTCTCGTAGAATGCCACAGTGACCGTGCGAGGTATACTCGCAAAGGCATACATCGGTCGTGATATAAAGTTGAGGAAAACGGGATCGGAGAAGACGAATAGCTTGAATCACTGGGCCATCGGGGTCATCTGCGGCGGTTCCAAGCGCATCTTTGGCGGATGGGTGAAGCGGAACACCAAACAGCATTACCGAGCGCAGCCCCTTCCGAACAAGGGGGCAAGAAACGGAACCAAGCGATTGATTCCACGGCGGTATTGATTAGGTAGCGAAGGAATTAAAGTCTCCTCATCGGGGTTGTCTGTGACGAACAACGGGTAGATAAGCATGTCCTGTAAAGATGATACATTAGCGATGAATGTGTCTTGTAACATCATTGAAGGCGGACCTTTGTCAATTGCCTATCGGCCTGCCATGCTCTGGTCAGAGGATGACTGTATCCAGAATGTAGCTGACTGGAAACTTCGCCAGAAATGCTGACGCTTGTGGCTGTGGTGCTGGCATACGATCGAGCGGTCGCATGGGACCGGTGCGATCGGGCGTGAGAGATTTGCGAGCTGCCATCATCCACACGAGCATCACGAAAGGCAATGTCCGAGACCAAATTTGAGAAAGACATGTTTGGCAAAGATGAGGAGATGTGTAGGAAGATCCACAGGAATTTAAGGGGGGTAGGAGACCGAGGATAAGGTGAACAAGGCGAATAAGGTGAATATCAGCCAATCTGATTGGTTGACTAAGCCTTCGAGCTCCCGCACTTTGCCACTATCTCATGCCGGATATCCGTCCCGAGGAAGAAGATTAGATCGTAGAAAGACATGACAGTTTCAAGATATATCATATCTATGGATGTTTGGACAGATACTGGCTATAGGAATTCTTATCCTATTTGCCTTGATGTATTGTACGTCAGTAGTGAGCCCGGTATCTCTGCTCTGTGCTATTATCTATCCTTGCAACATTAAGAAAAGACACCAAAGAAAGACATCGAAGTATCTCAAACTCTGAGAATCAACACCCACTACTATCTTTCCGATTTTCAAGGTCTTGCGTTGTCAACGTATCGAGGGATGTATCAAGTATACAACTTTGCAACCTTGGAGCAGACCCGAGGTTGGATTGACTCAATCCATGTGATCAATCCAGCTCCAGGCTGTAACTGAACGTATTTCACGAGCGAGCTGCGCACCTATATCAACCCATTGAACTCAACTATATTTATCTCAACCAAAACACCATTAATTTGATTCAACCAAATTGATTTATCAAGGTAAACACCTATTGATTTTATGCCCTATTTCTCCATAGCCACTGCACTTTGGTGGGGCCCGTGGACGTGGTTTAAACGCTGACGAAGGCCTTCGTGGAGAGGAGGGAGGTACTTTATCTACTGTATCTACCTACTTCTACTAGCTTAGTAATTAACCAATAAGCTTCTTAAACCGAGAGCCCTTACTTAGCGGGTATCTACTTCCGGGATCGAGTCTGCCTTCGTCGAAGTTATAAATGTTATTAGGGTTGTTTCTAAACCAGAGGAGTATCTGCTAGATAAGATGAAACCACTCCTGAAAGGCTTTTAGGTCTTTGTATTTAGTACGTTCGTAATTATAGTGTCTCGAGAATTAGGAGGCTAGAGAAACGTATCGTCTTATAAAGTTTATAACCTAATTTTTACCGACTAAAACTACTAGGGTAGTTCCTCGACAACAAAATCACTCTACAAATAAGCTGGCACATCACTCTAGACAATTTATCTTCACTGGAAATGATTTACAACGGAACATTCAAGTATCAGAATGACAAAATGGGCTATCTCAGATGTATGAAGTGCCTGAGAGAACAACATTGAAGAATGCTATTGAACGTATTTGACATGGAATCATTGTTTATGTATTTTTGTCAAAGGAAGCAGGCCCACTCCCTGAGGCCGTTTGACTGAAGGCTCGAGCGCAATGGTTGGCGTGAGAGCTGATGGAGACCATGGGAACTGAACGGGGGGAAACATAAAGGGTGAAGGGGCGATTGACCATGATTGATTTGTGTTCGTGACAGCAAGCCGGTTCCGTCTGAGTCTTGTAGTGGATTGTCGAATGGATTCCAAAAACTGGTGGACCTATAATGTGTCCATGCTTGCCTCAGATTTGCGAAAAGGGGTAGCCAATCTTATAAAAGAGAGTCTCCACTATAGGACACTCTTGTGGAGTGCGGAGACTTTTGTCGACGAAGTTGGCCCCATCCTTCTCTCCTCTGAGGATCGAAGCACTGTCGTGGGTGTTCCAAAGGGTTGCCAAAAGCTGGTGGACCTATATTGTGTCCATGCTTGCCTCAGATTTGCGAAAAGGGGTAGCCAATCTTATATAAGAGAGTCTCCACTATAGGACACTCTTGTGGAGTGCGGAGACTCTTGTCGACGAAGTTGGCCCCATCCTTCTCTCCTCTGAAGGTCGAAGCACTGTTGTGTCCAGCTGGTCTTTCCAAAAAGGGTTGTCGAATGTGGATACTTGACCCTGTGTTACCACCGTAGCAGACGACGGCCTTCAGAGTCTCCTCCTCCATTGGGTACGCCGCACCTCTTTCTGACGAGAAATCTCCTTTAGAGACACTCAATTATGTGGAGACTCTTGTCGACTGAGGGCCGCCTCTCTTTTTTCCTCCTCTTGAAGGTCAAGCTTACCATGGGCCGGAATGATTCCACTGCAAGACTGTCGATCGGAAGGTTCAGGCTGCTGGATGGTCATGAAGTGAAGTAGGTGAGGCCGGCAATGTGAGGAGAGGGAGATATACAGGCTCCTGAAAACAAGTTAGCAAGGCCCATCTTTTGTAATAGATCGATTGACGTTACAAAATGTTCTCATAATCTCAAGTTACCATGATGGTAGGCCGTGATGGATATATGGTTATAGTTGACAGTGATCATGTTGAAGGTGCCCATTGAAAGCTGATGGATAATTGAAAGCTGATGGATAATTGAAAGTTGATGGACGTGAAACTTGGTGGATGGCTCAAAGTTGATGGATGGCTCAAAGTTGATGGATGGCTCAAAGTTGATGGATGGCTCAAAGTTGATGGATGGCTCAAAGTTGATGGACATAGAGTTGGGTAGATGGTTCAAAGTGGATGGATGAGGAAATTGTTGGACGATTGAAAGTTGATGGATGGTTCAAAGTGGGTGGATGTGGAAGTTGGTGGACGATTGAAAGTTGATGAGAGTTATGATTAAAGTTGACCATGATGGAAGGTCTATGGTGGAAGACCAAGGTTGATGTGGTCATGGTGGAAGACTAAGGTTGATATAGTCATAGTGGAAGACCAAGGTTGATGTGGTCATAGTGGAAGACCAAGGTTGATGTGGTCATAGTAGAAGACCAAGGTTGATGTGGTCATGGTGGAAGACCAAGGTTGATGTGGTCATAGTGGAAGACCAAGGTTGATGTGGTCATAGTGGAAGACCAAGGTTGATGTGGTCATAGTGGAAGACCAAGGTTGATGTGGTCATAGTGGAAGACCAAGGTTGATATGGTCATGGTAGAAGACCAAGGTTGATGTGGTCATAGTGGAAGACCAAGGTTGATGTGGTCATAGTGGAAGACCAAGGTTGATGTGGTCATAGTGGAAGACCAAGGTTAATGTGGTCATGGTGGAAGACCAAGGTTGATATGGTCATGGTGGAAGACCAAGGTTGATGTGGTCATGGTGGAAGACCAAAGTTGATGTGATCATAGTGGAAGACCAAGGTTGATGTGGTCATGGTGGAAGACCAAGGTTGATGTGGTCATAGTGGAAGACCAAGGTTGATGTGGTCATAGTGGAAGACCAAGGTTGATATGGTCATAGTGGAAGACCAAGGTTGATATGGTCATGGTAGAAGACCAAGGTTGATGTGGTCATAGTGGAAGACCAAGGTTGATATAGTCATGGTGGAAGACCAAGGTTGATGTGGTCATAGTGGAAGACCAAGGTTGATATGGTCATGGTGGAAGACCAAGGTTGATATGGTCATGGTGGAAGACCAAGGTTGATGTGGTCATAGTGGAAGACCAAGGTTGATGTGGTCATGGTGGACAAAGGTCATGATGAAAGGTCCATAATAAAAGGTGACCAAGGTGGAAGGTGACCAAGGTTGATGTGTTCATAGTGGATAAAGGTCATGATGAAAGGTCTATACTGAAAGGCGACCAAGGTGGAAGGTAACCATGATGAAATGATGGACCCTAATGGAGGGTGGTCGGAGTGGAGGTTGAAACCTTGAAAGGGAGACTCAAAGAGAAGAAGAGATGTGAAAGAGGAAGGAAAGGAGGAAGAGAAATGGGGCGAGGGGGGTATTTATACCCTGGCAATGGCTTAAGGATCTGAGGATACTGGGGTAGGTGACGATTCTCAGGGTCCCTTCCTATTTGGGAAGGCACCTGGGATACTGGGGTTGGCTCCTTAATTGGGAAGGAACAAGGGTGGTGAAGTAATCCCATTGATTGAGCCTGAATCTTCAGGCAGTAGTTACTCTCCCGTGGAAGATGCTCGGGCACATAGACCTATGAAGTCTACTCCAGGCAAGATATTCTCGAGAATGTCTAACCGCACACCTTTAGTGTCAGTTTTAACTATCTACACACCCCTAGTCCGTTTTAGGTATAGGTCTTCTTAGCAAACCATTCATTATGATCTATGTTACCAGCTAGTTCTTTAAATAAAAGAGTGCATTTCAACAAGAATACTAAGTACAAAGAGAGGAGGAAAAGGAAGAAAGAAAACTCTAGGATAGGATCCTTTATAGGGTCCTATTACCACTAAGTATATAAATAATACAAACTCTATTAAGACGGAAATATCCGGTAGAATCCTTTCGGCGGAAATCTTCTTAGTAGAAAAGATCTACCTTCTAGATCGTTATATAACCCCTAACTAAGAATATATTTAGTCCCTAAATACTAGCTTATTATTATCACTAACGTATTCCACATGCGAGCTGCGCACACAAGCGAGCTGCGCAGTTCAAAACACATAGTAAATGCGATATATTCTACATTTATATTTCAACAACCATGTTATTATTTTAGCTCCTTATTTGTCGATAGCTATTGATAAGACTTATTAGCACCATATCTCAATTTTAAAGATATTGGATAGGTATATTATTATCATTTCAAAAATTACCGAAAATTACGTTACTGAAAACTGGAAATATATATATCTCAATTATAAAGTTAGAAACTTCCTTGAAATCCCGTAAAGAGACTAGATATCACCTAGAAAGCAGGAGGATATAGGGAGAAATCTTTATAGACCATAGTGGTTGAAATATCAAGTTGTAATTTATCGCATTTACTATGTGTTTGGGACTGCGCAGCTCGCTTGTGTGCGTAGCTCGCATGTGAAATACGTTATAGTCTTTAAGGACTTTGTAAGCATAATAGTAATTGTAAGATATATTTATATACTATGGTGTGTGAGGACAAGATATATATTTTACCGGTAGTATCTAGGAGAACCTTAGATATATTATTTACGGTAAACTATATTATGACTCACAATATATCGCCATAAATCTAGGACATCATAACGAAGTCATTATATTATTAATGACTTTCTATGATATTCTATACTGCTAGAGCTTGCCTATATAAGGAATGAAGGATTCATAGCTAGAAAATAATTAATGGAATATAACTTTTCTTACCTCTCACCTATTATTATCTATTTAAGCTAAGTATAAACCTTTCTATATCTTATATAATATAATATTATAACGTATTTCATAAGCGAGCTACGCACACAAGCGAGCTACGTACCCCACCCAAAACGTGTCTATAAATTAGCAATCAATTAATTCAACCACCCACTATACCACCAATTCGCTCTCAAAGCTCTAGAAATTCAATAGAGCAAGAGGGTAGGATCTTATTAGCTATCTAGGTTTTTAATAATCAAGAAATCTCATCAATTCGTGGTGTAGCGCGCTACTATAATATCCCTAAATCTACACTTCGGACCCGCCTACGTAGGGTCTAATAACGCGCGACTACTCACGTAAACTCCTATAAATTAACAAAAATCGAAGAAGAATCTCTCGAAAAATAGATTCTCTCTATAGATTCTCGCGGATTAGCTCCCTGTCCCTCTACTATATAAGAAATAGCGAACCTTCTCCTTTAATATCGAGGAACTACCCTAGTAGTTTCGGTTAGTGAAAACTAGGTTATAAACTTTATAAAAAGATACCCTTCTCTATCCTCTAAATTCTCGAGACACTATAATTATAAATGTACGAAATACGAAGACCTAAAGGTTATCTAGGAGTGGTTTAATCTTATCTAAAAGATAATCCTCTAGTTTAGAATCGACCCTAACGATATTTATAACTTCGATAAGACTAGTTTTACTATAGGCTTAACTATAATAGCAAAGGTGATTATAAGGAGCGAATTCTACGGTCGGCGCTTACTTTTATAACCTAGAAATCGTGAATAGGTGACTACTATTAAATATATCAATATATTAGGTTAGGCCCTCCCTCTATATATCATTTTTAAAGGTAAAGTCTTTATTAAATCATAGTTCAATAGCCTAAATAATTAGCGATTTAAAGTTAGTCCTAATAGCTAGACCTCTAATAAAATTAGACTTCGCTAGCTTAAAAAGCTCTTTATTCCTAGTACTTCTTTATATATAAAGGGGGATATTAGCTTTTAATACTTAATAGATATAGAAGCTATTTAACCCTAAAATTCGATAAGATCTATAAGTAAAATAAGGTTATACTAATCTATATACCTCCTTATTTATCTTACCTTTTATAGTCTTTTAATATTAGCTATTTTATAGTTCTAAAATATATATATAGTTAGCTAGTTAAATCGAAAATATAGGTTAGGATAAATTATATCGATAAACTTAACTTCCTTAAAGTGTATCTATCCACTCAAATTAAGGCTTTTAAATCAGAGACTATCAAAAATAGCTTTATAGTAGCTGGTTTAGTACCTTTTATACCTAATCGAGTGATTAAGAAGCTTAATATTCGACTTCGAACCCCTACCCCCCTCTAGTAGGGGGAGCGATTAGGACCTAAGGATACCCTTAAATTATATATAATTACAAAAGTAAGTATCCTTAATTAAAGCCTTACTTCGTATACGCTTATATAGCCCACTAAGTCCCCTAAATAAGGCGATTAATTAGGTCTTAAAGGCCTATCAAATCACGATACAGTCTACCGCTTTACTTAAGAAGGAAGTAAGCGAGCTACGTACTATAAATAAGAAGCAAAAGTAAAAAAGGACTCGATCCCGGAAGTAGATACCCACTAAGCAAGGGCTCTCAGTTTAAGAAGCTTCTTAGTTAATTACTAAGCTAGTGGAAGTAGATAAAGTACCCCCCTCCGCTCCACGAAGAAGCCCTTCGCTAGGTTTACAACCACGTACACAGGCCCCACCAAAGTGTAGTGGCTGTGGAGAAATAGGGCATAAAATCAATAGGTGTTTAGCTAGATAAATCAATTTAGTTGAATTAATTTAATGGTGTTTTGGTTGAGATAAATATAGTTGAATTCAATAGGTGGATATAGGTGCGTAGCTCGCTTGTGTGCGCAGCTCGCTTGTGAAATACGTTATAAGATAAAGCTTACCTAATATACCTTCCCCTACAAAATATTATAACCTACTATTAGGCTATAATATTATTTCTGCTAAAGTGCCCACATACACGCATCTTAATACAGTTTTCCAGAGCATATACTGCTTCT